CATTAAGGAAATATTGAACTGATATATACTTTACCCCTGTTGTTCAGTAGGTGGATAACGCTCTCTAGCCACCTCCACTTCGGTGAATAATTGTTATCGATTTATCCGGAGGATGGCGCTATCCAACGTTTGAAAAACCGGGGCCCGGACTTGTATTTACTTAGTATATTTATATTTTAAGTTCATGAGCAGTCACTCTAAAGAGTATAAATATTAGTAACTGTTAAAAAGTTTTTATTTGAAGTGTTTTTCAGTCTCAGTGTACTAACACTGTTAACTGTAATATGGACCTCAGAGAATCCACATTCACAGAATGTATATGCAAAGAAAAAGAAACAAAAACTCATTTTCTTATACTATTTTATAATGTAAGAGTAGGCTCTTATCTGCACTAGTACTGCTAGACGGTTTTTTGGCATTAACGCCACGCCCCTTCCCACGTGATGATGGTGACAAGTCTGATGGTGGCGATAATGATGAAAATGATGATGATGATGATGATGATAATGATGATGACGACGACACTTAAGAAGTAGTAAGTCTATCAGAGAGCAATGATCAATCATTTGAATCCTAGGCAAAATCATGTGAGTAGCCGAGGCCTTGTACTTCGGTCATAACTTTGCCTTCAGTAACACAGAATGGTTAAAAACGTCATAAACGTTTACACTTTTATGACAAACGATTTGCTTCTTGGCTGAGTTGCGTAAATTTTTTGGCTATGCCACATCGTCGCAACGTGAATTGAAATAACTGTATATGCCAATATTAAACGACTGATATCATCTCTCAAACCGATGTTTACTCTTCCAAATTAACCTACATTTTAGTTAGTAACGGCTGGGTGAGATGAAAGCCAGTCGTCAATAATTGTAGGTATAAGCATAATAGAGTGTCAAATATATAAGAAGTTTGTCCAGTTGGTTACAAACTACATTTATAAATTATAATCGATACTTTAAAACTTTGTGCTGAGCTTTAAAAAAAGCACATTTCAGTGTTTAACCAACAAATTTGAATGTATATCAGTATATTATAATGGGTATATCTAGCCTGATTTTTGAAAACGTTACCGTCAAATACACCTCTTCCATCAAAAAGTTTTTTTTCGGTCAATGTTATGCCCGTTGCCAATATAAAAACGAAGGGTGCAACCACGTACTGCTTTTTCCGATTCTCTTCTCCTCCTGGCTCTTTCTATTTTTCCCTTCCATTTCCTTCGCTGATGTGATTATGGAGCTTATCGGACGCAAGAAACCTTGCCTTTTGGCCCTTCTTCAGTCAAATGGCTGCAAATTTCGCTAGGTTCGTGTTCAAAAAATCGGCTAGATAAACTATATGATAGCAATATTTATATATCAAATATGACATTTATTTGCATATGTATAAGAAATACAGGTTACTAAGTCTGCGTGGCCTGTTATGTCAGAGTTAATCTCAATTTCCGTTTCTGTAAAGCCACTAGATTTTTTTTAAATACCTCCCCCCACCCCAGGGGGGGTACTCGGGATTTTAAGTGACGGGGATGATCGAAGGATTTTTTTGGGTTTGAAATTTTCGATTCCGGGATTTTTTTGAGTACGAAAATTTGGCAAGTATTTTTTGGGGTAGCTTGATTTGAGTAGGGATTCTTTGGGGGTATTAAAAAGAATCGGTAGTGCCCTGGCTGCGTAGTTCTGCGAATAAAGTACAAACAAACGTGTTTTGCTGTTGTTTATGGTTAACTATGGTGTCACTTTACATCGCACGTGTTATACAATAGTCTGCATTGTCCCGTGGTGCCCGTCCGTGTACAAGACTTCAATCGCAAGTGTGTGTCCACAATTAGCTTAGTGTCCACAATTAGCTTCTAGCTAAATACCTTGACACTTTAATAAAGTTTATGTATGCATTTCGCTTCAATTCAGTCAATTGGCTTTTCCGTCACTGGATTTTTTTGGGTTTTGCTGGAAGCCCTAGGGATTTTTTTGGGTCTTGACTTTTGGCTCCATTCGATCATCCCCGTCACTTGAAATCCCGAGTTCTCCCGCTGGGCCCCCCACCCTCTCCGCTAGGCGGAATTTTAGTCTTTCGCGGCTTGGTTACCCTCTCAGTAACCAGTTCCCGGCCCAGCCCTGGTGTGTTGCAGATTTTAAAAGGGACGCGCGGTCGGTACATTAGAAAAGTTATGGGGGCGGGTCCTTAACATTTTCCTTGTGTGAATTTTTTTAGGCCAGTACATGAATATTTTTTAGGGTTAAATGGCGTGCATGAATTTTGTTTTCAGTTGATTTTCCCTCGTAGGAATATTGTTTTTTGTCGTCCCCCCCACCCGTTTGCTAAGTTTCCATCTCTAATGCGTTTTGTATTAGGAAGGATCCGGAATCCAGCGCTTAGCAAGTAGTAACCCATCCTAAAATTACCAACGTAGAAGAAATAACAAATAAGTCATGGCAGAAGAAAATAACCCCCAAAACAAGCAGCTTAACATTTTCCTTGTGTGAATTTTTTTAGGCCAGTGCATGAATATTTTTTAGGGTTAAATGGCGTGCATGAATTTTGTTTTCAGTTGATTTTCCCTCGTAGGAATATTGTTTTTGTCGTCCCCCCCACCCGCTTGCTAAGTTTCCATCTCTAATGCGTTTTGCATTAGGAAGGATCCGGAATCCAGCGCTTAGCAATTAGTAACCCATCCTAAAATTACCAACGTAGAAGAAATAACAAATAAGTCATGGCAGAAGAAAATAACCCCCCAAAACAAGCAGCTTAACATTTCCCTTGTGTGATTTTTTTAGGCCAGTGCATGAATATTTGTTAGGGTAACTTGGCGTGCATGAATTTTGTTTTCAGTTGATTTTCCCTCATAGGAATATTGTTTTTGTCGTTTCCCCTTCCTGCTAAGTTTCCATCTCTAATGTGTTTTGCCCAAGAAACACCGCAGCAGGAAGGATCCGGAATAGCTCGGAATCCAGCGCTTAGGAAGTAGTAACCCATTCTAAAACCACCAACGTAGAAGAAAAAACAAATAAGTCATGGCAGAAGAAAATAACCCCCCAAAACGAGAGGCTTTTCATCTTTCAAGGGCTTCCTTAATCCTTTATAAGTGTTCTAAAGCATTCGAAGAGCGCTGAGAACAAATTGCATTGCACAATTGATGACGTAAATGCACTAAATGTACTTTACCGGATTCACTCCATAACCGACGCAGCATCATCGTTTCTTTGAATTCGATTTAATCCATCCATCCATTGTACACTTTATAACGACATAGGGGTGGGGTGGGGGGGGGGTAGGGTAGCGTGAGCTTTTGAAGGTGTATGCACGGGACGAAAAGTTAGACCGCCGAAGGCGTGTTAAATTAGGGGGTTCTGGTGGCATGCTCTCCCACAAAATTTCTAAGTTGAGGATTTCGGAAATGCCATGAATACGAAGGGAAATGTAGTAGTTGGTTGTTTATTTTACCCATTTCCAGTGTTATATATGGGCAAGGTGCAGTGTTTACAGGTAAAAAGGGTAAAACAGTATCAAGTACGTTACAAGCAAAGGGAGAGACGTCTACCCTTCAAACTATGGGTTGATTTCCACTATCGCATAATTTTTCCATGCGAATGCACGCGGGTAAAATTTACGTGCGTAAATGAAAAAGAGGCGATGCATGAAAGGCCACGCGAAGACGTAAATTACTAAAAGTGGAGCGACGTGCAACTCTTAAGTTTACGCGTAGCCTACCATACAGTGTCTCTATTTATTTCGCTCGTAAACGTAGAAGTTGAACCTTGCAGAACCGATTTCATGATACAAAGGTTTTCGCGAAGTAAAAGAAATGTTTCCAGATTTCATTTGTTCACACGGTCGTAGAAGCGCATATGGACGCTACTCCCCCAAACGAGATCTACAGTCACACAATTTTTCCATCGTAATAGAGTGACTTCGATCCACCGAAACAATTTTTTCTTCCTTTCGGACAAGCAAAATAGCTTTGGAAACCAAATGACCGCTATTCTTGTCTTTCATCTGTCTTTTTTAATATCCTCTAACATCAACACCTCCATCTCCCTCCCTCTTCCGCCTTCTCCACTGGTATTCCAATAATTAGAAAAGAAATAATTTGTAATTTTAAGTTGGCGAGGACATAACTTTTCCTTCTTGCGTAATTCGCCGAGTTTCACATGTCTCTTTTTTCTGCTGGAGAGATGCAAGGGTGGACCCTCCCACAAATGTGGCCCGGGCTCATAAAAAACTAAAACTCTGGACGCAAATAGAGGACCAACAACCAACTCTCCAAACTAGCATATGAATATGATCCAATTGTCATACGGTTCCAAAGAACACTTTAAACTGTTTATGAAAAGGCGTCGACAGTCGACAGTCCCGATAACTCGAACCCTCGCTAACTCGAACCAAAATCGATTTCGCCTTGATTTCCTTCATACATTCACTGCACTTTTACCCTCGGTAACTCGAACCTTCCGCCAACTGTAATTTTTGTTTCCCTTCAGATCATTTCTATATAATTTTACCCTCGATAACTCGAACCACATTTTAAGCACACAAGTCGAAAAAAAAATTGTGCCGCAATCCGAAATATTGCATTTAATTCAAAACAACTATGCCTACCTGTTTCAAAAATCAATGTGATCATGAAGTGCGCATGATACTTGCATTCCTTCCCCATGCCATTTCCCTATTTCTGGTTATTTGCTTCGAACTCCTGATAACTCGAACTTTTTTTTGGAAAGTTCGAGTTATCGATGGTCAACTGTATTCCCCGATTTGTTAGCAGGTTGTTTTGGACCCAGTTGCCCTAAGAAACGACACCCGTGTTATGTCCGAAACGAGTCCGTCTACATTTGTACACGCACACACACTGATGCGTCCACGGCTGTACCCATGCTTAAAACGCTCACGTGTGGACGGAAGGAATACGACTGTATGTGTCTACAAACTCAAACCTACTCGTTGTGGACACAGGTAAATGGAGAAGCATCCTCCGAAGTCAAAACAGTTCTGGTAAACAAACTCAACTAGACGACTCCAGTTTATTAAAACAAGTAAACGAGTTACAGTTTTGTTTTTCTTCTATGAACGTACGGTATTTTTTGCAAAGAGAGTACACGCTTTGAAACAAGTACAGTTCCTAAAATGCTAAAATGACCTGATCAAAATAGGCCCCTCGTGTTCTAAAACAAAAAAGGAAAAGTCACACCAATATATGAACACGGGATTTGCTAAGCAAGCCCCGTATATTTTCAGATTAGTGCGCACATAAATGTACTTATGTTGTGAGTAATGCAACGCCGTTGGCCTTTATTTAAAAGTGTTGTTGCCGAGCTTGAATAAAGGCCAATTTACACAAAACGGTCCTGGATAGCTAAACAACCTTCGGTTACCCTAACAAGCTTTTCATATAGTGGAAAACTAAAGGATAGATGGCTGATACAGTTCGAGCCTTTTCTGATCTGACGGGACGCTAAACAGGTGGTTACACGTTTCACTCAAATTGCTAATTTTCTAAAAGTACATACTATTTGGGAAAATTTAGGTCATAGGATATGGAAAGCTAAACTTCCTGAACAAAACATTTTTATTAAGATTGTTAATATTGATTGGGGGGTTTAGTTGGAGTATGGCCGTCTTCCTGGACTGTCCCCTGGGCGTGGTGACAGAGAGCGTCCACGTCCTGCTAAAGGAGAGCGTGAGTGACGTCTTACAGGTGAGCGGGACCTTCTGGGTGAGCGAGATCTGGACCTGCTTTAGAAACACAGAGTTTACAGTTAGACTCCTCTGCAGTGCATAAAATCACTTTACAATGCCATCCGGACACTTTGTTCCATGGTCATTTCGTTCCATGTTATCGTCGCATTGTTGTATGCAAGAGCCTGCTTGTTCCCCATAAAAATCAGAAGCGAGGGTCAGAAAAACGAATGTAACAACCAGTTCTTGACAAGTGGACGAGTGTCAGAAAAACCAAGTATAGATCGTTTTCACTCACGTAATCATCAACTATGCAAATTTGCTGGACCAAGAAAGTTTTAATACCCTCAGGATTTTTTCTGTACACCAACATCGCCGCTGTTCCATTGGTTTGTACACTAATATGGCCGTCATGTGAAAACGGTCTATTTGAATCACTCAGTTCATGGCAAGTAAGCATGTAGCAGAGAAACCAAGTATGTTGGTTAAATTAACTGCCACATCTGTTAATGAACCCTACTTGCGTTGGTGCCCAAGTATTTTTCGCTCTTTATATTCGCTACCATGGAACAATTTGACTCGGAATCAAGTGACTGTACAGCTCTACAGTACCGAGTCAATGAATGTTTACCTTGCACGGCGCCGTGGTGATAATGAGCGAGACGATCTTCGTGGTCGACCTCTCTGTAAGACATAAAGAAAAATAAAAAAAAATGGTTGTGCTGATGTTCTGAGTACACCTCCGCTGTCTTTGCTGGCTTGCGTAAGTATCTTGCTTGCTATCTCGAGAACGTGCAAAAAGGGGCCCTTTCCATCATTTGGCCTGGTATTTCGTATGAAACAGCACTCAACAAAGCTGCATAATCCGCTCTTTCTGACCGTCGGGCAGTCTCGTGTATTAAATTTATAGGTAAGGTTCGGCCAGGTACCCCGTTATACCCACTAATACATAAATGAGTGGTACCTATATCTACCAGTGTGTGTCTAAGATCAGGGAATTCTAGCAGGCCACAAGGACTGAACGTTTCTCAAATTTTGTTAGTGTTAAATATCAATCTTGTCAATAAATGTAGCTTATTAGTATATATATCACAGCTTGTAAGGTATCCTACAATTCAGTCTTCCGACTGCAAAAGGGACATTGAACCAGTGATTTGATTTGATTATACTAAAAACCAAACACACACAAACAGAAACAAGGAAGGGAGATAAAAGAAAACCAAAGAAACTTTTATTTAACATTTAACAACTAAAATATCTCAGACAAGGCAATGGGCTGCCCTGCACTTCAGTCTGCCAACAAACCTCAGTAAGCCGAATACGCTTTCCCATCAACTCTGTGCCATCCAAGCGTTTAATAGCTCTTTGCATATCATTCATTGATGCAAACTCAACAACCCTAAGAACAAAAAAAAGAAAGAAAAGAATAAACAAAACTACAGTTTACATAAGCATGAAATATATAAACACCAATGAAAAGGAAGGTGATCTTTTGCAAGAAAACTTGATAATTAATAATATTCTTTCGTGAAAAGGACATATCATCTTCACACGTGCAAAATAAATTTAAGTGAAATGGTTTGATATTTCATTGGTGTTTATATAAAAAAAGGACATTACATGGTCGCTTGGGGATACAAAATATCTCTTTGTGTGTTGAAAAGTATTTTTTAACATGAGAAGAGACATTTCATATCTCTCTATATCTATGTATGTTGTGATACAACTTTTAGTGGTAAATTCAAAGACAAATTGTGCCTGCATGTTTCGATATTGAAGCTTGTTTTAAGTTTACAGAAATGGCAAAATCGTTGAACAAGTTATTCTAAACCCTGATGAGGGCGTAATTACATTAGTAAGACACTACTAAAATCCTTTCAAAAGTGGCCAATATCAAAATTCAACATTTTTTAAAATTTTCTTTTAAAACATTAATTACCAAGAAACAGTACCGACTGGCAAAGGGGTTTCATTTGAAACGTCAAATCATCCTTGCACTCAAAAGTTAAAGCCACCTTACAAGACTTCATGATCATTTACTCTTACAGTCAAAGGGTTTAAGATTGCCTTTTGCACAGTGTAATAATAATCTTACACCACAAGTTGAAATGAATCTTGAAAGCCAACCTACCCTTCTCCTACTCTATCTCTATGGCACTGAACAAAGGTCACTTCTCCTGCCTGCCGCATGTAATCTTTCAAATCCTGTAAAAGAACAACTCATGAGTCATTAATCTCTACAACACAAACCATCTTACCACACAATGGTAGTAAGTGGATAGTTTCAAATGTGTATGTTGAAGGGGCTGTGTGACAGCAGCGGGCTGTCTGGCTCATTTTGTAAATAATACCAATTACAGTGTACCTGTCCTTACTCGCTAATAATGAACTTGAGAAATTACCAGTGAATGACAAAATCACTGTTTCTCCTCAAACGAATATGTCTCCCAAGCAATATATTAAATGTTACAAACAACAAAACTGAACTTTGAAAAACTCTTAGGCTGACAAGTTTTCAAAAAACACAATTACAATCCGTTTCAATCTTCTTCAATTTCTTGTCCATCCGTGCCTCCTTTTGTATTAGCTACACATGTTATTTACACCTTCTTTGAATGTTTTCTGCAATTATTTTTATATTTCATCCAGTTTGGTGGTCGTTCTTACTGTTTGAATTTCAGTTGATGAATTTGGTGACACAGCTCCTTTAACATAAACTGAAACTAAATTGAAGATAACTAAAATTGAAATGTTTCAAAGCACATGCTGGCTTACAAAATAACGGTATCTCTGACAACAACATTATAACAATAAGAAAGTACAGTACATCCTGAAAATACCATGATTATAAGACACCGGAAGGAAGTCTGTATTAAGTTACATAAACCTTACCTTTGTACAACTAGCTATTAAGACCAAGACCAAAGATGCTTTATGAAAATTGCATGGGGATTTTTACCCAGTGGATAACCAAGGCGTTCATGCCATGACAGCTGAGAATCTCAGTTCAGCTTGCAAAACAGCACCAGTAGCACCAAGGTAAACAGGGCCACTCACCAAGTTACCAGACCAGGAATCGAATGATCAATGATGATCAACACAATCTTAAAGGCGGAAGGCCAAGTGCCAAATTTTTGCCACAGCCAATAATTTCCCCCTTTTAACGTACAGACCAGATTACAGACCAGGAATTGAAATCTCACTAAACCATCTCCCATAAAGTATTTTACCACTACTGTAGCTAAAGGTGAGAGAAATGCAAGGAAGAAGTTACTAAAATAAATCCACTGGTCTAATGATTTGTAAGCTTTCAGTAACAGCCTCAGCATAGCTCCAAAGACTAAACAATAAACATAGGCTTGGTATGTAGCTCCACATGGATACTATCATTCTATTAATGTATCCTCCCACTATTACTGTCATGACACCAAAATGATGATGCTAACAAATGTCAGAAGGAAAATTACAATATTCTGTACAATTTGGTGCCAGTAAAAATCATAGCTACAATTCAAAACTGAAGAAGCAGGAAAAAAATGTAAATACCCTGCATTAAAATCTTCCAACTGGGAAAACATTGTTATGATCAAGGTGATATTTTACTGATATTGCATTGTGGTAGTGTACATTCAGGTAAACAATAAACCTCTCACAAAACCTCAATGATGGCTTTTACTTGAGATATGTGCAAATCTTTGAATAACAAAAAATAATTATGAAATGTTCAACCCATGATTGGAAATAGAGGTGATGACAGTTTAAAATAAAATCGAGCCTGTTTAAAGCATCTCACTTGAAACTCAAATACAATATTTGGGTAAGGGCTATGTGTATTTTAGTTGGAAACAACAGCAAGTCTGTGAAATTTTACAGTTAGGAGTTTATTCAAACGAGGGGCCATTTTGTTTCAGTAAATAAACAGTCAACAGTATAGATGCCTTCATTTTTTCTTCAGCTCAATTTCTAGCCATGTGCATTGGAATTCGTTGGTTTCTGCCTCAAAAAGATGTACAAAATGTGCACTTTCAACAAATTTCCACAGTGCATGTGCAATCTACAAAGAGCATACAAAAAAACACTAGACACAAATGTCAATCAAAAAAGCAAAAACTTAGCCCTGCAATGTACTTTAGACATTAACAGTTAAAACTGCAACCACCTGTTCTCTTAAATATATTCTGTCAGTCTAACTTACACCCTATCTCACAGGTAGCTTACTTGTGCCTACCAAATATGACACATTCTGACGAAATACAGGGTTCGAAATGTACTTTTATGTCCAGTTGCCCCTCAGGCAACCACAAGTCTTGGTTTGGTTGGCCAAGGAATATTTTGATTGCCAAGCCAACCTCTTAGCCCAGCTCAATCCAAGAAAATAAAACACTGAGGTAGCTCAAGTTATTAAGAGTTTTATTAGTGACTGTTTTTCACAATAAAAAATTAGTGTGCCTCACTTGTTTCATATGTTTTTTTTCTTTTCTCCCTCAAGGTGAAAAGAGTTGCTGCCTGTTTGGCTTCCAAATGGGGATTTATCTTTCAAAAACCGTCTGTGATAACTACAAAACAAACTGTTTTCTTTTGCAACAAATTACAGCATGACCGCATTGTCCTTGCTTGGAAGTATACAGTGTATGCAAAAAGAACTCTCTCGAGCAACCTGTCTTTTCTTGCGCCCATAACTACAGAGTCCTCCCTGACTCTTAAAATCTCTGATAATGAACACTTTTCCTAAGCTTTCAAATTCTTGCACCCCTACTGTGCTGTAGCTATGGATTCCAAATTGAAGTAGTGAAGGAAGCTCGTACATTTTGTATTTTACAACTGCACAAAGAATCAACAGGCTATAATGTATATATACGTTTACATACATAGCACGCACAGCAACACAGGCTCATTCAGGCCAAACATTGATTTGGGAGTTTATTTTTTTTTTGCATTTGTTTTACTTTCAACTAACGTTTTGGTGTCAAGAACCCTTCCACAGCAAAAAGCTGTGATAATTATTTCTCTTTAGGGACAACTGCCTCAGCAGATTGGGTTGTTCAAGGGGCAACTACTAAGACAAATTGGTTGCCCCATTGATAATTTTGGTTGTCCGGGCCAACTGGACAACTGTTATTTTCGAACCCTGAATGTTATTTATGAAGTAATGGTGGGGTTTTGAAATTTTGTTAACATACATGTATGTCTAGTAAATTAAATGATTACACACATGTTTCCTCTTAAAAAATTCACTGACTTGACTTTCATGTTCCCAAAACATTTTATTTTGGTGCACCACAAAAGGAGAAGGCAAGGCTGCTGTAGCACTGCTGTTTGCTTTTCCCATTCAATGTATATAAATATTTTGGTCATAACAAGAAGTTTATTAGCACATAAAAGAGAGGAAAAGTAATTGAGGACAAACAGACTACAGTAGAACTGAACAGCTTTCTGGCTCTCTGATCACCAATTAACAATAATGTTACACTGCAAGTGCAAGTATTAGCATACACACTTGAAGAAGCTACAACTTTGCTAGAATAAAAAATGCTACATGAAAGTGAAAAGGTAAATACTGTTATTACTGTACTGCATATTATATCCTAACAACAAAACAGTCACGGCATACTGTACATTTATCAGATTGTTTGGAATTCTCACCTGCCAACTTGCACGGGATGATAGATTATCCACAGTTACCTTCCACTCTGTGTTGTATGGTGCACCATATCTACCAAGCATGCACAAGTCAACACAACAACCACATATTACAAGACCAAAGCAAGTGATCAAAAAAGCATGAATGACCAAAACTATCACAGAAGTCTACAGTGCTATACAAAACAATCCGATAAAAGCTAAATGGACAATCTAAGAAAGTTTTTGAGAAGTGTTAAAGAAAATATACACAATGTAAAATTTCATTACAGAGAATTATTGTTTTCAAGACTATGATGGACAGGCAATAGTTTTCCATGACACTAAATGACCATTCAAAAAGGGTTCATATGTTGTTTTTTTATTTTTCTTTGCTTTTGTGTATGGTAACACAATGTTAATGACAATGACTAAAGCTTGGAACATGACCGCTTTAAACACCTCACCAATTTTAATTGCCACAGTTTCTATCTACTCTCTGTAGCAGCTAAGTTGGTCGCAGCTTGAAGCACTGCCACAATGTTTTATGGCAAGAAATCTGTAATTTCTACACTCTGGTATTTTCCTTCAAAAGTTGCTTGCCGCCATCAAATTTGTTTTTGCCCATTCTTACCCTGGAAATGTACTCATGTTGTAAATGAACAATGCAACAATACTAGCTGTACAGATATACTGTGTACTATAATGCACCACTGCACTCTTCTTTCTTCTAGGACTGGATGTACATGTAAACTGAATCCCACTGCTGTACAGGAAAGGAGATGATATGAGATGCTTCCTATCCTACAAACCTGTCTCGAAATCTAAATCCACCACCTCTTCTCATTCCACTTCCTCCTCCTCCTCCTCCACCCCCACCACTACTTCCACTTCTTGATGTTGGACGAGCATGTTCCACTGTTATCCTAAAAATGCCAAAACAAGGTAGTAAATAATTTTTGTGTGGGCACAAAGGAAAGAAAGGGCACAAGCAAAATAAGCAATGGGTGCAAGGTAAGTGATGTTACATGTGAAGGACAAAAAGAGGAGAGGGTAATGCCTGCCCAAAAGGCATAAATTATACAAAAATAGACTGTTCTACTCTCTGAGAGAGCAGAGAATTTTTGTTATCCAACAACATCCTAAAAGAGAAAAGGTAATGCATATGTATGGCAACCAGAGAAACAGGTCCTATGATCTACAGATGTGAAACATTTGAAACCTTTTGTGTCTTTTTTTCTTTTTTCTTTAACAGATAACTAAAATGAGGCTCTTGGTAAATAGATTATTGTGGGTCATTATGATTAAATGTTAATACAATTTACTTTCCTAAATATTGCTTGGGAGATTTGCAACTGAGTGAATGAAATAATTATTCTGTTTACATTTGAAACAGACAGAAGGCTTACTCCTGTAAAGCCCAGCCATACTGTGGATGGCATGTAGTGAAGCATTAAAAAATGAGGTTTCTTTATAATAATAATAATAACAATAATAATAATCATAATAATCATAATAATAATAATAATAATTGTATAACTATTATACAATGTACAAGCAGCAGATACAGTACACGTAACTAATACTTGACCCATTCAGTATTTAATTAACTTGCATACATAAACCTTTACTTAGGAGTTGTAAGCTTAACTGTCACATACATGTAGCTCAAAGAACCAGTGGTTTAACTGGCTAACAAATTGTCTACTGTGTTTATTATGCAAACTTATATCGTGTTCGCGGAATGAGCTTTGTTGTTTTGAAAAAATATGAAAATTTCAAACACAAGCAGTGTTCTCCTTATCAGGCGGTAACTGGTAAAATTTACTGTCTGAAGTAACACTTCTTACCGCCTGCAACTGCTTGAAGGTTACTAAACTTAAGTAAGTTGTTTTAAAGAATACCCAAGTTTTGATCCGATCCGATCAAGAATACATGGAAGTGTACTAAAGTATACACAGGTTTTCTTTTTATGGGCCACGCATTTTGGAAAGAGAGCATTTGAAGACAGAGTACAATTATTAGAATCAAACGTTTTGAATTGTGATAACAACGGCTGATTTGCGTAAAATATAGGACTTCAAATGAGGGGCAATGACGTTTCAGAGAACTTAACGCCTTAATTTCACACCGAGGTCGAAGCCATGTCCTTCACTCTACTACCCCCTCCCCAGGAAAGTGCGCACATATTTTTTGCCTTACCGGCGATGAATGGTCCCTTACCTGCTGAGCTAAAATTTAGGGAGAACCCTGACAAGGTGTGTTTTATCTCACTTAATAACAATTTTTAACCCGTAACAGTATGGTAGAGGGGTTATAAATGATTTTTTAGGGTTTCTTGGACAGGTGCATCCTCTCTTCCCACATGTATCCTTCACCATCCTGCAACCCTCCAAGTTAAAGTTTTTGCCCAGTCACCATTTGGCAACCAACTCTTTTGGTTTAAGGAGAGTTTTTTACAAATCAAGTCAAGTCTTGGGCACCCTGGGGAGCAAAATGTTAGCAACTTGGAGGGTTGTCCTGGTCAGTGTCATCATTCTTATTTTGCACCTTCTTTGTATCAGGTGCCTGCTACACTTGAAAGGTACCTTTATATTGCAACATAGGACCAAGACCATGGGCCAACTTCAAATGCACTCATGTGTCTAGTTACATAAATGTGTACCTTTCTCCCAGAAACTCTTTGTGATTCAGTTCATAAACAGCATCATCAGCATCCTTGTAGTCATCAAATTCCTGGCAAGGAAAGAAGTACATTTGAAGAAACTTGCATGTAAAAATTAGGTAGCGTGCCCAATACTTAACAACCACCTTTACATGTAAGTCTGGTATATTAATAATAATAATAATAATAATAATAATGATAATAATAATAATAATAAAATTTATTCTCTAGATTGCGTATATTTTATAAAACTACATAGAGATATATGTACATAAGGGTTGCATTACAGGATGCTATAAATCCTTTATTACAATTGGAGTTGTTCAAATGGTGCGTTTGAAAAGGGAAAGGAGGGACACTTTTGGACAGCAAGCAAAGGATGGCGGGTTAAGGGGCATTGACAAATTTCAAGTTTTTCCTTCGCAGGGGGGAATGGGATTAAGATCAAAGTGCATGAGGTTCCCAACATGACACATATTAGTAATGAACACATAGAGGTCAGGAAAACTAAGTACTTTCATTTGCAAGGCCTGTCATTTTTGGATGTCAATCATGACAGGGGGACTAGAAAACTTTGAGATGATGATAAAGTTCACTGAGCATTGAAAGAAGCAATTTTCTTTAACTGAGATAGATCTGAAGTGTGAAAATGATTTTTAAAATAAGTACGTCATTTGTCAGAGAGACCACACCTAACCTGACAAGGAGCAGCCTGGTCGGACAAAAAACAAAGAAAAATTCACAACAACCTTTTTAATTTCACTGCTTTAACAGAGAACAGTCAGACATTCTCCCGAGGACATTCTTCTGATGAAAGTTCCTCATGAGAGTCTATTTAAGAGTGATGGCTTTTTTATGTGACCATTTGTTTGTAGTATTTCCTTCTTTTCTGATTTGGCTGTCCTCCTTTTGCCCTTTCCCACCCCTTGATGGGACTGGTAGGGTCATGAGTCATAGCATTGGTGATTCTAGATCCTCAGGATATACCTTCAAGAGTTTGCTGGGCAGAGCAAAGCTCTGTTCACACTCTTTACATAGCACAAATTGTTGAAGAACCTCTCCAACCCAGCATTGGACACAGGAACAGTAAACAATAAATGAAACAGTAGCAAAATGTTTTGCCATTGAATACTTCTTGAAGAATGGGAAATTTTAAACCATGTTGCTCTGTATGATGGGACGATGGTGATAAGTACTGCAGAGTGTAGTCAAGCACGTCATGCAGAAACAGATAAGCTAACTGTTTAAACATTTTCTCCAAAACATTAAAAAGATACAAATTTCTTTTAAACGGTTTGTCTAAAGCATAAAACGGATTCAGGCTTCTAGTAAACAGATGAACAAAGCTTTGAGAAGCTTTCGTGATCTGTTTTAAACGGATGGTAAACGGACAGTAAACAAATTTTTCCGTTAGGCAGTAAAGCATTAGTGTACAAAATCCTGTGCCCGGTCACAAATATTTCATTTGGAAAGGGTAGTTTTTAAGCAATAGAAAAGTATGTTCATTTTTCAGACTAAAAGACTAAAACCATTTTCTACTTAAGTGAAAAACGGTTTAACTATGTCGTTACTTTTCTTTTTGAAAATGCCAAAAATTTGGGTCGGCCTGAGATGCTCAACGGAGAAAAAAAGAGGATGGCCTAAAAGGTTTGATAGAGGGATGTTGCCAAGAGCTGGCTACTTGCTTATCTCACCAGGTGAAAAAGAGCTTACCACCAGGTCAAATCACTCTGGAAAACAAAGATATAGGGTAATATTGCAGGTACAGTTGAGTAAAAAAAGCCAGCTTGACCTGCCTAGCTTTTCCAGAGCTACAAACTGTCCACCAATTACTAAGGGATAAGTGTTAGGAAAACCAGGCTATCATTCCATTACCCTCTGGAGAGTGCTGCCCTATCCAGCTTTTGAACAACTGGAGCCTGATGACACATTTTTTTTCAAACTGGCCACAATTCTCAAAAATTTAGGAACCAAGTGGGCACTAAAAAAGAAAAAGTTAATTTCATGCTTTTAACAAGTTACGGAGTAAAAGCTGAAGGGCAGTCACTGCATAGACATGTAGGGGAAAAGTGTGAAAATTGTTTCGAGACAGGCGAATTTGGGCAATTTTAATGTAAACCGGGAGAGTACAGCTTGCTTTTTCAGCCGGAGGAATTAAACGTGCGTTCGATTAATTCTTTACGAAAGTGTCTGAAGTAAGACACAAAATTTATTTGATAACTTTTTAGCCAACAGACAGGCGAAGAAACACAGTATGCTTCCAAAGGTACCCTTTTACAGCAGATTTCCATTTCAAATTAATGTGCAATTTAAGCTTTTTAGCAGTACTTACCACAAAACCGAATCCGTTCTTTAAATTTATCTCCCTAATACGCCCAAAACCACGAAAAAACTTCTCAACGTCTCTCTCTCTTGCATCTCTAGGTAATCGTCCTAGGAACACTCTAGGAGCTCTGTCTCTGCTCATGATTTTTGTGACAAACTGCAAGGAAACGAAAGGACACAGCAACCACCACAGCAAGATGGTGGACAAATGAAGGGCAAGGATGCTATCCCATGAGGCCTTATTACTTATCGCGCATGACGTGGCGCATAATCAAAGCCTATGATCGCGGGCTCCGGGAAAAGAAAAACTTGCTTCAAAAAGTTGTTGATTCTCTTTGTGGAAAAATATACTTTATGTAACGATGGTGGAAAAACATAAAGATTTGCTAGAATGAGCGACTTAACACCTGATGAGGTAGGAATCACTAGTTATACAATAAGTCAACAAACCTTTTATTAACGCAAGATCCCGATAGGAAAACAGCACAAAAAAAGATGCTTTTACGTACCAATGTATCACGTACACATGCATGAATAGAGCCATTTATTGTAAGCTATACATTCATACTTTTCACTTTGGTTTAAATTCATCGCGAACTCTATCAGGCAGCCTGTAAGTGAATTTTGAAGTGTTGTTGGCTGGGAAATCTCAGATTCGGCTACATTTAATATGGTTTTGTTCGTAGTGCCCAACCCTACACTAGCTGGTGAAGAGTTCTTAAACTTTTATACATGTCGCTTACGTTTTGAGAGCTTTTGTGAATGACTTCATTCATATATTTCATTCATTTCATTTCATTCAGATCCTTGATTATTCATCTAACTGCTTCCCAATGGAACACTCAATCTCTTGCTAGATTCAATGAGTAAAATTTTCCATTTTCTTCCTAGTATACAGTGTAGCTTGTCCAGCTGTATTAATTACCATGACATCATTATAATGAGTGAAGAGTTTGTTCCTTGGGACAGAGGCTAAGCCAAAGCCTTAAATAAGATAATATTGTTACACATTATAATTACAATTAACTACTTTATGGACAGAACATAATCTAAAACCTTTTTTTAATTTGGGTAATTTACAGTTTAAATAAGTTTATTAATTTTAAATAGCTTATCAAGTGGATCTGAGCATATCTTGCTTGTAGTAATGTATCGGTCAAATTGAAGCTTCAACATGCCCCCCACCCCCCCATCCCCCCGGGCAACCACTCGGGCATTTGACTTTTTTTAAAATTATTGTTCAAATTCCCCCCTACCCGGGACAAAATGCCGTTCAAATCCCCCACACTAGGGTCCATTCAGGTGATCAAATGCCCCCACCCCGGGGACATTTCACAGGCACAAAAATGACAGAAAGACAGCGGAAACACTTTCAGTTGTCGAACAAAATATTAATTTATAAATATAACAAAAACTGAGAAACACTGTTAGCATATTTACTATGAACAAAAGTCTCGTGCAAAGCGACGGAAATCGCTGCTACAAGGTCACTGAATGCTCAGCTGTTCTTCGTCATGCAACATACAAAGCGTTCTGTAAAAAAATATCCCACCTATTGAGATTACTACATCATGACCATTTCACTGACACGCATCATCGTTCACCTTATTAATTAACATGCTTGCAGTAGGTGAAAGTAGTTGACCTGAGCTTTTTATTTTATTTTATGTTGTTGTATTGAATTGCCGATATTGGTATTGTATTTCATTGTAAACACAACAATGAAATACATTCATACATTCAAAGCCTGTATCCAATATTAAAAATTTTAAAATTTAAATACTTCAAATACGGCACAAAGCTTGTTTTAGCCCTTTCCTCGCAACCAATTGGCCACAAAGGCACAATCTTTTCCACGAAAATCCTCTAACACCATGTCCCCCATGATAGCTCGCCATGCAAAAGATTTTACATGAAATAGAGGGTGCAGTTCAAATTCCTCAACCCTAAAACATGGGGATCAAATTCCCCACCCCCTGGAAGACTCTGATTATCAAATTCCCTCCTCCCCGGGATGGTAAAGTTGTCAAATGCCCGGGGTATGCCGGGGGGGGGCATGTTGAAGCTTCAATTTGACCAATACATAATACAGTCACGTGAGAGTAAATTTCACTAATATTGAAAATATCAATGATAATACATGTTATAATATAGTACATGTATTAAACAATGACAATAATAATATTATTATTATTATTGTTTAACCCATTCACCCCTGATTCACCCTTAACCGTCCATGCAGATAGGCGTCCCTTCTACTGCTTGTGACATCATCAGTTTTAATGGTCAAGGACTAGTTTGTCCACTAACTTGTGCAGGGTGAAGAGATCTTTCAAACCATACCAGAATGAGTACAATTCAGTCAAGGACACCGGAGAAAAAGGCAAAAAAAAACACGTAACATTGACCTGAAAATTTCCATGAAAATCTTGTTCCACTACCCACCTACCTTTCCTTTTGCAAGCTAATATTTTGCATCTGGATCAGAAGGCTGCAAAGTTTATGACCTGTAAATGGCTTCATAGTAAGTTTTAGCTCTTTATTTAAATGTAGCACGACGGTGACCAGAAAACTGCTCGACTAGCTTCAAAATGCATTTTTCGGTAAAATTTCCAGGGGTGAATGGGTTAATATTAATAATTCCTGATAATAAAGATGAGGTAAATCATAATATAATAATTATTGCATGCTGTATATTTTACAGGTTTTGGTTTTGAAGAATATATTTATGTGCTGTAGTTAGCTTATTCTGTAAAATAATCGAAGTATGAAACTGGTAAATATGAGACCTTCGTACCCAAATGCAAAAAGCATTGAAATGTATCATGTTTCCATGCTAGTATATGGCTTGATTAGAGCTTATCTTGGAACCAATGTACTTCAGGACAGTTCATGACTGATACATGTATGTATTGGTTGAATTAGTAATTGCGAAAAATAATGTGTTCTAATGAGTGAGAAACAATAATAGCTGACCAACAATTACATAATAGACTGTATTTCCAAGTCAGGGTTACGTTGTCACTAACATTTCAAGTTACTCGGTAAATACAACAAGTAGGCAGGGAATCAAACAGCTAGGGATTTCTTTTGGTTCTATTTTTCTTCTATTTTCCTTTGAAAGTACCTAGGGCCATGTTCATAGTAGCCGGGGGACAGCCCTGCAAGTGATTGTTAAAGTCAATTACTGAATGTAAATGGCCGGTGGAAAACCTGTTAATACTTAACTTTGTGAATTGGTATGTACTTTGGACATTTTAAAAAACAAGGTTTCTCATAGTAAAACTGTAAGTAACTTGTTCGTGGTGCTAAAATGATTTTATCCATGTCTTACATGAAAAATCTTTGATTCTGTAAATTACCATTTACCATTTTGTGTACAGTGCTCTCTCTAAAAACTATTAATTACACAGTAATGAGCATAGCTATTGGTATAGTACTGTTGATTTAATTCATTACTGATGTATTGTGGATTTTCAGATCAGGCGTCGTCGCCTGGCCAGATTGAACCAAGGTGCCTTGTCCACATCCCCGACATCAGATGGCCAAACCATTCCAATGAGAACTAGCCTGAAACCTGTGGATGCAGAAGATTCAGCAGTTAATACTCAAGACAGTGGCTATGGTTCTTTGCCACAATCCTTTGAGTTTGATGATAACTCCCAAGAGACAGGGGATAAATATGGCAAGCGTACTTCACCAACTAGTTTGTCTTCTCCTTCAGAAGGTTTTAAATTCAAGAAAACAAGGGATGGATTTGACAAACATGGTGCTAATCATGCAGGGGTGAGTTTATAGAGTTATCCAATGTATGCTGTATTTTTCATGGTTTACTTGACATTATTTGTCATGGTTTATACTTACTATGTTGTGGAATGACTATCTGGTAAACATTTGGCTTTGCTTGGATTTGGTGGAGCAAAATGGTCATACAATAACAAACTAAAAGAAAACACACAGTGTAACTGCTGACTAAGTGTATAAAGTAGACTTCAACTTTTCAGTTCTAAGTTATAAAAAGTTTCCTTTTTGATGCGTCAGTTCTTACTGGAATCTAAAATGTGAAGAGACTGTGAATTTGATCAGCATCTTACAATTTCTTTTAGATATGCCGTTAAAAAAAATACATATAACGTGCATGTAAAAGTAAAAGGAAGTCTTCCTACAGTAAATACAAGCGTCTTGTTCTTGTAATATTGTTTGTGTCAAACTTTATTTGCCTATATTTTGGGTGTTAATCCACCACATGTGTAAATGCTGCAATTCCCATGGCCTGCACTGTAACACCCTCTGCGTAATTCATCATAATGATACAAAACTGAATCCAATATTATATTGCTTTTTATTATTATTATTATTATTATTATTATTATTATTATCATCATTATTATCCATACAAAATATTTCCAACTTAAAACTCAAACTGCCTGTTCCCAGGCAGTTTAAGATTATGAGGAGCTGTTCATGCTAGCAATTATCTGTTGAGTACACTGCAGTATTTGTGCTTCTTTTTCTATGATTTTAGGCAGCTATTTCTTCTTCGCATAACATGTGAAATCTTCTCCCATTATCTACAGCTCTTGCCTTCTGCAGTCAGACCCTTTACATCTCACCTCCAAATTTGTTCAACAATAGCTGGTTATTTAGAAGTAGTCAGGGGATTTGAGCCAGTGAGAAAATTATGCAGGAATATTTGAATAAATAATACATGTAAGATTGTATTATTTAAATATGATCATAATTATGATACAGCACATACAATGGAATCTTGAAACCTTTGTTGAAGAGTTAAGAGAGTGGCAAAATATGTTCAGTATAATAAGGTTTTGTTGTGGAGGTTCTGTTCCTAATAAAATTTTACTAATATTACTGGAGCAAAGAATGTCTTTTGTTGTACAGAGGACTTCCTTGAATAGACATAGAGGTTCACTGTATCGAAGTGGGTTTATTATTGTGTTTATGGAGGTCATTGTGGCAGGGAAGGGTGCTGCTCTTAGAAGCAACAGATGTTGTGATTTTAAATTTTAACTGGAATAATATTATTTAGTGTCAGGAAGTTATTGATGGTGGAAATGGTGGAATTTAATTAAAAGTATTTTCTATTCTTGCTCTTGCAGGTACATGTATATGTAACCGATGAACAAATTGTAAAAAGCCTTTGTAACATATTTAAAGTTTCATTGAAGGTGATGTTTGTTCTCAACATAATAATATTGTAATGTGCTATGTTATATAAAAGTGATAGTTAAATCAGTATTATTTTTATTGAACCTTTTCACTTGATGCTTGAAATTCACAGCATGTGTCTTGTTATGTGCTGGACTGCATGAATATGAATGTATAATTATTTGTTTGTTTGTTTGTTTGAAAAAAGGTACAAAGAAAGGCAATCAAAGAGGAGATGAGTTTTACACTCAAGTTGTCTGTGTTTTTATTTTAATTTATATGAACTTACCAAATTATGTACGTCATTCTTTTTGCTTTTAGAATAATGAACTATCTCCAGAAACAGTTTACTTGCCTTCATTAGCAAAGGATCTTGCAAGAATGAATCTTACCTCAGGTATTGGAATTGGTAGCAGTTACACTAGTAACAGTATAATTCCGGTGAAATGGAGGTTGATTCTGAATTGTCTTTGTCTCCTGAACCCTGAATATTAATGAATAAGGGCTAGGAGACAAGGGAAATTGAGAATCAGCCTACATGTACTTTGTAGTTAAAACATTATAAGACAGAATCCATCAGGAAATTGACTAATTTTAAATTTCAGTGGACATTCTTAAAGGTGAAAATAGTTATGTGTAATAACACCAAAGAAAATTTCTTATGGGAGCCTGAGAAAATAAATGTCAAACTTCACAAATTTTCAGAATTTTACCTGTGTTTTCACAATTGTGAAATTTGACATTTATTTTCTTGGGCTCCCATAAGAAATTTTCTTTGGTAATATTAATGAAAACTAATATATTATTACATCTATAGTCCTTGAAAACTGTAGAGAGAGAACGCAATATTCTTTAAATTATTCTGGTACAAGGTTTTTGTTCCCTGAAAATTAAAATTAATCAATTTCCTGGTGGATTCCATCTTTAAAACTTTTAACTACATTTAGTTTTAATGCCTAACAATATATTATGTAAATCCTTTATTAAGTTCCCCCTCTCTGATAAGCCCTCCCCTGTTAATAAGCCTCCTCTCTTTTAAGCCCCCCTCCTCTTCTCTAATTATTCTTCCTTAATAAATGATAGACTGTATTAATGGATCGTGACTGTAAAACTTCATGTGGGACTTTGTGTGGACTGATCCAGGATGGTTTATTCACCAACTGGAAGTTCAGATTTGTTTTTGATCCTTGGCTGCATGATCAGATGACCTCCAACTTCCTGTACTTGAGCTTTTCCACTTTGTATTCCAGTTCTTTATGGATTACTGATACCATCATCTTTTTTTAAATTAAATAAGACTGCCCTCTCAAATAAGGTATTGTGTTTTGTTTTGTGTAAAGTTGACGTGGAAGTTTTAATGAAAATCTTGTCCCACTACAAACCCACCTACACTTCCTTTCATCTAATCCTGTGATCCTAAAACTTTTCCTACCAAAGTGAAGCCTAGTAAAATGCTCAGTAAAAAAATGGGGCAAGAAAAGCAAAAGAAGAGGGTACAAATAAATTCTCCTTTTTTCTGCCCTCAGAAATGGCTCAATGTCTCATTTCACATTTCTTGCTGTCACAATTTGCACACTTTTGTCACATTGTTATTCCACCCAGCTTTGGCTTGTTGCTTGCTTGTTGGCTTTGGTCGCAGGGCTGTTTCACTCAAGCAAATTCAAAATTAAACATATTGTGAGATGTATTAATGTGAGCTGCTGAGATCTATGTCTTTTACAATTCAGTTACGTTTGATAAATGACTGTACACAATGTAGAACAAAAACAACACTGTATAAGCTCACTTTTTGGCTCCAATTTACTTACAAAATTAAACTGGACAGATGTATGTTTTACTTGTAACTGTATTTTTTCTAAAAGCTCTTCCTAACATTAATGCCACACTGACACATTTGGTTTCAATTTTCTTACCTTTATGATGAAAATGCTGTTTATTTAAATTATTCCTAGAAACTGCTGTCAATCTTATAAGTGAACTGATCACGGAGAGACTAACACAATCACATGTTAGTAGTGAAGGCCAAACAAGTTTGAGTGCAACACTTACTATTGCTGAAGAGACTTCTCAAATGGCCATTGATGATGGATCATCAGAGAGCAGATCTTCAGAATGTAGCAGTTTGCTGACAGAAGAAAAAACTGATTTTCTTGCCTTAAGAGAGACACCATTCATGTGTCAAACAAAGCAACTCAAGTTTTTGGCTGACAGTTATAACCGCACAATGAATGAAGAAAAGAATTTTACAAAGGTGATTTTTACTGGCATTGCAATAAAATGGTTTGAAATGTGTTTATACAATATTATAATGTGTGAAATAAACCATGTTCACACTTATGTTACTTTTTACCATTAAATAACAGCATTGGGTTTCAACTTGGATACATGTACCATTATTATTGATAGGTGCATGGAATAAGGTCCTAAGTGACCTATGCTAGACTGTAAAATTCTCCCTTTGAATTACAAGAATATACAAGGAAAATTGAAAGGAGAAACTGGTAGTTTATCATAGATCATTTGGGACTTCAGGCATGTCTTAAATGGAGGTCCTTATGACTCCGGCATACAAAAGAATTGAGCGAAGACACAAAAGTGGCCTCAAAGTAGGGCTGAAGCTTATCAGGTGTGGTAATCACACACACAAAAAAAGAAAAAATTAATAGGGGGAAAAGTGCTCAACTTTGAAACAACAATGTAAACAGGTTCTTAGACAGAGGAAGGCATTTAATTTGACTCTTGAAATGGGAACTAGAAAGACTGATCTTGTAGGGTGCAACTTCTCATAAAGACATTTAACCATTGAATTCTACAAGTTTAATGAAATATTATTTTAATAATACCAATTAATGTAGCCATATCTTATTATTAAATACTTATTACAAGTCATCATAGCACCTAACAAGTACAAAGGATTGCAATTTTTATATATATTATCTTAATTGACTTTATTTGCTTTAGCGATCCCAGGAAGAGAGATGGGTGACTGCCATAACCCAAGCTCGACGTCAATGTGTTTCATTTTCATTATGTGTTCTTCAGGGATACTTCTCTCAACAGAGGTAATATTAATTAACCAGGCTGCTGACTTGTGAAAATTCTCTTGTTGGATTAATGCAATCTTATTACTAGGTACTGATGGAAAAGAACTGAATTGGAAACAACAATGAACCAGACATTTTTGTGAACCTTGTTACTTTAATTTATAGATCTGTGATAAAGAAATCTCCACTGGTGCATCTGCTTATCAGTGAAGAATGTGACATTCCCTGGTTGTTTTTGGTTGATCTTGTTGCTTTGGCTGCAAAGGACTCTGATACTCTAAAACAGGTAAACTTTGTAAACAAAACTTTTTCATTGCTTATTTATCGCTTTTACCTTAGCCAGCAGTCCACTTTAAGGCCACAGTGATAATTTTAATCTTTTTTGCGGCTGATAATTATTATTGAAATTAATGAAGCTCCATATACATGTAAGTGATTTTTTTGTCCCCCTGATAATCACAGTATAGGGCTTCTTACACAGATAAAAAGGCCTGTTTGTAGTTTTACAGCTCTCTTTTACATTTATCTTGTGACACACAGGCAACTGCGTTATTTTTTTAGTGTACTGATCCCAGCAAAGGAAACATTTTATTGGAAATTTCAGGCTTTGTCGAAGCTTTAGAAAAGTCCTGTCCGGTAGTCAGCTCAGGACTAGTAGATTTTCCTGCCAGGCTAGTAATTTTAAAAACCTTCCTTGCCCAATAAGCAAGGGTTTAGGCAAGTCATGTTCCAATTAAAGCAAGCAATTTCATTGGAACAAAGATATGATCAACCCTAAAGTTTCTAATTCTTTTTCTAAAAATGACTTGTTCCCTCCTTAACTGATTGTAACACTTTTTACATGATTTAGTTGTCTATAATATTATGATTGTTATGTTTGTTTTGTATAAATGCTCACCAAGGGCTTTGATCTTTTATCCAATTGTCTCCACTTATTTTTTAAGCAATTGTATGGAGATCACTTTGAACAATTTGTATGTGGATATTGTGACTTAAAGAATTAAATAACATCATTATTGAACCCTTTATTTGTTGCTCTTTTATCATCATTAGGTGTTTGTACCAGTGTTGTTGGGTTTGAATCGTGAAATGCAAAAGCAGCATTTAGCAAGTGATGAATACAAGGCTCCATTACAAGTAAGCACATTTATTTTTTTTATTTTTTTATTTTTTTTTATAGCATAATGTTGAGGTGGCTCTGTCATTAATACAGGGGTGTTGAGCTATGATGAACTTTTTGTCATAACTTTGTTGGTTTTAACGCCATGGCTACAAAACTTTGGAAAGAACTACAGATATTCAGCAATAATATGAATTACTGGTGGTGAATATTTTTTACAAAATTATCCCTTAAGTGGACTCTACTTTTCAAAGAAAATCACATCTAGTAAAAAAATTTTGCTGATATTTTTGACTGAGATTTCTGGTATCAACCTCAGAGAAGTCGTTGGAGCAGAAGTCCTAAACTGGCAAGCCCTTCAAAATTAAATGGTGAAATTGTTTTGGAATTTTGATAATGAATTGCTGGAAGAACAAGCCACCAATTTGAATTTTCAAGACAAGTAATTCTAATTTGCTAATTCTTACAACCAAGGCCTATTCTCTGCTATTCTTTAATTATTAAGAAGTACTCTCTAGTTTTAGAAACACTATGAATTGCTCCAAACCTTGCTGTGATGTCAAATCAATTTTTCTACAATATTTTTCGAGTTTTGGCTGAAACTCCTGTTACATACATTTTAATATATTACAAAGCATCTTCATCGGCTTTTACTGCTGTGCGTTGCTTCCGATGAAAAAATAGGTATTGGGATTAATAATAATAATAATAACAACAATAATTATAATAATCATGGTTTATTAGTATTCCATAAAAATGGCTCTTCTATGCTACATTACTAACTATTAAAACAAACAATAAGATTTGAACAAAGGTAGACTGGGCAGGATTAGCTTAGTCGGTAGAGTGCTTGACTGCAGAGCGGGAGGTCACGGGTTCAATTCCAGGAGCCAGACCAATACTCAGGGTCTTAAAATAACTGAGAAATGAAGATACTGCCTTTGCCCTGCAAATGGCCAGACCTTCACCTGACTCGAATGACCACATAAAATGGCGGTCCCGTCTCCAGTAGGAGACGTAAAAATAGTGTCCTCAATTAGTTGTTTCGTGCTAAATACATTGACACTCAAATAAACTGGATTTTTTTTAAAGGTAGAACTTTAAAAGAAGATATATATTTATGTACATAAAAATGGATAGAAGTTGTTATAATATAGATTAGAAAGTACAAGACTTTCGGCTAGTTGTTGGATTATAAAATTGTTACCTTGTACCAGAACTCAGGTAGTACTGCCAGGAATCTTAGTTTGTTTATGACTGTGAAATGAGCACAACCGCACCTCAGCCGCTGGGACAAACAACAATGATGTCCATGCCCGTGAACCAAACTTTATCAAAAGGCCAAATAAATGTATCAAGAAAAATACTTTCCGTGTAAAATTTTAAAACTTTAAAAATTTCTTGACTTCTTTCTTTAATGAATGGGTGATACTTTTCTTGATTATCATATTTTACTTTGTGATATACAAATCGCTTTGTGGGCATGGGCATCATTGTTGTTCATCCCCTGGCTGAGGTGAGAATTCCTTGCAGAACTGCCGTCTGAGCTCATTTCATAGTCATAACCAAAGATGATTGACAGCTCTACCCGAGCTTTTATACAAGGTAGCTTAAAATCCCTATAACTATTTTTGGAAATGGACTCGACACCTAGCAGTTAAATATATGTTGTGGTTTAATTTTATCCTTGGTTTAAATTTTATTTTCTTTTTGTTTTTGGGTATGGTAATTTATGATAATGACTTTGAAACAAAAGAAAATAAAATTTAAACCAAGGATAAATTTGAACCACAACATATACAAGGGTCATGAATCTGCATTGGCAGTTCAGGGGTGAATGGGTTAACTATATTTTATTACATTCACATACACTGTACATTTCTAATATAGCTGACCGTGATGAGCTTAGTGACATCTTCTGATCAATGCTCCTGGTAAAGGCTCACATATACAGAGCACCGCTACTTTGTCAGTATTGCAGCAGTTGTTTTCAGTAGTCTTCTAGCACCTTTTGTAGCAGTGATATATATAACAACAGCTTTTGCCGTATATTAAGCACTGTTTGCACTTGCAGGAAATATATAAAGAGGAATAAAAAATTTTATGATACTCTTTTCATGACATATGAAATCTTTCTCTTTCTAGTTACCTAGGCAATTCATTGTTATACATAAATATTTTATGGAAGGTTTGTTTGTATATGACTGTGAACAATATTATTTTATATTGCTATTTTTTTCATTTTCCTTTGGAATCAGGCACTCTCTAGGTTGTGTGATATACGTCTTGGAACAGCTTCTGTTAGACCCATCTGCAATCTGGTATGATGATGAAACCCCTATTTCTTATCCCTTGAAGTCTTGATATTAATTCTCCTCACTAACCCTGGGTTGATACAACTTGAACTTCATAATGGTTTAAGGCCTTATTACCCAGAAAATATTGTAAGTTGATTAGAAAACACAGTAGAACTTACAAAAAAAACCACATTTTTCCATGTCCTTGTTGTCTAGCGATAACATATATGTTGTAGTTAATTTTTTTTCTCAGGTAATTTTTCTTTTTCTTTTGTTTTTGGGTATGGTAATGTATGCTAATGAAGTTGAAACAAAGGAAAAAGAAAAGTTATGTGAGATAAAAAATTAACGACAACATATATGTTGTGTTCCATTGCGTAGATGAGCGGGAGGGGGGGGGGGGAGTTTAGCAGAGTATTACAGTATTTGTCTGCTGGTGAGGATGTTACTGGAATTTAACAGAATTAATATTTTACTTTTTTCAAAAATAATTTCAAGTAAATTTTTATATTTACAGGGAAGGTCTTAAAAACCTGGCTCATACTTAGGCTTAATGTGGGGGGTTATGTTATTTTTTTGTGTTATTTGCTCAGTAAGTTAAATCAATAACCCTGAGAGCACAACTGGTTTTCTAGTAAAATATTATTCCTTTTTAAAAAATTAATGATTAGACCAACAACCTAAAGTTAAAATAGTGTAAGTGTGAATTTGTTGAAATACTTTCGTTATTAGATGGTGACTTTGCCTGATCTGTGGATGCCATCTCCATTATCAAGAGCTGAAGGGAAGGAGATTGAAAAACTCTCACTCCTTGGTCCTTTTCTTAGCCTGTCTGTGTTTTCTGAAGACTGTGTAAGTTTTTGAAATTTAATTACAGTACACTGATGTACAGAGGCTAGTAATGAAGCCCTGTTAACGAGGGTAAATTTCAACATGGGCACATGGCCATGAAACAGGGACATAAGAAAACTGAAATGGTGGCCAACAATACAAAGATGGGTTATAACTGCAACACAGCAATGAAGAGAAGCACAAATACAATAATAAAATACGAACAGGGATTAGGATTAACTTAGCACTCAATACGCAAAACACAGTTTTGAAATTCACATTAGGGACATATATTCCTCCCTAAGAGTTGTGGCCTCAGTAATATGCTCTTGTTTGTAAATTCATAATATTGCAGAAATCCTACACCAATATCAATTATTCCCAGCAGATTATTGTGCTTTTCAGTAATGTGCAACCTCCAAAGTATTAAATTTTATTCTAACATTTACATTTTTGGCTGTCCAGCCATCAATCACCCTTATTGACCTCTCAGGAAACCTAAATTTTCTACAGTGGGTTCAAAAGGTCACATTTGTAGGTTTTAATTGGTAGAGTTTGATCAATTGACTGGTCCATTATGACCTCTTCTACCCATAGCAACATACCGGTATAACATAACATCTTCACTAAGTCAATCAAGGATCACTTTTCCTGGCAAGTTGTTGTCAGTTTTCCAACATGACAGGAGAATTTACTGCATTTGGTCCTCACAAACATTTCTGATAAGATTGTTGACATCAAAGAATTTTATGATATTTTGGACTCAGTCCACAAACTCATTGAATTTCGCATTGACCTTCGCATCACAAGAAACCACCAAGTCACACGACAACTACATAATTTCAAGAAAGCTGGCTGGTCAGGCCTCAAACGTACACTCAGTTGAATTGACTGGGTTTATGTTGTGGGGAAAATGATATTGATCAATGCTTCGCTTGTCAACTGGTCTGATGAATTTCTCTGTTGACCAACACATTCCCAAAAACGAAGCACAAAATGTAAATGAGCATCCCTGGATTAATCACAAATTGCTTAAATTAATTAAAGTCAAAAACAAAGTGAGAACTGCAGCAAAAAAGTGGCAGCACCAATGATCAAAACAAGTTCAAACAAAAAAGACGTGAGGTTAAAGCACTTATTGATCAGGATAAAAAAAAGCGGCACTATTCCACCAATCTGAAAGGATCTCTTCTTATTTAACACTAAGCGCTTTTGGTCCTTCGTCAAATGTATGACAAAACAAAGTCGGCACCTACCTTTCTGAGAGACGGCAAACGTTTTGTCTTTAATAAAAAAACAAAGCAGGCTTATTAAACTGCTTTTTTCAATCAGTCTTTTCTGCAAACAATGGAACAATTGAATTCCCCCAGGAGACAACTGCTATACTCACTGACCATCTAAGCAAACTTTCTTTATCATCATCTGAGGTGGCAAAAGTTTTGAATAACATCAATCCAACCAAAGGGCCTGGTCCAGACAACATTCCAGGTAAATTAATAAAGGAAATTGTGCCCTAAATTACAGTCTCTCTCTACCACCTGCTCAACCTTTGCTGTCACTGGGCAAATGCCCAGATCAGTGGAAACTGGCAAGTGTTTGTCCTATTTTCAAAAAAGGTGACTCAACGCTAGCCAAAAACTATCATCTGATTTCTTATTATCCATCTTGTCCAAATGCTTTGAAAGATGTGTTTTCAGTTATAATATTGTTATCCACACATTTCATCTCATGATCAGCTATATCACCTGCAACACAGACTTCTCAGAGGAAGGTCCCCTGTCACTCAGCTTCTTCAAGTCTATCATCACGAAGTCATTAATGCCTTAGCTGAAGGCAAAGAGATTGATGTGATTTATTTAGACTTTGCCAAAGAATTCGACAAAGTCCCCCACTCAGCCTTTATCAACAAGTTGTCTCACTTTGGTGTATCCGGCCAGTTGAGACAATGGTTCCAACAGACGTTTCTCTCCAACAGATATCAGCGAGTAGTTCTACAGGGTACCCATATTTCCAACTGGCTACAAGTTACTTCTGGAGTACCTCAAGGCTCCATATTAAGCCCACTACTCTTTCTCACCTATATCAATGATATTCTGCATCCAACGTGAGTCGAAAATAGGAATTTTCGCTGATGACTCCGAATTGTACAAGATAATTTTGAAGCCGTCTGATAAGATCTCTCTTCAGTAAGACTTGACTCAGCTCTCCAACTGGAGTCACACCTGGGCAATGAGCCTCAGCACACTTAAGTGCAAGACCCTAAACATCTCCAGGAAAAAACTGCTGTCAAACAGAGAATACCACCTAGATGGGACCGTACTAACCACAGCTAGCGAAACCATCAACTTGGGCATAACCACTACAGACAACTTCAGTGGTCTACAGACATACATCAGATCTTCCTGCAAGTAAACCGTACTTTTGGCCTTATTCGCCAAATCTGCAGAGACATCAGTGACACTTACACTAGGAAACTTTTACACTGTTCAATTGTTCGCCCCAAATTAGAATATGCTAGTGAACTTTGGTCCCCTTACACTTGTAAGGACAAACGTTTGTTAGAAATGTCCAGCGCAGAGCTGTGAAGTTTATTTTGAATTTCTTTCGGATGATTTATCCGAAAGACATGTCTTACAAGCAAGGATCGGTTGGTCAAACTTAACCTGTTGCCACTGGATTATAGAAGAGATTTGAAAGACCTAGTCCTTATTTTTAAATCCAAAGCAGGCCACGTAGATCTCAGCCATCAATGCTTTTTTCAGCAAACTGAAATACACCATTGCATGAAAATTTAACGCTACCATTTACCCTATGTGAAACAAAATTATTTGAAAGACTCATTTTATTATAGATCAACAGCTACTTGGAACAAACTACCTGTAGACATCAAAAGCACAAATCAGTCACTTTCTAGTTTTAAGAAAAAGGATTTTAGACATTTACACTTGCAATACTTTATCTTATGTCCTCCCAGCTCAGCCAGTGGGGTATAGGCTGATACTTATCTGTCTGTTTTTAATGGAAAGGGGAGCAAAAAGTGGTTAATGTTGGGGGGGGGGAGTAGTGGGGTTCCATTTAATGTTGGGGCAGTGGGGGTTCCATTATCTATGGTTTTATTCCATTTGTTTTCTCTAACTAAGGTATTTTATATTTTATTTATGTACATATTTTTTATGTTCATATTAGTGGAATTAATAACATGCAATGAATTCCATAAAGTTAAAGTTAATTGAGTATGGCGTAATCGTGATTGACAGAATTGAAAAACTAACTTGTTTCTAAATCCTTGACTTGAGAGGTTGCATGTTGTTGAAAAGTGCAGTAAGAACAATGTTGTAGCCTGCTAGCTAGCAAGCTGTCCATGGAACATCCATGTTTACTCAGTGATGTTTATGTTGTGGTTATTCTACAGCCTCAGATTGTGGAGCGCTACTTTTCTGAGTGCTCTGACAGTGTAAAGCTCGTGAATGTGACTCTGAGGAGTGCCCTTCTTTTAGTTAGAGTAAGTATATAATTTATGACTTATAATTAATTTTTCTCATTTATTTTACGTTATTTATAAAAAAAGGTTCAGAAATAAGTTTACTGGTGTCCTCATAACTGTTTTTCTCTTAGTTTCTGGTGATGTGCTAATCAAAAGTTATAATCAACAATAATTTGATTGTACATCCATGCAAAAATGTGCTTACATGTATATTATGCTAATGCACTTTTAATACATGGCTTGTCTTCTCTCATTTAGGGCTCAGAATGGAAAATTAATCCTTGGAATGTTCATAAATTAATATTGTCATATACACTTGCATTTGTCTACTGCAGTAATGAAACTTAACAATGTATCCGTATAATTATTTATTGAATAACAGGTTTGAACATGCATCAGTTGGTAGCCCTGACTCTGAGATCAAAAATTTCCTAGCAATGTGGCAATTTGCCTCTCTACCATAAGATTTGCATTGTCGTTGTTGCATTTGCCATTTTTAGTTTATTATGCCAACTTGTTTACAGACAGAAGTGTTCAAGATTATTCATAGCATGTTAGTGTCAATGGAGAGTCGTGATTCTTGTTTAACGTTCATGGGAGCAGTTTTACAAAGAAATCACCGCAAAGCACAAATGCAGGTCAGTCAAAATTTGTAGTTGCAATTTTTGTGAATAGATATTGCAGTGATATTACAGCAGATAGTGCTATCCCTGTACTAGTCAACTAAAATAAGAATTGTCTTTCTTTGTACATGTATGTTTGGTTCAGGTTGATGATAGACAAGTTGCTTCTGATGGATTTATGCTGAATTTCATGACAGTCTTACAGCAGCTTTGTGGAAAGGTTAAAATTGAAAAAGTAAGTCATGAAAACCTAGTCTGGTGTTTGCTAGAAAGGACGTTTTCTGCATTTTGTCCTAGGTTAGGAAGGGAAAAAGTAGCTTGGAAACTACTACATTTTTGTGAGCTGAGTGTGGTTAACAGCTCCAGCTTATGAACTGGAAGTCAGCTGAGTTCGACCCTCACTGCCGTGTTTTTTCCCCTAGATTAAAAACTTTGCTCCTCTCTGTCTCTATTCACCCGGGTTTATAATATAAATGGCTACTGGCGATTTACTACCAGGGGTAACCCTGCAATGGACTAGCATCAAGGGGGGGGGGGGGGGGGTGGGGGTGGTGGTGTATTAATATTCATAGGTCCTTTGTGCTTAGAGACCTGGGCTAAAGGGCACCCGTGTGGGTCTCATGGCCTAAACTAAGTAGCTATACAGGACTCGAAACACATGAAATACCGTAAAATTCCGAAAATAAGCCCTGGGGCTTATATTTTTCAAAGGCCCTTTTTGAGGGGCTTATCTACGGAGGAAAATTTGCGTTTCAAAATCGATTGGGCTAGCCTTATAGTTGAAAGTAAATTTACTGTTTTGGCTTTGTTTTACTTTGTATTTGAGGGTAATTTTCCAAGTACAAGCCCCCGGGTGGCTTATATTTGGAGGGGCGATTTAACGGAGGGTTTTTTGCGTTACCGGTTTGGGGGGCTTATTTTTGGAGGAGCTTATACATGGAGGGGCTTATTTTCGGAATTTTACTGTACCTTCCCCTCTATCCTCCAGTCTTATTGATGACACCTTTTTTTACCTTAATACTAGCTGTCATTTTCTCATGGAGTAGTGAGAGTGCAGCATTTATGTCATGCAATTTGTTTGCTTCATTTGCTTGTTTCAGTGACCTCAACATTCTGTTATTTACCTCTGGGAATATTGTCATTTTTTCTTCTTTACTTCTCAAACTCATTAATAATTCATAAAGAAAATACAAAGGAAGTTAATGTTTAATGAGTGTTTGGAAATCAGATGAAAAACTGCTCATTTTTGCATCCTTAATTTCTCCTTCTAAAATCATTTTGTTTGAGAAGTAATATCAAGCATTTGACACAGTGTTTCATCAACAGATGTTCGTCAAAAATGCTCCTCTGCGCGTCGTATTTTCAACTCTCTTCTTCGTGTTTCATCTGGTGATGAAACTCTGCATCTCTTGCTTGATATATTACTTAAATGATATCTTGCAGCAGAATTTCTAGTACTTAAACACTTAGAACTTGTTTTGTTTTGTTTGTAAACAGGTAGACAGTCTGTATCTCCATCATCCTAAGTCAAGAGTAGATGTTACACAGGAAACAAGACTAAAACTTACATCACAACAAGTTGCAGATTGGAAACAAGAATTAGGTAGGGACACCCAAGATAGGTTATCAACAAACCTGTTGACACATGTCCTGGTAAATGGCCGGCTTGGCTGATATGGATAATGCTACCCAATAATATGGTTTTGTTTTAAGTGCATAAATTTGGAATTGACTTTATCTTAGGTGTGGTGCAAAGGGGATACAAGGAAACATAATTCTGGGTGGTTTTGTTTTTCGATAATGGAACCTTACGTCTGAACCGTTCATTGTGTTGAAAATAATGTAACCAAATACAGTTAACCAAAGGAATGACCAGAACTTTCCCAGAAGTCAAATGGCAGGGATGTTGAACATGAGCACAATGATAATTCAACAAATACTAAAAAAAGGGAGTAGGTCAAACAAGAAAAGGAATTTCAAACCGAGTGGTATAAAAAAAGGTCAAATAGTTTGGCCCTGTTTCAAACCAAGTAATACCAAAAAAAATTCATGTATTTTGGCCCTGTTTCTTTAAAAAGGGGCCTGTATAACTTAACAAGAGCGTCCATATGGCTTTTATTGGTCAATTAGAAAAAATCCTTGAAATGCAACTGAGGGCACAATGCTGGTTGAGTTGCAAAAAGGAGATAATTTAGCGTTTTTCCTTGTGCTGGTGCCCTCGCTTAGCTTCTCATGTCCTACGGCTTCATGGCCTCTTGCTGCTCACATTTTTCCAATGCCACTTCACTTAATTCGGAAAAAAATACACCAGATTGTTTGTAGTACAGCAGAAAACACACTACTCTTGATCCTGTACTTATATCCTGGACCCATACTTGGGTCAAAAAGTAGCTAGTCATCCAGAATAAACATTTGTAACTCACAGAGGTTATTATTCAATATCAACAGCCAAAAAAAATTCATGGTTGGAGCCCAAATTTCCTACAGAATGTTTCTTTATGGCGATTGAAGCACATCATTTGGCTCTGTTGCCGGCATGTAGAAGACATTCACGCAGGCAGAGAGCTCACCGTGACTTAACACGCATGATTGAGCATCTAGAATCACATGAGAGTGAATGGATGGAAACGCCGATGGCCTCTCGAAATAAAAGCTTGTTGAAAAAATGGAGAGAACAAATCAAGGTACTTCCAGGTTTTGTTTTCTGAACTGAATGTTTTTTTTATTACCTATTTAACCCATTCGCTCCTGGAGATTTTGCCCAAAAACGCGTTTTGAAGCTAGTCGAGTGGTTTTCTGGTCACTGTCGTGCCATAAAGAGCTAAAACTTACCACAAACCGGTTTACAGGTCGTGCACTTGGCGGCCTTCTGATCCAGATGCAAAATATCAGCTTGCGAAGTTCGGGCATGCGCAGAAAGCAAAATTTCGAGAAAACCCAAAAATTTTTTTGGGTTTAAAAGTGACACAGCAGTCTTGACTTTTACTTTTCGCTTTCTCTCCTCCCTTCTTTTTTCGCTTTTCTTGCCTCATTTTTTTTTTCTCTTGCTGGGCATTTAGTAGGCTTCATTTTGGTGGGAGGAGTTTTTAGGAAAGCTTTTAGGATCTTAGGATTAGGTGAAAGGAAAGGTAGGTGGGTAATGGAACAAGATTTTCATGGAGATTTTCAGGTCCTTATCACGTGGTTTTTTGCTTCTTTCTCCGGTGTCCTTGACTGAATTGTGCTCATTCTGGTATGGTTTGAAAGATCTCTTCACTCTGCACAAGTTAGCGAAGAAAGTTGTCCTTGACCGTTAAAACTGATGACGTCACAAAGGGTAGAAAGGACCTGGATCCGCACGGGCGGTTACGGGCGGTTCAGGGGCAAATGGGTTAAGTATTTAACTAAAAGTCTAAGGAGGATTCCATTTCCATGTTTTTCAATGATTAGTTCAGATATCGACTAGACAAAATTATAGTTTTACTTTACAAACAAGTAAAGTTTTACCTTAAAATAATGTTGTCTTTAAAGACGATTATTGTGCATGGTCATAAACAGCAGAGCTGTTCGCATTTTAAGGTGAACTTAAAATTTGGTCATTTCACGTCGGCAAAGAAATTTAGAGAAAAGCGTAATATATGTGCAGTGTTGTTGCTTACTTTTCTCATTGACCTTCCCGTTGAGGTCACCGTCTCAGGGCGCTTTCCATTTGCTAGAACTGACCGGCCAGGACCATTCCAGTCATAATGAGAATTTCACGTTTAATAAAAACAATCCAGTCAGATCAGTCAGATCCCAAATAGCATGCACAATAACTCTTGGAAAAAGCAGTTATCATTATCAAAATGACTGATCTGGCCGGGCCGGTCAGTTCTGACTTTTGGAAAGCGCCCTTAGTTTCGTAAGGTTTCTCTTAAAAACACCTTCTACGGCTAAGCTCACATGATGTTACGGGTGCTCAGAACGGAAAGCTAAAAATAACGCTATAAATTTTTGGTGAGATGTAACAGGTGAGTCTTCATTTTCTACAGCTGCTTCCAAACGTAATAGGGAGTTTTATTTTTTTGGAGGACGTAAACACATGGTCACAACAACAAATCACTCTTTTCTTTCTCCTTCTAAATTTGTGTTTGGTCCCCGATAATTCAGTTCCAGGAAAATTTACCAACATTTGACGTTTTAAACAAGCTGAAATATTTACGACAAAATCTGAAAAAATGCGAAGATGTTTTAACACTAACGTTTTCGCTTCTGTCACCGTTGTCGTTGCTAAAGCCCCCTGCCGCTAATGAGAGCCCTGTCGTAGTCTCCCTCGCAACGATGTTTGTCCCGTCACGCCAACAACGGCTGCGAGGGAGGCTAGTCCTGCTAGAGTGGTAGCCATTAAGAGCTGAACGAGACTGGGTTTAGCCGAGAACCACATATTAAAAACAGGGATACCCTAAAAGGAAAGGGTTTCTTTGGACCATACCTACTCTGTTGTTTAGCGAATAAAACTATTTTTTCCAAACTATGTTGTATTTTTTGCAGAAAATTGAGAATGGAAAGGCCTGTTCGGACGTTGTTCTCCAAGATGAAGAACTTTTGCGTGGTTGTTTAAAATTCTATTCATTTTTGGTTACTTGGATTTTAAAGCTCCTCAACCCGAGTAAAAATGAGTAAGTTCATTGCATCAATAGCAGATAGACAGGTATAAAGCCTGAAACCAGGTGTGTTAGTGTAGGTCAGAGTTCTCAGTTTTCTTGTCCGTTTTTGGGAAAAAGATTGATTTTGTTAATATTTGTATCAGAATAGTGTTTTCTGCTGCTCTCACCCACACTCCAGATTATGGTATATGGTGGTAATAATTCCCTTCTTAATTTAGCATGTTTATACTTCTGAATTGTAAAAGGTTTTTAAGAATAGACCTTTTTACCGATTCGGCGGCCATATTGAATTAATTCGATTTAAGGAGTATTATAGGATGCCCAGGGGGCATGAGCACATTTCGTTTGTATTTTACGAGCGTTTTTCGGGGCATTTTTTCTCAAAGTTTTGTTAGAATAAGATTGTAGTGGGAAAAAAGATCGTTGTGGCGTTTTTGGATATAATAATGATCGCCTTTTTCCCGAGAAATATACAGTGAAAGACCATATTTCTAATACTAAGCTAGAAAAAGGCGATGATTATTACATCCAAACACAGCATAATTATCTTTTTTCCAATTAGAATCTTATTCTAAGAAAATCTTAAGAAAAAATTTCCCGAAAGGCGCTCGTACAAACAAACAAACAAAATGTGCTCATGCCGCCTGGACATCCTATGATACTCCTTGTTTCTTCCTGCTAAATTATTTTTGTGGCGTTCCTATGGAGTCTATTCTCACAACATCAAGGCACGGTTGCTAGGGTACTTCAAATAAGGGAAAATGAACTATGCCGGGAACACCGAAATCATAAGAAAAGAAAATGTTTGTGTATTGCTTTGTGTATTACCGTTATACCTGAATCTGTTCTCATGAATAAGCAAACAAAGTATGTTACATGGTGGTGTACAGCAGTTGTAATTTATGTCTCTGTTCATCGTCCAGACTCAGACTTCCTCTTCCACAAAACATTGCAATGGAACTTGCATCGCTTCCTGATTACTATGTTAGTGATGTGGCAGAGTTTCTTCTATTTGTCAACATGTAAGTACATTATCATTCCTTTGTTTACTCTTCTTTACAGAATAATTAAAGCTATGATAGTACTGTCTATACATTATATTGTTCAACAACTCACCAAAGTAGACACTAAACTAGGGGTCAATGTAATAAAGCTTTACAGTTAAACCAGGTCAAGCGTTCCCGTCGCTAACGAACTAATGAATTCATTGATGGAAAAATGATTTCGTTTGTTGATTCTATAATCCATTCATAAAATGAATAATCCAACAGTCAAATTGTACCTCGATTCAATAATTAAATGTTGATTTGGTTTATGAACAAAATCTACCTGTTCTTTATTCTTGTCTGTTGTGTTCAATCGTATTTGCTTCCCTTTTCCTTTCGTTTACGATTGCGTTTTTCATTGCCTTTAATCAAAATAACAGCTAGAATAGACAGACCGCAAACGCAAAGAAACTGACAAAGGCCGAGGATCGAAATCCACCAATCACCGCACATACACTGACCTCAGTTTGACCGTCGTGTTTTCTAAGAGGTCAGGCCTAGGTCTGTTGCACTGATTACTGGCAGCAAACTGGCGTACAGGTAACAGTTTGTTTGGGTTTGAACTTCAGAACTCGCCAGCAGTCGACTCTCAGAAAAAAAAAGAGGAAAAAACAAAATTCTGAGGTCAACTTGTGGAAAGTGTAGTTTTTCAAAAAAACACTAATCGAATCAACATTCGATTATGGAATCGACGCTAAATATGAATATTGGATTGTTCAGTTTATGAATGGATTATTGAATCAACAAACGAAATCATTTTTCCATGAATGAATTCATTAGTTCGTTAGCGACGGGAACGCTTGACCTGGTTTGACTGTAACAAGTGTAGCCATTGTTGAAGGGTCTGAAAACAATAGCTATACTTGTAAATGTTTTATTGAATTGACCCCAGATAAAATGTTAGAACTTCTAAATGTATTGAAGGGGGAAAGTTTTAAGAGAATATTGTTCATGAAGACCTATCATCTTCGCAAATGGAAGACTACTTTTATCGTTTGAATATACTGAAGTACACTTTTAAGCTATTCCTCTCAATGCGTACACAATGTAGATAAGTATTGTTGTTAATAACTACAACTGAATGTATTGTTTGTTGTTTATTAGGCATGCCTTTTCAGTCCTTGAGGATCCTGTTATGAATGACATTGTTACTTTCCTTCTGGTGTTTGTGTGTTCACCAAACTACATATCCAATCCTTATCTTGTGGCAAAAATTGTTGAGGTATGTAAGTTTGATTTACAATTCATTTCCTTTTTAACACCGGCAACCTTCACTTGACCGACCATGATAGCAGTCAGTGAGACTCTGATTAACGATATGATAGATCAGGGGTTGTTAATTTTGGTACTGCTATTTTGATTATACTATTGTTCCTTCGCTCTTAGAGGAAAAAAGCTTTTATGAATGTCAAAATTAACTTTATTTTGTTTCAGTAGTTTTTGTAGCCTGCCTGCGGTTTGATCAATTTTTATTTTTTTAAACCAATATCTCGCCCTGGTCTGTAAACTTTGAAATTGTGCTAAATTTGACGAAAAGCGTTCAGTCGTGTAGTATATTCACCAACCTAACCCCAGCCTCTTCCAAGCCTGCAGAGTGGGATATTTTCACTGTTTTGAATAATGTTTCAGGTTTTGTTTGTTATGAATCCCAATATTCAACCAGCTGCTTTGAAGATTCATGAGATGATCCTCTCTCATCCACTGGCCATGGATAACTTGGCTCCAGCGCTAATGAATTTTTACACAGGTATGTGGGTACTCAGCTTTCATAACTCGTTGTCAATTTACACATACCATCGCTAGAAAGTTGAAGAATATTAAATGTAATATTTTCATCAATTTTCCACTGTAGATCTCTCTTTTGTCTCGGACTACAATGGGCTTAAATGAAATGCAATGTAGTTGGTCATACATGACCACACAGACTTTCAGCTAAAAGTCTTATTATGTCAAAATAAAGGTTGATTGGTTACTTAGGGCCTGTTTACATGGAGGTGGGGGACCCCAGGTAGGTGAGGTAACCCGCTTAGGTGAGGTAAAAAAATAACCCTCCTTTACATGCAATCTTACAACCTCGCCTTCCCGGAGTGCACTTTCTCAAGATTATTGAATGGTCGCTAAGCACGTAAACAAGAAAAATGCTGGCAAGCCACGAGTTTTGGCGATTAATGCACTTCTTCACTCACTTGTTGCTCTTGCTGCAACCCGTCAGTGCAATAGCTTTCTGTTGTTAACTTTAATCATAATGCAAAGACACCGCGAAAGTGAATTTTGCGCGAATTTGATGTATCACGAATCCGACCCCGGCCAGGCGGGTTACCCCACCTTGAAACGTTTACATGACAAATTGTGACCCCGGCTGAGAGGGTAACCCGGTCTGGTAGACCGGGCTACCCGCCTTGGCGGGTCACCCCACCTATCATGTAAACGTGATCAAATGAAAATGAGAGATTATATGGACAGGCGGGTTACCCCACCTAAGCGGGTTACCTCACCACCTCCATGTAAACAGGCCCTTACTCATACTTTACCTACCTTCCCACCTACCTACCTACCTACCTACTTACCTATCTATTTACTTACCTGCCTACCTGCCTACCTGCCTAACCTAACTAACTAACTACCTACCAACCTAATTACGTACCTGCCTGCCTACCTATCTACGTAACTAACTACTTACCTACTTACCTTCCTACCAACCTACCTACCTACCTACCTACCTACCTACCTACTTACCTTCCTGTCTACCTACCTACCTAACTACCTAACTACCTACTTACCTACCTACCTACCGGTACCTACCCACCTAACTACTTACGTACCTACCTACTTACCTACCTACCTACCTACCTACTTAGCTGCCTGTCTACCTACCTACCTACCTACCTACCTACCTACCTACCTACCTACTTATCTACCTAACTTACCTGCCTGCCTGCCTACCTACCTAACCTAACTACCTACCTACCAATCTACTTACCTACCTACTTACTTACCTGCCTGCCTACCTAACTACTTACCTACTTATCTACCTACCTACCTACTTACCTTCCTACCTACCTAACTACGTACCTGCTTACCTACCCTACTGACAGACCGACTTTAACTTACCTATCCTCCTACCAACCTACTTACACTCTTACCTACCTACCTAATTACCTTCCCACCGGCCTTCCTACATGCTCGCTTGGTTGCTTACTACGATAGTGTGGGTATTAACATCGCCATTTCCAGGGCACCATATTTGCCCTTGAAAGACGCACAAACTGGTGGTCATTGTAGTTACATTTACACAGTTTATCATTGTCGGCTCTAAGCTGTTTTCTATCCTGGCATCGGTTAAGTAAAAAGTCGGAAATCATTGTCCACTGCGGAAATCTCTATCCACTTCTTATCATATTAGTTGATATACATGTTAATGATTTGCTCTCACTTCGTTTAACTGATAATTTCCACTTAATTTCTTCTTTACAGATGTCGAAACAACCGGCAGCTCAAATGAGTTTTACGATAAATTCAGTATACGATATCACATCTCTATCATAATGAAAAGTTTATGGGACAATTTGACTCATAGGCAGGCAATTATGAAGCAAAGCAGGTAAGTTAAGCTGTCAAACCTTGCTTATGGCTTTTGATGTTGAACTTCTGTATAACTCGGGTCAAAGCCTAAATTCGCCAGTTGGTCTGAGAGCCTAATGCACCTGCGCTGTGTCTTTCTGTGTGACCGCAGGCTCATTTAATTCAGCGCAATTATGTACGCGTGAGCACTGAAATAATGCACAGCAACTCGATTGAGAGACTGAGCAATTGACTCTCTATGGAGGAGTGGGTGATTTCTGGAAAGAGTGTCCTGTAAACAGACATGGAACGTTAAAAATTCTTGCGTGGAGTTAATTGTCGTACAGTTGCACTATAAAATAAGGAAAAATCGTCCATTGTTGTGGATGTTGGAAAAATTCTCTTCCTCAAAGGTCAATTAATCGGCAGCTTAAGTCGAGTTACGGTTCATTTTTTCAGTGTTCATGCGTACAGAGTCTCCCTAAACTGAATTGACGAAGGCTTCGAGTACTTCGCTAAGACTGGATATTTACGCTATGAAAGCGTCTTTTTACCATCATATGAGGAGGTTTTTCGTGTTACATAATTGTTTGCACAGGTTACTATCACAAGAGTCTGCTTTCTTCCTGAGCCTATATTCAAAGCATTATGCGTATAGTGATGTTTGGTAAATCAACGCTTGTTTGTCGTAGGACGGATCAGTTCGTTCGTTTTGTGAACATGTTGATCAATGACACGACGTTCCTGTTGGATGAATCACTAGATTCACTGAAGAGTATCAATGAAACTCAACAGATGATGGCTAATGTGGCCGAGTGGGAAGGACAACCAAGAGTAAGTGTCCTGATGATCAACGTTAGGCATTGTAAGAACTTGAGATTTTCCGTAGTAACAGCAGTATTTTGCTGTCATAGGAAGTGCGTACTTCTCGGCTGAGGCAGCTAGCAACAGATGAACGTCAGTGTCGCTCATACCTAACTCTTGCTACTGAAACTTTGGAAATGATGTTCTACCTTACGAGACATGTACAAGGACCTTTCCTCAGACCTGTGAGTATCAGTGCTTATTGCCTAATCACTTGACATACTTGAGCATACGTATCGCCTACTCTCCAATGGCAAGCTGCCTGCGATTATTCAGTAGTACAACGTATATGCAGACGCTGAGGTGGCCATAGAAAGTGTCCGTATTAAGCGGGTTGAATTTTAATAGAGAAAAAGTAAGGGCTTTCTTTCCTCAGGGACAAAGCAAACTGTCCATCATAATGACGTATTCGTAAGGCGGTTTTTGACTGTATTCAGAATCTACACGGAGTTCACCTAAAAGTAATGTAATGATAATGAAGGCGGTGGCTGCGGTGCTTTTGATGGGTGACGATAGTGTAAGTGATGATGATGATAGTGGTGGTGGTGGTGGTGGTGGTGGTGGTGGTGGTTATGATGGGTGATTATAATGATACAGTAGTGATGATGATGATGATAGTGGTCAGTTGATAAGTGTAACCTTTCTTGCAGGAACTGATCGATCGTATAGCAGCTATGTTAAATTTTAACCTTCAGCAACTTTGTGGACCAAAATGCAGAAATCTGAAGGTACTGTGCAACTTCTTTTTTCACTTTTAGTAATAATCGTCGTAGTTTTATTGACTGGGATAATCAAATAAAGCTTTTGAAACGTCCGCTTTGAGCCTCTGTACGGCAGCCTTATAATTTCATCAATTGAACTAAAAGAACCATTTTTTTGTATCTCTTAAAGAAACATTGTGAGAGGTGTTCCTTGTTTAAATGATATATAGCTTTGATTCATTTATAGCATATGGGTAACTCTCAGGGATATAGCCTTCGCAATTGCCTGTTGGGATTTTCATTGTTTTTAACCTCACAAATAATGAAAATTCTAACAGGCAATTCGAAGGCTATAAGCGTATGCTGTAAATGAATCTACCCCTAGAAAAATTAATGCTAACTAGCAGAATGGACTGAATTGGAAGAAGGAAGTAGTTGGAAACTTTAGGAGCATACTGTAGTTTTCTTTGTTTCTTCATAAAAAGAATGAGAAGAACAGCCATTTGTAATTGACAGTATAACGTATCAAATGAAGAATGATCCTTGCAGTTGTGAACGCAATTTATGCAGTTGCGTAAGAAGCCTGAAAAAATTTCAGGACTTAAACGGGGTTTGAACCCGTGACCTCGCGATACCGGTGCGTTGCTCTAACCATCTGAGGTTGTGTTCATATGTTCCCCTGAAAGAGATGAATGTGATAGATGTATATGAAATAAATCATATAAGAACTGCGGAAATGAAATCAAATGAAGAATGATCCTGGCAGTTGTGAACGTAATTTATGCAATTGCGTAAAAACATGAAAAAATTTCAGAACTTATGTTATCAGCTTCTTGCAAAATTTGGCATCCCAAAATACTAATCACCATCGAAGAGTCATTTTGTCCAGGAAAAATGGCTTCTTCTGATCATGATTGTTAATGCAGTACTGAGCGATCGTTGGCGTGTGGTTGTTTTTGTGTTTGCAGGTAAAAAATCCTGAAAAGTATGGATTTGAGCCTAAGAATCTGCTTGATAGACTGACACAACTTTATGTGAATCTTGATTCAGAAGAATTTGCGCAGGCTGTTGCCGGCGATCAGGTAAAAAAAAACCAACATTTTCTTTTCGTCCACTGAGGACGTTTCAGCTTTTACATTGCATTCTGTTTCATTGTTTCGTTTAGCGATCTTACAAGAAAGAATTGTTTGACGACGCCGCAAAACATCTTCAAAAAACGTTACTGAAGACAGAGGTAAGTTTGGCTCTGTATAGTACCAGTGAGATCTTATTTTTTAGGTGGTACTAGGTTTACATCTTAAGACCTCGCTACACACTCGAAGACATGTTGCAGCGACAAGTATGATGCTGCCACAATACCCAAGGGTGAAGTCTAATCATTACGGTAAAATACTCCTCAGTCCTGTAAGTATGTAAATTATTTGTAGCAGAGATAGACAACCTGAGCCTGCGGGACAGGCTTTTATTTTTGCGCGAGTCGAGCGTGGAGAGCGAGAGAGGCGCGCTCCACGCCCGGCGTCTTGGGCTTGCCTTTGTTCGCCTGAAAAACGCGAAAAAAGAACGCCTAATGCGCAGACGAGAAAGCAAATGCGACTGGCAAAATGTGAGACATTTTGCTATTGGTAGCATAAAGCAGACCAGTTTTTAAGGAATTTGATTCGTCGCTGTAATCAGATTTCGTCTACGCGACCCGGCGCTTTATCGGGTATGTCTCACAGCGAGAACTTTTGCTGCCAGTTTGAGTTGAGTTTAATATTCTTCAGTATTTCTCAGTCACAAGTTGTATCGCAAAAATTAACAGTGTATTTTTCATCTGCATTTTCCAGTCAGAAATTTGTCGTTTCAAGGCTTTTGCGGCTAAAGTGGAAAAAAAAGTGGCAGAAAACGCTGCCTTAGAAGAGGATTATGACGATGCACCGGACGAGTTTAAAGGTGAGTGTGTTATCTATTGCCACCCTGAAAATCTAGTTAAATCAAATTAGCGTTGTAAACTACATTGTACAACCTCCTCCCCCCGCCTCCCCCCTTGCCATCTTGGCTTGTTAAATAGTGTTTGGACCTCCGTGGCACCCATGATCATCTGTAGACCGCTATATGGCATGGTGCTCGCATAGCACTGACAAACCGTAAAAGCTATACCCAAGTGATCGGCCAGCGGCTTACAATGGAGCCTCAGCATCAGTAGCAATACAACTTCTGCATCATTGATTAAGATATTTCTTTGAGTTGTGACAGTTATTTGTGTCCCTGTTTTGTGACAGACCCGTTGATGATGACTCTCATGCAAGAGCCTGTAATCCTACCAACCAGCGGAAAAATCATGGATCGTCCAGTTATTACACGGCACTTACTAAACTCAGACACTGATCCATTTAACAGACAACCACTTACCACTGATATGCTGAAACCAGGTCAGTATGGATTTACCAGTTGTTATAATTCTATCAAGATATTTTTGTGATAACGCACAATTGCTCCTTTGCCGTTTTCTTCTTCAGTAAATACACAATGGCATTTTGTCAAAAAGAATTTTCTGTATAAGATGCAGCCCTTGCCTGTTTAACATTGATTTTGTTCGTTTGCAGCTACTGAACTCAAGATGCAAATAGAGAAATGGCTGAAATCAAGAAGAAGCAAGTCAAAGTGATTAAAATACAATTTTGGAATGAAGGAAACGTTAGAGCAAAACAGTGGAATTTATTAAAGGGCAGGTCCCCTGTTTTAGCCTTTGCTTACTTGCAATAATTATTTCTTTTCTTGAATTCGCTTTTCATTTTTTTTTCTCACGAACAGATGCCGTGTTTTGTTGTTGAGACAGCTTTAGTTATTGACTGATGGAGAAAATGTCTATGATTAGCCAGTCCTACAGACTGCTGTAAAAGGTTGTGACTCCAACCAAAGTTTTTAAAAAGTCATTTTATTAGAGCTGCAAGGTATAATTGTAGTTTGAAAAAAGAAACTATTTGAGGTACAATTTACCACAAACAAGACTAACTACCCTAAAAAGTACATTATTAAAGGTGACTATGTTTTGTTTCTTTAACTTCGTAGTTGATTCAGTTGTTGACTAGTAAGTCTAGTAAAGCTGTTTAAACCACGAAGTAAAGTACAAAAAGTAAAGGAAAACTTATTTCGACAGGGTGGTCCATTCAGCTCGGAGGCTGGTCTCCATAGGGTCCCTGAGTCTTAAAAAAACTACTTTACGTTAAGAATTTGTAATTAGTACATTTTAAAAAGCTCAGCGTAAAAATACAATGATAGCACTTAAAACCGCCTTTAAAAACCCTAAACAACAATACAAGACAATACAAAAAATTACATTTTAAAAAAGCCTCAAATATTATTAGATTCAAAGAAAAGGAAGCTAATTACGATAAGAAAAAATTTCTTGCTCTGCGGCAGAAATTCTGTACGCTCTCGAGTTCAATAACAAATTTCGCGTCGCGAAAAAGAAGTTTGGTAAGGATAGTCTAATGTTCTGTCTCGTAGTATAGTAGGTATGAATGTTAGCAAATCAAGGAAAATATGATAAAAAATTGCGTGGAATAAATGAAGTAAGACATTCATAGAAAACTGTTAGCCTTGTGGTAGGAGCGTCTGCCAGAAAGAATCGGCCATTGCAAATACCTTACAGTGTATAGCTTCAGAAGAGCGTGCACAACCTGTGATTATCCGAAGGGGCTGCTCTATTTTGTAGGTGCTATAGTCTATCCATATCTTGTTATAGCAAACTGCTCCAGGAAACGTCGCAGTAATCAAATAATGGGACAATTATTATGTTTTAAACAAGTATCGCTGCCTCTTCTGTCGCGAAACTTCTAATATGGCCCAGGATTCCAACTGTTGTTGCCACCTTCTTACACACATACTCGGCGTGAGCTTTCCAAATCAGAAAGTTGTCGAACACTACGCCTAAGTATTTGAAGGTAGTTGCGCAAGATATCGCCTTTTCGAGAAGATTCAGACTGAAATTACAATCGCGCTTTTTATGCCTTTGACATGTAAATAATAAGTACTTAGTTTTTGAAACATTTAAAACAAGATCATTGTCCTTTAACAAGAGAGGATAAAACTTATCCTCTCTTGCCTCTAACCATTCAGTGAACCTTTAATTCCCAAAAGTTGCCGAAGGCAAAATTTAATTTTTCAAATACCATGTGAGGGTACTGACAAAGAGGTTCAATTTGAATGTTTACACAGCATTTTGACCACAGACTCAAAGATTAGGACCACCTTTCAATTCTCCAACTTTTACTCTGGGAGGGAAAGGGTTAAACACTGAAGATCTTTATTAATATTTTAACAAAATGTAATTTGTTTACCTACGGTAAGGAGTTCTTAAGAGCTCGTTGAAACGTGTCCTGGCGTTCCAGATCTTATTGAAATTTGAAAGTGTTGGTTTTTAAGGAGAGGGAAAAACCGAAGTACAAGAAAAAAAACCTCTTGAGGCAAAGGACTGGAGAAACCCAACAACAATTTCAACCCACATATGACGTCGACACCAGGATTCGAACCCGGGCCACATTGGCGGGGGGCGAGTGCACCCTGTTCACCCTTGCTTAAAGTGAGTACAGTTGAACCACCAAGATATAATACTGTGTCGTCAGCGAACATATTAACTGAACAGTGTTCTATACAACGTGGTAGGTCATTGATCTATACAATGAACAACAGAGGTCCTTGGATGGACCCCTGCGGCACTCCAGAAGTAACGACAAGCTCTTCATGCAGAAGATTGAGAATCAATGCACATGAACTGCTTTCTTCCCGAAAAAATAGTTCTTAAACCACGGAAGGCTTTCACGGCATACCAGGGAGGGGTCACCTTCGCCTTTTTCCATTTCGCCGGGATCACGTTTTGTTGGCCGATAGCTAAATTGAAAATGACAGACAAAGGAGAGGCCACGGCGTCTACTCCGTCTTCCGGCAGTCTGTGATGTCACAACTTTCGTTCTCCCTCAAGCTTGGCTAGTGTGAGGATACTTCCCCGCTGCATACTTATCCCGTCATTTGGGAGAATAGTTCATTTACTTCACTTATTCCGTCATTCAGTTTGGCCGTTTGAACTTACAACTCCTCTGGACGTTCCTTTGTTCGAAGCTACCACCACCGACTTGCGGTACCTTTACTTTATGGAAACCACGTAAGCGTTTTAGTCATCTATGTCCGCCTGTGTGGTTATTTGCAATCGACGAGTCATTTAACATGATTTAATTGGAGATCACGGTATACAAATTGAAACGCTTTATTAGCAATATATTTCTTGCAAACATATTTAAATATTGTTGTTTCAACATTGTACATTTAACCTGCTGAGTGTATTGAATTTGTGCAGTTTAGTTACAATTGTATTGACATTTTCTCCCAAAGCGTCCTTTTCGTGACTTGCCTAAACAAGTACATTTTATATCTGACATAACACTGTGTATCAAAAGGCGATAGCGCTCCTTGGCTACGGGTACCACGGAGGGAATTCATTCACATTTCATTCAAGTCTAAACTTTTGATCACATCCCAGGAGAGACTGATTTCCAAATACGTACTGTTTTAATCATAATCGACATATTCTAGCAATACTGATTATGTCAGCTGGATTTATCATTTTTGATAAATAGCGAAGTGTAAAATGCGAAAACTCGCGTGTGCTTTGTAGCCTCAGTTTTGACGGTGTTTTTTCATAATTTTTCCGTGCTTATAATACATCTTTGGATATTTCCTGTTTTGTTGCAAGATATTTTTCTCTGTTCTAAACATTTAAAACTGAACTATTCTAACAAAGAAGAAATTTCACTGTAAGTGTACACCTTGTAAAGTTCTTCAAAATATCTTTGGTCAGGTGCTTCCGAATTTCACCAACTCCAAAATCTAGTGAAAACAAGAAGATTACAAAATAAACCAAATTAAGTACAAGCTGGGCGACGATATTATCGTCTGTTGTATCGAGGATCGTTGAAGGTCGCCTTAATATCGGCCACCTGGCCTCGCAGTGTCGTGGCCAACCAAATCGTTAAGATCTGTAAAAACAGGATTCCAAATGAAACAACGCCAATGGTGATCAAATTATTCTGAAACCATTCCACAGCACTGGTAAGACAGCCTGTTCTATAGATCTTTTCGTCTCGTTCGATAGCCTCCATTTTTCCAACTCCAAATCCGCACTGGCTGTTTATCCTCTCCTCCTCTGTTTTGCAGCACGTTCGAGGAACTCCGCAGGCTTCAGGTCCCTTCGAAGAGCAGTTGAAATAAATATTTGCCTGCCAATCCGTATAGGAATTAATTCCGCAACATTCGAACTCTGTTTGGGTCGTTTCTATGACTAACTGTAAGTCGGGGTTGTCGCGGTACAAAACAATCGCCTTCTTCAACTTGTCTTCAATCCTGGTCTGCAACATATTACGGAACACAAAACCTAGCACTCCGCAAGCGACTTCAATGAGCAGAAGTATGCCTATTATGCTAGCGTAACAGCAAAGCATGCATGTATTCTCTCGCAAAGCACCAAGGCAGCCCAAGAAGGTAATTAAAAACAGAGTTCCACCAAGAATCACGAAAAGTACTGCAGGATCAAACGATAGATCACTTAAATTCTGGTAGGCGTCTTTCTTCTCAACCATGATGTAAACACCAACAGCAAGAATTAACACTGCGGCCAACCAGAAGAAGACATTCATGAAAAACAGCGTGTACTTTATGCATGTTGATGGATCCTCTGGGGAAGCTGGTCTTGGGCCAACTCGACGTTTATTCTGCATACTATGATAACTGATGTTGCTTTTCTGTCTCTCTCACGAGTGTTTAGGTCACGTAGCTGACAAGTACTGATGACGGCCCTCTAATCGTTTCACTTTGCTGTAATCGTCGTTTGCAGTTGCCTATCAGAAATTTCCCACACAGGAAAAGGACAGGTTCAATAAGATACAAGCGATTTCAAGACCTACAGAAAAATGGAAATTGTTTGATTATGGCTATGTTGGGAATCGAAAAAATGGAAAAGTGATATAGGATTAACGCTTAAATCTCAAGTTCCGTGAACGCACTCACGATTTGGATTCGACTAAATACTGCACGAAATAATACATGAACTATTACCTTTGATGACTAACGGAGAAAAAAGACTCCGAAATACGAGAAACAGACACGAAAAGATATAACGATGCCTCAATATCACTGCGCAAAATTTGCATAACAAGTGAATACTACAGATTCATTACATGGCAACAAAACTTATTCCATGTATTTTTTGTTTTGTTTACTATGTCATTATTACGTCATGGCACGCTCGATCTCGCTCATTCTTAGTCATTTACCGCATTCAAATTTATACAGCAGGAAACGTTAAGTGATTGTCATCAGAAGAGATTTGTTCATTTGTAATGAATGCCAATAAAAGGAAAAAAAGGATGCAGCTGAAAAAAGATATAAAGTAAAAATCTTGCAAAATCTACAATATGTTTATACACAACTCAACTACACATCTTACATTTCAGCCAGAGCACTCAAGTACATTGACGTTTATCTTTTATTGTGTTATTTCCTCGACGACAAAACAAATATTTCGTATAAAACACTATAAATAGATTTCACTGACTGTGTATGGAAGAAAATTACTATACTGTTCCCTTAGTTCTTCTTAAGCCACATAACACAACTCATTGTACAGTACCTGTCGAATTTCTAGCTTCCGTCGTTTTCAGACATTTTTATTGTTTTCAATTCTTCAAGTACTCTTGTAGAATGATCGTAGGGAAATCATGATAACAACCGAATTTCAACCTCGTCCCAGGGCGCTTGTTCCTGGCTTTGGATCCTCCAAAGCCAGGGAAAAGCGCCCTGGGGACGAGGTTGCCGAACTTTAACCTAGGCACACCACCCTGGGCGCTTTCCATTTAGGAAAAAAACCCGGAAATTTGGGTGGTAGCAAAAGTGGAATTTCCGATTGGTAAAAAGTTGTTCCATTTGGTCGTAAACCCCGGTACGTGGCGGTGCCCGACCGTGGACCTGGAACTGGTACAAACTACGAGAAACGTAAATGGAACACGACATTCCGTTCGGAAATTCCAACCGGGAAAACGGGCCCACCTTTTTAGATTTTCCACTTTTTCTGGGAATTTTCCAGTCCGACGAACCGACGAAACGTGTTCCATTTACCGCCGAACCGGAAATTCCGGAAATTTTGACTAAATGGAAAGCGCCCCCTATGTACTGAAATACCAATATTTGCAGCCTCGTTCCCAGTCGTCCTCGGCAATTTTGGATGTGACGTCACCTTCTGGTCACTCGGATAGCGCGAACTGGCCTGGTTACGAGGCTGATTTCCCTATGTTGGCGGACGATATACCTGATCAACTCGAGTATATATAAAGCAAAGTACCAAGTTTTTTGAGAAAATCCACTTTAATTTTCAGCATAAAACAACACCAAATCTGGCTATTTAATGCCAAATCGGCTGAAAAAATTGGCAAAAGGCGATTTTCACTTAATCTTTGTATTTCAATCCCCTTACGCGACTTTACAACACCTGAAACATCGCAGTTTCTATAGAAATTAACTTCCTCGTTCATTGAATATAGAAATTCCAGTCATTTTATTTCGTGTCCTTCTTCTTTATAACTGACATATCAAAAGTCCCATGATCTGATCCCGCTCAAAACTAGGTTTTGTTGAAGTCCTCTTTTTTGATGCCACATCAACACCAAAGTTATTTTAAAAAGCTTTTTCCCTAACGCTAATCTATGAGGATTTTTTTTAACAAAATAGTGAATACAAGGAAATTTTAAACATGTAGTAGTCCAACCTCGTCCCCACCCATTTTTTGAGGGAAAAGCCCTGGGGACGAGGTTGGTAGTAGTCACATCAATGGAGACTAACGAGCCTGCGCCCTGTTTTGATAACCGAACAACCGACCACAGTGAGAGACTATATCAAGCAGCTTATTTGTCAAAAGTATTTTTTCTTCAGTTTCTATTTTAATGACTGAATTAGTATCTCAACCTCTAACGAACAAAACGGGTCAAGAGTTCGAGTATTCAGCGGTTATGTAGCCTGAGTACTGATCAGGCGTTTCTGAATCTCCTCCCCTCTAGCCCCTTAGGAAGGCCTGATACTCAGGTTAGCGGTTATGCCATGTATATCGCAGTTCATATACATTTTACTGTTTCTAGTATAAATCCAGTAGCTTTTTCAAGAAAACTCCTACAACTGATAGACCCCGAGCTACAACAAGCCAGTGAACGCCATAAAGTCAGCCTTTACCTTTAGACCCCTTTACGGCATCAGGGACATACTAATCTATGGCTTACAAAGTTTCCAATGGTTAAAATGTTAAAATAAATAAATTTGTGATACTTCAGAGCACCATGTGTAATAGTCTTTTAAAAAAGAATGTTGCAAATCAAAACTTCGAAATTTAACTCATATAAACACGGCATTTTTGTTCGCATTTTATTTTTTGATAAACATTTCCTTTACAGTACTTTGAATGTGCCACGCAATTCGCCCTTTGCAAGAGAATCTAATACAGTCTTGGACTCTGGATTCCAGGCCGTGGATTCCGGATTCCAGGTACTGGATTCCAGCCTTTGTTTGAACTTGGATTCTAGATTCTTAAATTTAGCGGGATTGCGGATCCCAAACGCAGCATTCCGTGATTCACTAGCAAAATTTTCCCGAGAAGCAAAAACTTTCCCGGAGCGCCGGAATCCGGATCCCTTACATGATAAATCATTAATCATAAATTGTTATATGAAACTTTGCTTAGTTATGATTAATTGGTAACAGTGCTTCGTCTTGTTGAATGAACAGCGAAATTTTCTTTTACTCAGCCGTGTGATTCTAGACCGAATCGGATCTCCGCTTTGTTTGAATTTTACCATTATCAACTGGGGGTAACAAACTCATTCAAACACAGTGACGGATCCAGGGGAGGGGGGGCCAGGGAAGCCCCCGGCACTCCCCTTATTTTTCGTCCCGAAGGAAGGAAAAAAGTTTTGGAGACCCCCGCTCACCCTCCCTTATCTCAAGCTTCTGGCGAGAGCCAATAACCATAAACTCGGTTTTCGCAACAGTAAGACTAAGCTTATTGGCTTTTAGCCAACAGTTAGTCTCTTGTTCAAGGTCAGCTAGAGAGGTGTATGAGCGCAAACCCGTCCAAGACCGAGACACTACTAAACCCGGAACATTAACATTCAGGTTACTGCTTCAATGTCTGGCGCGCAGACCAATTTGTACATCCACAGTTTTCCTACTAAAATTAAACAATTAAAACACGTATTTACTAACAGAAATTAGGCAAGAGTCTTATTTCACAGCTTAAGATAGGCGGACAACGACAATTCTTAAATTCAGGAAAACAACAGCTGATTCAATTAAGAATACTGTGACCTCACGAAACTAAATGAAGCAAAACATTTGTTAAGTCTCGATTCTCTCAAGTAGCTTCAAGTAACAATTGACAAACGTCTATTTGTCAAAACTTCACTCTATTAATTAGTCCCAAATTTTGAATAACAATAGATTTCCAGAAGTTCACATCAAACGTTCTTTTCTTTCTTTCAATGAAAGGTTTATCCCTCGGGAAGAACTAGATGAATACAAATCAATTATAAAAGCCTTATTCAATATAATGTATTGCAAAGTTTGGCTGTTATCGTTAATTTCGATGGCGACCGTTTTAGAGTACATTGCTGCTATTTTGCCGCGAATTCTCTTCTCAGGTCACAGTATTCTAGCCTTGTGGCTTCTTGTACAGCTCAATCCTAACCAGACGATATTCTGGCCTTTCTGTATTGGTTTGGGATGCCTGTTTCTGGAGTCTATATACACTGTTATCTTCCGCAAGGGTGTAGAATATAAATAGTAAGTATTCGTTCTATATGAGTTAATAATTTTTAAGGCTTGGATGTTGTTGCTCCTCGCCTATTTTCTTAGAGACTAGATTCTATACTTCTCAGCCGTTTGAACGTATGTTTGTCTGGGAGCTTGCACAAAGAAAATACTGAAGCATTGGCGTTCAAAAGATCTTATGACAACATTTTCAATATGCTATGCATTATACTGTCTGGCTCCACTTACTAACGTCGTGATACCACTTTAAGTGTTTCTTCATTTTCCCAGTTTCCCCTCTGATAAAGGTTGCGTAATAGGCCCGGTTCGGACGCCGAACTTTTAATGAGCCGAACTTTATTCGCATAAAGGCCGACCCAAACTATTTAGACCGCCTGAATTGATTCAGGCGCTGATCTTAATTCCAGCCGAACAAAATTCAAAAGAAGAATCTTCATTTTGGTTAAACTGCTTGCAAAATACGTTATTATAATTTATGCATTAGGTTCGGTACATAAAAAGTTCGGCGTCTGAATCAAAGCCGTTGCAAAGTTGAAATTTCCGGCCGTCCTAGGCGTGAAGAACGGATGATCCGTTCCAAATTGAAATAGGCGTTCCTAATTGATTCAGACGCCGAACTTTTCATGTACTTAATTCAATGTATTAGGTTCGGTTCATGAAAAGCCATCGGCGTCTGAAACCAGGCCTAAATTCCAAAAAGCAAGGCCATCAACAAATTCATAGTAGGTTGCGCTATGGCCTCTAGAAAGAATGTGTTGGGCTTTAGCTACAGGCTTAGCGAGTCTCCGATCTCTTCTTACTGGGTTACAGGTGTGCAATGTTTTACACTCGCTGTCAAAAACATACAACGCCAGTGAGTTAGGCACGTGCAGAATAAATCAAAACACAACTTGATTACCTGGAAGTCTTAAATCTTTCATTCAAAGAGAGCTTTTACTTGGCCGTTTCACTCTAACACGCTCTAAGCTGGGATTTGTCTTGATATGCAGACTGATTTTAGGGTTTACAAAGTCCATTATTGGGAGGTGCTTCCTCAGCAGTATTATATAACTTAATGTTTTAGACCGGCTTTTGTCAAAAAGGCTTTTTAAAACTATATTTTTCTTCGGGGAAGGGGTGGCGGAGGGAGAGAAGATCTTGATTTGCACATACCAGTTTAAAAACAACTTTTTTTGTAAAGAGCTGAAATGAAATTCGCGGCGTGACAAGTTTGTAAGGTAGTGCTGCGTATAAAGACCTAAATCAGCTCTTGCAAAGACCTCTGTAATAACGTTGCAACTCGATGTCTAAAATCCATACCTAGGTTCAAAAAATCATTTTAATTTTTCAAGGCTTCTTCTTAACCAACTGTAATTGTAATTGACGAGGAGATTTGGACATCTTGCTGTGACGTAATATGATCAATAGATATGACCGGGATCGGGAATGGCCGATGAAAACGTTCGGGATTTCGGGATGAAAGGGAAATTTTGATCGGGATGGCGGGATTTAAGAACCCTATTGGGTACCCTCTAAATGGCTTTGGTTGGGTCGAACGTTTCATTGAAAACCTCAGTCTTGGTTCGGTGTCTGGACAAGGCTATTTATTTTATTATCGCTGAAGAGTTTCATTACACGATATCTCGATATACTCAGAGAAATTACTCAAAGTCAACAGAAACTTTAACTGGGAATTTTTGAATTTAGCTGTTAATCTCAACCAAATCTGGAGAGAGTAGAAAACCAAAATTTCTACAAATTGTTGACAAACATGCTCCGAATTGAATTTCGCCCTACTAATAGAGCGTTTTCACTCATTGGAAGAAAAGAAAGCGTTTGCATAAGAAAAGAGTTCAACTCCCACAGGATTGTCTTGGTACACCAACATGGCCGCCGTTTCATCGTTTTGGAACACCAATATGGCCGCCGTGACGTCATGTGAAAACGCTCTATAGTAGACAGGTTTTAAAGCTACTGAACAAACTCAATAAACTAAAGGGGCTGGTCTCGATAAAATATCATGTCAGTTTATTCGAGAATGCGCTGACTTTATTTCGCCATATTATTCAATTATTTTTAATTGCTGCTTAGCTCCGGGGTTTAACTACCGGCATAATATGACCTCGTATTCCTTGATGACTTGAAATTAGCCAAAGTAACCCCTATATTCAAAGAGGGTGATAGAAGTGACATGAATAATTATCGCTCAGTTTCAGTGATTTCAGCAATAGCAAAAGTCTTTGTGAAAATAGTTCATAATCAACTTTCTTTCTATTTATCCGAAAGTAGTATTATGTCAAAATATCAATCTGTTTTCGATCCCTTCACTCAACTGTGACCGCTTTTCTGGAAGCCACTGGTAATTGGGCGTTTAAAATAGATCGTGGTTACGTTAACGCCGTTGTCTTTTTAGATCGAAAAAAAACATTTGACACAGTCAACCACTATATTTTATTATCCAAACTAAATTCATATGGAACCAAAGGAAATACCTACGAACTGATTGCTCTCTTCATACTCAGACAATCGACCAAGTCTCTTGGTGTATTATTTGATGCCCGGGGGGTGGGGGGGGGGGGTTACTCCCTTATATAAGCTATATAGGAATGTGCCGCCCCATTGGATAGGGTTTTTGCACCTTTTTGGTCTGAAAACAAATATATGGTTTTCGAGGGAACTACAGGAGTGTATGAACGTTTTTATTGTTTCAATTCCAAATAAGTAGGAGCAAGAGAGGTAGGAAAGAAAGAGAAATATGCGAATTCTAAATGGATTTGAAGAAAAAAAAAGATGACAAGTACTGATGACATAATTTCTGCAGACAGGCCGGGTCTGAAATCGGGTGTGGATTTTAGAGGTCTGGTCTAAAAAAGTGCTTTTTTTTCGCTGGTGTGATTTTCGAGCTTATCCCAGACACCCCCCTCCCAAAAAAAAAAAAAACTGCCGTTTGGCCCTTTTCCACTCAAATGACTTCAAATTTCGCTACAAATCAGCTAAATATATTATAAGCTTACCATAACACCTTCTCTTAATTTGTTTCAGCTTCTGGCCAAGTTGTTTCTTCTATTTAGGAACACTTGTGCCCATTACATGGACTGCGGAGCTTCGACTTTTGGAAGGCAGACTCGACAATGAAACTATGGACGCAAAGAAAACCATGCCGGGAGGGGTAAGAACGGAAATAATTCACCAAAGTGGTGTCGCATGAGGTTAGGGTAGGGAGCATTGGGAAGAAGTTAGTCTGTGGACGCGAATTTTTTCACTGTTTATACATATATTTCACCAAGGGAGGATAAACGTAAATATTTAAAGGTAGACAAACCTATTTGCTTTCTACATTAATTTCCCAGATCCGTGTCAGTCAAGAAGAATTAAAAAAGTTTTGTGAGATTGGGCTTATGCTGATCATTATTTTAAGCCGTTGGTTGCTTCCTCGTGGCTCCATCACGCGCGATCAGCTGTCGCTGTTGCTCCTCGAGTACGTAGCCATTGCTGCTGATATTCTTGAGTTGTTTGAAGCTTTTGAAGAAGAACAGGTATTTATCTGTATACTGTTTTTTTAAATAAATTATTCGCTTCAGTGAAAACAAATCCAACGGCGATTTTAAGTTGAAATGAACTAAAGGAATGTCAGGCTGACTATTGTGACGCAGTTGCCCTCTAACCACGCAGTGGCCGATTAAAAGACCTTATCATTCGTCAGTGGTTCAAAATTGTGATCATCTGACCAGCAAACCTAGGGCGGACGTTGCGCTCCTTCCACCATAATTTAAATTTTCTCTTTGGAAAATAATTGTTCTCGTAGCTTTCTTGTGGCACACGACGTTAAACGTTTATTCTTCGCACCATGGTATCCGTCATTGCCCTTTTCTGCGTTCAGACTATTCATTGCCAGTAAGCTCATGTCCTCCCAAAGAACTATTTTTTCTCTCTTGCAATGATGTAATTTCTCTCGATTTCCGTTTATTAAAACACGACTCAATCATCGTCAAGGAAATGAAAAACCTTTAGCAAGGAAATCCTGTTTTGTGAAGAATAAATCGCCTCCTCACTTCTGATCTATCTCCAAGCAAGCGAGACTTTTACTCTCCTAGAGTCAGGGATCTAGAGCGTTCTTGTTTAACTTAGACAAACAAACAAGGCGGCGAAAAAGCAATGGCATACAGAGGACGATTAGAAAATCTACTCATTAAAATTTTGTGATATTTGGCAGAATATTTTACTTTTATCGTATTCTAAATAATGAGAACTTTAAAATGGAAGTTGAACCGACGAATTTTGAGACACATTTAATAATTACAGTACAATTATATTATTGATTATCTAAAAACCCGTCTGTTAAAATTTGGTCAAATAAGTTTCAAATGGTAATGACTAGTTATAGTAAGCTGTGTGCAAGTTTATAGGAAAATCTAATGGACGAATTTTATGTAAACTGAGCAAAAGTGAAATTTTAAGGTTGTATTAAAACGTTCGTGTTGCCATGGAAACTAAGAAAACGTCAATTTTACCTGTCAATCAAGATCTTTCGTCGGTATATTTTTCACTTGCAAAGTTGTTTGTGAGCTGTAAACTTTCTCTTGCCATGTTTCGGCAAATGACATATACTCACAAACTGCCAAAACTGTGTTCAGCCACCTTAAGGCAGAGACACACGCACATAGAATACTAATGAAGGTAGACTGATGAACATTTATTGCTACTCAGAGTTTCACGCTTCTTGCGAAGCAATCATCCGGCAACCCCATCAGTCTAATTTCATTCTGCTCTAGTCGACATAGTTCAACGTAATTGAGCAGTGACTCTTATAGTCGATGAGGACCGTCATCACTCTAGTAGTTGGCAAGATACTGATGTAAATGCGCGGTGATCGTTATGGTCTTGTTGACTAATGTTGTGAATCAAGAGTTCCGCTTTTAGGCTTGCCTTAAATGTTCACTGATTTGAAATGAGAACGCTTATTAAAGCTATGATTGATTTCAGGTTTCGAACAATAGAGAGATAACATTGTTTACACTTGGAGTCTTTTCATGGAGTCTTTTGCAATTCACCCTGGTTACCACGTCAATTGGTAGCGATAAAAGCCAACAATACGAGGCTGACATAGAAGAAGAAAAGGTGAAAAAGAACACAAAAACGTTGAATTTTTCGCTTAATTTCTTACTCGTCGCATAAAACAAGTCAGCGTGACAGACATCAAAAGCAGAAGGCAGGGGCACCTAACGACGATTTCCTCCTAAATACATTAAAAATACTTTTTAGACTATCCAGAGTGCTTTTAGATCTCTAGAATTGCATTTTAAGCTGTGCTATAAAATTTGTATCTGTTCGGTCATCCTAGGGGAGCTTGAGTCTTAATTATTACAGTCTTATTAGAATTATTAATTTCCCGAAAATTTTAGATGTAATTTAACGTATTAAGAAAATGAAGAATTTTTCTGATTCCTCTCTCCATCACATTTTTGAATCCGGAAATTTTAAGTTTCCTTTTTTCTACGAAAAATAGCCCAACCTAGGGAATGAAATGTGACAATATTAAACTTCAGAAAATCATAGGGAATTTATTAGATAAGCTTGGAAAATTGTCCATGAATGGAACGGTCATTTAGAAACTTTTAGCTGTCCTCGAATACACCTTTTGTCCTTCATTACCGGGAAATAAGTTTCTATTAACGTTAAAATATTATTCATTTTAACTAATGTAAAAACAGTTTAGCCAAGGAAGCAAACATTTAAGTTTGTGGCATAGTCACTAAAGATTTTTACATCAAGAAGAACAATCATTAAGGCCAATTTCTATACCATTTTATCAAAAACATCATTCTTTAGTGCAAATGAAGTTTCATTTTCGTCAGGTGGATGTTCGTTTATGAGAACAGAATATCAATAACAATCATTATTATTATTACGAGCATTATCTTGCCAATATTGCATTAAATTTGGAGGTATGCTTTAATTCGTGCGGATTTTACAATAACCTAACACTAGCTAGTATTGCAGAAGTGGGGGTCATTTCGTTAGGCTTACACAGTGTACATCATACTGTAATTTGCTGCTAAGCTTCCACAAACAAACACGCGATGTGCACAATGCTTAGTCAATACATGTACAAAATCAGGAAGCAGGAGGATAAATAATAAAGGCCAGAAAATTTGCTGCGTGGTTTAGACGTATACAGACCAATATATATAAGTCTGTACATACCTATGCAGACCGCGATGTTTGAAAGGCGAAAACATTGAAGGATAAACAAGCAAAAACTTGATTGTTAAAAAACACTATATTTTTTCTGGTAATGAATTTTTTTTCTTGTTAAAGAACATTAAGATGCCTCAAATGTTTGATTATTTTTTCTAAAAGATTGTTATTTTCACCGAGTTGAAACTATATTGGCATTAATGAATGTTCATGCCTATGTAAATAGAGGATATTACACGGTGCACGAAGAGTGGCAAAACAATATTTTACGAACGAGCGCAGCGAGTGAGTAAAATATTGTTTTTGCCACGAGAAAATAAAATTCATATCTTCAAGCCGCCGCGTAATGTTCTTTTTATTAGGGAGCTTAAGCAACAGCGTTTTTGAGCGACGGACGTCAACCGGAAGTGGACTTTTTGCATCATTGAGCAGTGGTTTGGTTCAAACTCTTGGGTAAATGGTCTTTATAAGAGAAAAGAAACTTAGCAAGACAAATTTCTTAGTGTCAAGGACTTAAAAAGGGAGAAGACCCCACTTCCGGTTGACGTGCGTCGCTCGAAAACGTCCTTGCTTAAGCTCCCTATTATATAGACAAAAAGACATCGATAAAATAGTAGAGGGAAATGACCGAAATTACGTCATCGATTAAACTCACGTGTGAGATTATAGAAAATAAACCACTCGGGTCCCGGATGTAGTTTTTATGAAATTTACGAGTGGTATATTTTCCAGTAAAACACTTGTGTCTATATAATAAAATGCTTTATTGATCTCACAAACAATTAAAGCGATTGTCTATTTTTCTGCAGTGATTACACATTCATTATATCGACTGACATTTTGATGCTAATGAAAATTTATTTCCTGGTAATGAAGGGCAAAAGGTGTTAGAACATTCTAGGCAGTATTTGCTTCTCCGAACAGATATTTTACAGAAAACCGTCGTTGCGTGCCCCTGAGAGGGAAAGGCTTGAAAAACAGCAATAACTAGGGCTGTGTTGAAACAATAGACCAGTTTCCAATTATTAAAATTCCCACTTGGCACCGAGGCTGAAGGGTATAAAACAAAAGAATCGCATTGAGAATCAGTGATTAATAATTCATTACTTTTGTTTTATTCCCCTCAGCCTCGAAGCCAAGTATGAATTTTGATTCGAAACTGGCCTATTCTGCAAGCTTCCACAGCTGCAAACCAAGTTAAAAACGGGATATGGTTAGCCCCGCCGGCCCCACCTATAGCCTGCGAATACAGCCCTTTCTCCTTGCTCCTCGCCGCTAACGATGTTTCGCCAGGCGTCCCTGGCGGCGAGAAGCTAGGAGAAACGGCTGTATTCGCAGGCTTGCCCCACCTATTAACTTCATATTTGATAATTTAACATGAACGGGATTTTTGGTATTTTTTGTTTGTTCGTTTCGTTGTTGTTTTGTCGCATTATTGACGCACCGATAGTTCATGGGTGAAGTGGTTAGAGTCCAAAAGCCATCCCATAAGCTGGTGAGCTCTCTTGAGTGTCAGTAAAATGCCGACTTGGGGCAGAGGTCGGAGTTCAGTGTTCTTGTTTCATTTTCAGTTGTTTTCCCCTGACAAAAACAGTCAAACACAAAATGAAACAAAAGTACAATGGACCCTGACACCCGAACTGAGTCGAAGTTCTACTGGCGCCCGACTCTCTTCCAATACTTATCATACTTTTTTTTCTGACTTTCAGGTAGGAGTGGAAGTTTCTGGCTTATCCAGAAAATATCTCCGAAAAGCTGTCGAAGCTAAGGAAAAGCAAAAACAAAAGCTTCGCCAGCTACAATTTGAAAATGAGGAAGCCGAAAAAGAAATGAGAAAGTTAGAGCTGCAAGGAGACCGATATGGGATCCTAGCAGCCATGTTTATGCAAGATGTTCCCTTCTTGATTCTCCGACTTTATCTTGTGTTTACCTACGACTTCTTCAAATCAACGTTTCTTTTTTATATCGGAAAGAACATAATTTCTCTTATGTTGATGATATATCGCCTTTATGTTATTCACTTTCACGCAAAGGACAAGGAAATCATTATTGAAAAACCAAACGGATTTCGGGGTCTTTCATTCGCATTAATTGGAGCTCGGAGATTCAAGTCAACCAAAAACAGCAAAAGGAATAGTGTTCGCAAACAAGGCCTTTTTTCACCAAGACTGAGCAAGTAGAAAAAAATACAGACAAAACTTTCACTAGGCTCAGAGCAGGAAAGCCGGTCACACAGGTGGCAATGAAGCGAGCCTTTAAATACACATTTTATTAAGCAGGACACAACAAGCAATTATTAGTATGTATAAGAGGTTTCGAAGAGTTTCATGACAGGAAATTAATATGAGGGCAGCATGCATGGCCGAGTGGTCAGCGCTTCAGAACCGCCCAGGCTCGAGTCCTGCTTTGACCACAACGGCTGAATTTGCTTGGTGGTCAACTTGCTGACCACGCTTGTTTAACAATTATTCTTCGAGCCCGAATGGGCTCTGAGTCAATAGCCCATAAGGCCCAAGGCCGAATGGGCTATTGACTCAGAGGCCATGAGGGCGAGAGGAATAATTGTTTTAGTAAAATCCAACTAGTTGGTCAAAAATATCGAGAATAAAAAAATTTTAGCCAGTTAAAGCTAGACTTTAGTCCTTTTTTGCCATCAAAGAGCGCGCGCTTTTCGCTTCTCTACTAGTGGGCTATAACATATAGCCTAGTAGTAGCTCAACCAAACGGAACGCAGCATTGATAATAGACCACTAGTTAGATTTTACTAAAATGTAAATAGCCAACTGGTTGCCTCCTGCCAGTGAGGTGTTTTCGTCGCCTTTGCACTCAATTTGAATAGAAAGAGTTGCGTTTTTCATGCACCAGGGTGCTTGCTTCGCGCTTGCCTTTGCGTGCATGAAAAATACAAAATACAACACGTATTCTGCAAGCTAACAAGAAGTCGAACTCTCTTCTATTCATTTTACCGACTGAGTGCTTTACAATAACAAAGGTGATGATTTTTAGCTAAATTTAAAAGCCCACTTTATTTCAAGTAGAGACGCAAATAAATCGCAAGAGGCTTTCAACGGAAAGATAATACAAAAAATTTCCGCGTTCATTTTCGGAATATATAGTCCAATAACATAAATTATTCATCCAACGAACTTCCAGGATGCCGTGAAATGTATAAAGTTTGAATATGAAGTAATGCGTGTGCAGGCATCTTACTGGAACCTGGGGGGGGAGTACTTGGGTTAATATTTGCTGGGTATCTGCCGCTGGCCTCTCAGAGCCCCTACCCCATCATAGTCTATTCTGTGGCCAAATATAGACCCCATCTTAGTCACTTTGGGGAAAATGTAATGGGATCTCAACTCAGTAACTTTCTGTTTATGCATCTACTTTAAATATTTGACTGCATAAGTTATCACAACATGCTGAGATACGGGGTCTAATTTAAATCCAATAGCAGATTTACACTGCCCTGACCACCACCCCTGGGTTGGGGAGCAGTATTTGCAGATTTGAACAAGGGACTAGACCCGGAGACTGCCAAACCTGTTACCTATAATCTTATAATAAAATGAAATATATGTATGTTACTCTCTGATGCATTGAAGTCTTTATGCAGTGATGAAGTACGGATAATGCACATGTTCAGATATTTTTGTTGTGGGATTTTATAAAATGTTTATTCTAAAATGTTTGATGAAATAGCTACAAGATTACTACTTGTTTCTGGACTCGATTCTGTCCATCTTGCAAACATGCCACCAAAAATGAGAATCTCACCCCTGGCTACCACAACAGAATGCAGTGAGGTGGCAGGGGAGGATCCCTGAGTGATGGGGGGAGGATTCCAAGAACATGAGAAATGAGATCGGATTTGACTGCAGTCTAGTATGAATATCTGCATGGGCAGCAAGCCATCTAGCCCTGGACGCTGGTGTCCAATTCCTTTTTGTTCATTAGATGAAGGAGTTAGTACATGTGCTTGATTGCGTGGTACACTAAACACAACAATCATATCATTGATGCGGACAGCTGGATGGCACCACAGTTGAGGTGCTTCCCATTGACGGTTCTTCACTTCTAGTTCCTGCCAGATCCAATCATTTGTATCCAGGATCCACACATCTCCAAACAACTTCAACAGAGAGAGTAGTGTCTTCATTTGTTGAACTTATTGGGGATTGAAAAATTATACAAGGGACAGTGTGCCATTCAAAATAGGCCCACCACATGAAATCATGCTACATGTATCTTACATGTCCACCTAAAATAAATTTACAACATTTGATTTTTGATGTACAACCAAACCCTGTTAATCAGACACTGATAGGGCCAAAGAAAGAGTTTGTATTAAAAGGGGTGTCCGTATTAAGCGGGTTTAGTTAAGAGAAAACGTAAGCGCTTTCTTTCCCCAGGGACAAAGCAAACTGTACATACAATGTATTACTGAGGTGTCCCTATTAAGCAAATGTCCATAAAGCAGGGTTTGACTGTCATCAAATTATGCAATTGACCAATTTTAAGTCAGTACATATGTGCATGCCCACAGCAAAATTCCCATTTCCTAACCCTTGGTTTTTAGAAATTCTCCAATAATTTAAACCAAAGCTAACTTTCCTTGTTGTTGTTAGGGCAAATTTTGTTGTTGTTGTTGTTGTTAGAGTCAAACACTGTAGTTGCAACCCCCATTTTTCAAGCCTCCCGATAATTGGTAACAATAACAAGAGAGAATAAGAAGAGAAGATGGGAAAACCAGAGTACCCGGTGAGAGAAAAACCTCTCAGAGCAAGGGAGAGAACGAAAAACGAACCCAACCCATGTATGGCATCGATGCTGAGATGTGAAGAACACTGGCCACATTTGTGGGAGGTGATTGTTCACACCTCTGTACCAACCTTGCTTCCCTAAGATAAAGGAATAAGGAGATCATGCTTACCAAGTTTGGTCCACCACATCCTCCAAGTATCAGTACTGTATGATCATCTATTGCCATCTAAAACATAATACATAATAAGCTATGTTAATTATTGCTAAATTAGCACCTAAGGTGCTTCTTTAATTTTTCTGAATATGAGAGGCGAGAGAAAATGAAGTGTTGGATGAAATGTACTCCATCGTTATCATAATTTTCTAAATTCAAATAAAATTTTGTACACATGTAACATACTGACAAAAAATGACTTCAAGACATTATGACATTTACACATGACACCATATCCTTTGTACCAACTTGCAAAGATCAAAATAATGGCAAACAACAAAAATTAAGGGTAAGACCTAAAAAATCCAAATACCTGAGAATGACCAAATCTCCCAGAAGGTTTCTTGCCTCTAATGTTGGGGCAACTCCAAGTCATTTCTATCATGTCCAATACCCATACATCATTGAACCTGAAACAATATTTCAAGCAACTTTCAAAAGGAAGCCAGAATATCACAGACCAAATATGCCTTTCAAGTGTCCTTTACAGTCAGGCAAAGAGGAAGTATGATCTGCAACAGTCATTTGTCACAGAAAATCTCCAAATTTCCCTTTGGACAAGCAAAAACACTTAATGTGGCCATAGGAGATAATAGGCCATTTGCACTAAGAGGTCATGTGACATTGTTTTTATGAAAATGAAAGTTATATGATTTTGCTTTCGAAAAACGATTAGTGGGTCATATCTTAAACAAAATAATAGTGATTTGGTTTTTCAACCAGCACCATTTTCTTAAAATGAGTAAGTTTGTAGCTGGTCAAGTAACTAAAATGTGATTTTGAAAATTATGAATTACCTCTTTCTGAACACAAATTTTGTAGTTAAACATCAAGGAAAATGTTTAAAAGATGATGTGATAATGTTTACAGCACATCTGAGCGTAACTATCAAAAGTTTAACAAGATATAAGCAAAAAGTAGTTTTGGCAGCCATGTGCTCTGTCAATTTTTGGCATCAGCAAGATTCCAACTCATTGTTTAAAGGAAGCATTGGTCACGTGACTTCTTAACTTGCAAGTGGCCTATTATATTATTGACCTATCTCTATCTCATTTTTCAGTGAAACATTTTTTAACACATTTTTCTCTCTTTTTGTACTGAATTTTTGGATAATTTTAAAATCCTGCCGAGGCCACAGTCACAGTTTAACACATTCAAAGACATGGTTTAAGCTCTCAGTCAAAGTATAGGACCATCATGGTAATATACCCTGAGCAAACCATCTTAACCAATCAATTATGATGAAACTTAGTTACCAGATCTGAGTTGTGAATAAGCCAGGATTAAATTGACAATGGTTGGATACAACCCTTCTTCTTTTCTTAGGCTTTTCATTTCATAAAGACTTATGAAACAAGCATAATTGGCCAACATGATTTCCATGAGTAAAGCCGGATAAATTTAAGGTTCTTCACATTTACATGTTCTAAAATAACTAAGATAGTACGCACATTCTGATTTGCATGCATATTGGTAGAAAACATGGTGCAGCAAAAGTGTTCCCAAGAGCTCTGGGCTAGTGGAGTGACCCCTCAAGAAAGCATGTTAAGGATAAATAAATGGTACTTAGCTTCCCCTCTCCCTGCAACTTCAGCAACAGCTTGCCCAAACAGGAACTGAATTTTCTTAAAAATATTTATCTCACCCTTAAAATTATGTACTGTTGAGGGATTCATATATAAGTTATAGGTAACTTTTTTTCTCAGGTAATTTTTTGTTTTTTGTTTTTGGGTATGGTAATGTATGCTAATAAAGTAAAATAAAACTACAACATATCCATGTATGTAGTTTCCCAAAGTGGAGAATTTGTCTGATGTTCAACAAACCTAACCTTAGCTCTCTTTGAGCGCCTCCAAACACTACCATTTTATGGCCCAAAACACATGCAGCGTGTCCAGCTCTCTTGCAGGGTCTCGGCAAATCCCTATTAAACGCAGGACTTCTCCATGACAAGTTAACAATATTGAAAATATAAAGATCATCAAAGAATTTCGCCACAGAATTAATTCCAGTTCTGCTCGGTTGACACCAGCCACCGAATATCACGATATCTCTGTTGTCATAAACCACAGCGGTGGCACATTCTTTAGGGGGTGGAGGGGAACCAGATGTTCTGGGCCTAATCCAACGTTGTTCTCTTAGATCCAGGAAATAAAGATCATTAAAAGCTGTATTTGACGACGAACAACCCCCGTGTACGTACATTTTTTCTCCTATAATACAGCAGCCGTGCGAGAATCGAGGTAAAGGTGATATTCTTGATTTTGTAGTCAAGGTTCGAATCCGCAAATTACCAGTTCTCACGGCGGAATGAAAATTTTGTAACCGTTGCTTGCAAATTCTTACAATCAAACGATACCACAGACGACAGACACACTTAGCGTCAAAAAAGTCTCCATACGGTGACAAATAAGACATGATTTTCTCCACAATCTCGACAGGGATACGAGAAAAATGGCATTCTGTTTGTTTAACGCAAGTTCGAGTTGGTTCATCCGCCATATTGAAATGCGTCTTGCGCGTGGACTGGGATGAGGTACATTTCGTTAACACATAAACGAAGAACGTTTTGATCGACTCGAAATTAAAGGAGATGATGAGAGCACAAATTCTGTAGTGGCAATAATATATTATTATTGTATTAGAAAAGTGAGAAAGCTTGGGAAAATGGGCGACAAGGGAAGTAGTTCAGAATCTTTGCTGAATTCAGAAAAAGATGAGCTTCTTCCGAGCCGCTCAAAATATTCCTCAACCAGGTCAGCATGGACGTTTTGGTTGGTTTATACGACAGCTGTGGTTGTGCTTGGATCCTCTTTCCAATTTGGATTCGGCACGACCTGTATGAATGCGCCAGAGAAGGTAAACTCTGAAATTTATGGTTTTATTTAGTGGCCTTCGAGTTAAAGAAATCGGTGCTTGCTTGAAATGTGAAGCCGCACGTTCTCCATTCGGGCTGTAATTGTGTTAATCCGATCCCGTGACAAAATTTAGCTTTAGATGAAACCGAGTCAACTGTCTTTTTAATGTGAATGAAAAGTAAACCTAGAACCGTAACCCTAGATAAAGCAGGTACTTGCAAATTTAATTTAGTATAATATTGCCCAACGAAACGCTAGCAACCCAGTCACAGGTAGCCCAACCAACCGACTGTTGCGTAATAATTTCCCAAATCTGAGGATTTGCATGGTTTCTAAACCCAACATAAATATGTGTGAAAAAGATTTTGGTAGAAACTTGGGCCTACCTCACTTAGTTAATGTGTTCCTATACTTGAGCCCTAGTGCAACCAGTTTGCTCTCTTCCTGAGTGAGGCTGGGTACTTTTCAAGGCAGTGGAATGCAAATGCTGAGGTACCCTGCAAACTGTGCCTCCTTTGATCTTCCTAGATAAATCAGAAAGAGGAAGGAACCTCTGCTGACTTCCTCGACAATTCATATTGAGCATGCTCCAAATTCAAATTTTTATGCAACGTCAATCAAACCGTTACCACTGTGTTTGTCAAATAAAGGCACCAATTAATATAAACGAACAGAAGCTGCAAATGTAAGTGTTAGCGGGAACATACCGGTTCATTTTTACTCTTCAGTATCCAGGGCTGTCAAAAAGCTTTCAAGTAGCAGGCTGATAATGAATGGTAGGCAGCTTTGGAACTCGCACCAAAGGCACAAGTTCTTGAGGGCCGAGGCATCTAGGGACATTTTGAAATCTGGAGTCTTAGAAATGGCATTTCCAGGGGTTTCAAGAGGCATTTTCCGATGCAGATGCTATGTTGTTTCGTCACTACACTCACAACACTGGGAACAATGCCATCAAAATGTAGCAGGCATTCCATGACATCGCACGGCTCAAGCGTTTCACAGATCTAAACCTGTTCAAATATGCATTCAATGACTCATTCAAAACTGGAACTCGAATGCTTTACAATTTTATTCAATGGTGCTTATTTTTTGTTAGCAGTTATGGTAAAAGGGGATGAAAGTAGTCGGCTAAGGATGACTAACTAGCCGTGTGCTTTGGCCAGCTACCGGCCCTTATTGACTGTGTTTCCTCTGGGAGTCTAAACTTGCCATGTTTCAGTATAAAGAAGACAATAAAACTAAGAGCTAAGGTAATAATTACTGTGCTTTTCAAAAACATGCGACCGAACACTGAAGTTCAAAAGCAACGAGCCTTGAAACACAGAAACACACAAAACAGATCATCAAAATCCACCAATCACAAACCATGACCTTTTGTTTCCTAAGAGGTTTGCTAAGATATAAAGGCGCCAATTCTTCAGATTTTGATTGATGTTGCAGAAAAACCCAAAATTCAAAGACGTTTTTTACATCACAGGGGGTGTGTTATCTAGCTGTAAAAGCATCGATCATTTAAATGCAACTTGGATTCTACAGCCTCATGATCTTATTTTGAATTAATGTTATGAATGAGCAAACACAAGAGAATAGGCATAGATATTGTTTCTTAAACTGTATTTTTAGTCAGAACCCATTAGTTTATCCTGCCAAGAACTTTGTGTAACTCTTACTGGATTGTGGATCCGCTCATGCAAGTAAAATTGGCTAAGCTCTTGATTGAATGCAAAACAAAATCCATCTCAAATCGGGGAGCATTTTCCAATTTTTCTAAAACTGAATGTTCGATCTATAATTTTTTCAAAATTCCTGCATGAAATTAAAGCGGCAGCTGTTTGTTTTGTTATAGAGCATGAGTGCAGAAAGAGTCAGCAATACTCCAGAATATGCATGCGTGCACAGAGAAAACTGGTTTATCCAGTAAGAAACTTGTCTGATTCATCCAAATCGCAGAATGATCAGCAAATCAAAGGAATTTGAAGATGTCGGCAGAGTCGCTTTCTCTTTCCCGACTTATCTAGGAAAGATCAAAGCGACTCTGCTAGCAGGGTAATACTGAGGGAAAATAGCCTAAAATTAATTGCTATGTACAACAGATACTTTCCACGTACCTCCAAATATATGTAATTGTGAAGAACAGTACCCCTTAACATACAAACAACCAACAGTTGACTGACAATCAATCAACTGTCAGCAATAGTCAGCCGACAGTTAGCCAACAGTCAACCGACTGTTAGTCAACTGCATGTTGGTCAACTTTCAGTCGACAGTAGGCCAACAGTCTACCAAGTTTTCAGAGTAAGAGAAAAATTTTGTAATCTACTTGTACTTTGGACAACCATCATAGAAATTTTGATTGTCCAAAATGCAAAACTGCATGTCCAAAATGTTTGGTTCAACTTCATTTATAAATGAAGTGAACGTAAAAGACATATAACATGCCACCTTTAGCATGTTTTCATTAATATCAACGTTATTTGAGGTATAATTTACAATGCTACAAATGTTAGTTAGGCCAGGGTCCTAATCATAAGACGCAAAGCTCACAGAAACAAATGGAATGGCCACAGAATTAATAAAGGAATTTACACTCATGAATTTTGTCAAGTTGGATATTTGCTTTATATGACGAGGAGATAAATTTCAATACTATTGAAATTCATGTTTGTGTGGTTGTAGTTCAGCAATCAATCAATCAATCCTCTTTCCAGTTGGGGTCCATCTCAAGGCAACTGTGGGTGTTCTTCACACAACCCTCTAAAAATAAACACTCTTTGCACTCTTTTCAACTACATACAAAACATAATTCTCAGAGTTTACTATAATAATTATAGTAAACTGTGTTGATAAAAATTATTTTTATCAACACATTAATTTTTAGTCCCTCCTCTTCAACACACAAATTCACATCGCGACCGCACTTTTAAATTCCCCGATCGCGAGTTACTATTAAGTCCTAGTTCTTAAATGCAAAACTTTTGTGGGATAGACTTGCTAAGCTATTGAGCAATAATATTATTCGTGAGTGGACATACGTGTAGGATTTTAATTTTTGGTCAGTTATAGAAGGCAGTTTGCCAGAGATTGGAGCCCGATTGACCTCTGTACATGAAATTCATGTGCTATTGAAATACATAAAATTACTAGTGTTCATTAAGGAAAGATATGCAGTATTTGAGTACCTGGTGATCCCTACAACTCTTCCTGCATGTTGTTTGTTTAGTTATATTGTCTGGTGTATGTGAAGGGTTTTTTAAGGTTAAATTAAATTTGATTGTGTTTTTCTTTCATAACAGAACATTAAAGATTATTTCAGAAAGTATGGAACATTTACTGAACTGATGTGGTCAACAGCAGTGGCCATATTTGCAGTTGGTGGAATGTTTGGTTCAGTTATTGGTCAAATCATAGCTAATTTCCTAGGAAGGTACATGGTCAATTTTCGTGTTATCAAGCATTGCAACAGCAAGTCTCTGTCCTCCAGTCTAAAATTATTTTCTTGACACATTTTTAAAATATTTTTTTCTGATTTTCCTTGACAGTAAAAGAACCCTGTTGCTAAACAATATACCAGCAATTATTGGCTCCTTGATGATATTTTCTTCTTACTATGCTAAAGGACCAGCCTTACTCATTATTGGACGACTTATTTTTGGATTTAATAATGGTAAGGGTTTTGCTGCATCATTCTATGTTGTTCATTTTCTTTATGATGCTTGTAGTTGTGATTTTGCTACAGCACCAAATAAGTTGGCAATATGAAGAGTTCCATAAAGTATTCATCTATTGATTTAATTAACGATTTTTCCAAATTGCTTTTTTTTGTTTTTCTTTGTTTTAAAATAATGCTTACACAGCAGATACATTGTACAATAAAAGAATAGCAGGACACCCTAGACCTGTTCAAGATCAGGTCCTTTGAAAATTACAGATACATGCTGTACACTGTAAATATCTTAGGAGTTGGACATTATTAATTTGCTCTCTTAACTCATCTAGGTCGTTAGTTTTTGACTTGGTAAAGTTGATATATATACAGGGTGTATTAACACAGGTTAGATAAGATACAGTGTAGTAATATTGTTTTGATCAGTACAATTTATTATTATTTTTTTAATTTTTATTTTTTATCATTATTCATTTTTATTTATTTATATTATATTTACTTATTATGTTATTTGCTTACTTATTTATTAAACTATATTTTTGCTGGTGTGATTTTATCTTCAGAATAGTAAATTTAAATCAATTTCAAGCTTTATAAATTTGGCAAGACAATCTTTTAATATGTATTATTGTATTGATTTTGATTTTTGGTTTACTTTAGGTATAAACACTGCCGTTGCTCCAGTATACTTATCAGAAATAGCTCCCATCAGAATACGAGGTGCTCTTGGGGTACTCAATCAGTTTGGAATAGTCACAGGAATGCTTGTAGGCTATATTTTGGGGCTTAAAGAAGTATGTTGCTCAAGCTTTTAAATGTCCTTAGATAGTCAATATTCTTCAGTTTAAAAAAAAAAATCATTAACATAACAAAGTTTATAAATAAAAAAAATTACAGTGGAACCCCGTCTTACTACCATCGGGTAATACGGTCACTTCGTAATATTGCCACATTTTTTCAGGTCGGCAAAACGGCCATACATTTTCTTATAAAAAACCCTTGTTAATATGGTCACCCGTTAATACTGCCAAAGGCCATATCTAAAAATCCTAAACAGTAGAATCTTTTATAATTTCAACCTGTTAATATGGTCACTCACTCGAAATTTAGAAATTGAATCACCTACGAAAGTCCATTCAATTGACCTAACAAGCTGAGCCTGTTCTTGTATTGTTTTTAAACTACAGTGCACTTAAGATGTATTTGTGGTGGTTTAATAGTCAATTTTTAAGAGTGTTTAATATACTGAAGGAAAGTTTCAAGTAGTTTTTACAAATTATATACAGTACGCAATATCTGCATTCCAGTTTAGAATTAAAGCAAACAGTTGTTCAACTGAAGTGAGAAAGCAATGTATGGTGTATTTGTCATTATGGCCCTTGAGTCATGAAATTTGACCCTTCCCTAGTAATATGGCCACCCCATTAATACGGCTAAATTTCTTTGACCCATTGGTGACCATATTTACAGGGGTTCACTGTACCAGAAATTCTAGTACAGTCGAACCTCGATTATCTGGAGCTCGGTTATCTGGACTTTTCGATTACCCGGACTTGTTTCCCTGGTCCCGTTTTTTTCATAAATGTTAATAAGATGTGATATTGAAAAATTGAATTGATTAAAAGCTCAATTACCCTTCCAAACATGTGTTTGAAACAGTGATTTAATCGGGTTCGCTTTGAAAAAGCATGAGCGGCAAGAGATGGACAATTATCTGATGCATTCAGCTGCATTCTGAGGGAATGCCATTCTTGATTCTGCATTAGTTATGTAAACACATGAACAATCGATCGTAAACTCAAATCACGGCCATGTCTATGCAACGAAAGCGGTCCATTCTGTTGATAAAAGATAAGCGAACAATAATTGTTTGTTTATCCTTTATCTATTTCACATTTGGAGAAAGGCAGAAAAGGAACAAATTTAGGCTGCACTCAGTTTAAAATCAATCTTGCACCAGATATCAGATATATGCAAAAGCAAAGAGAAGATCATGAAATTCACTGACAGCATCATGACAAGTGAAGGATTGAAAATACATAAATGCTTACAGTTCGTACTTTAAGAAAAGTTTAGTTTTTCTAAACACCATTTCTGCAATTGGTATAGGATTTAATGGAGCCAAAACCAATTGTGGAATTGGCACGCATTTTAGGCATCCTACTGATGAACAGTTGTGACACGTAGATATATTTTTTTTTAGCAACTAATATAATTTGCAGTCTGTCTACTTTGATTTGTTATTATTGTTGCTATTTATTATTTTTTTAAGTCAATGTGTCTACTTTTTGACTGACATACTGACATTGTAATGTCCTTTTAGCCTACAAAGTGCTGTAGGCATATTTTGCATTGCAAAGGATAATACTATAGTTATGATCGTGATACTATACTTATATTCTCCTGCCATCTTGGATGTGGAAACTGACAAAGAGGGAGAGGTTGCCAGTGCCCCTCCTCCCTTAAAGTTTTTCAATTGCTTTCACGATGGTGGCCGCAATCAATGTACCTTTAAGCTTTTATTTAAAAGAATGCCTGCTCTGGAGGCCATATCCTTATGTAACTATGCACCGAAATATATAATTTTATATAAAATTCGTCATTTTGTGGCTTGTTTAAACCCTTGTGTTGTGTCATGTCTGGTCCATGAGAGCATAAATTATGCCACTAATTGTCACATCTTTAAATTGTGTCTCTAACCAGGGTCTTTCATCTGTATGTGCATGTACTCCCCATTCCTTATGTTTTGGCTTAAATGTCTTTGCCAAACAATTCAGTAATACATTGTAAAACATCCTGAAATTAATGCTTTGGCATTGAATGATAAAAGCTGGTGCATATTACTTAAGACTGTGAAACGAATTAGTGGATGACAACTTTATAATGTAGGCGTAAGTCATTGTAAACATCCAGGCATTAATTTCTGACTGTGCCCTAATTTGTGGCTTTGTTAATGTAATGGATGTTGTGTTAACTTTATGATTTTGTTTTACCGGTGGCAGGTTCTTGGTACAGACACAGGCTGGCCTTACTTACTTGGATTTGGATTTCTTGTTGCCATGCTTCAACTGTTTACCCTGCCATTTTGTCCAAGAAGCCCACGTTATTTGTTACTTAAGCTAAACAAAGAACCTGAAACTGTAGAAGGTAATATACTTTATTTTGCTTATTTTGCATTTGACATTGCCTTGATAAAAACAACATTGATGTACCTACAGTAGAATTCTGATTTTTCTTAACACCCTATTTCCCAGAACTCCTGAAAATTCGAGCCTTAATCTGATTTCCCGTGGTCAGTCAAACACTGTCGTCGACAGGCCTGGGTCCCCATTCAGGCAAATATGGTCAACCATTTTCCAATTTAAACAAAAAACACTTACTTTGAAAACAGGGCAATTCTGCCATCCTGTATGTTACAGTAATGCTGAATGATGCTTTGTTTTTTTTTTACTCCCTCTATCTCTATTCATTTGCTTTCGCTTTTCATTTTTCTTTTGTGTTTTGTCCTGTCCTGTATGTGTGAAAGTCATTTTTTTTTTTTTGCCTAAAAAGTGTTGACACCATAAGGAGTATGCATTACCTACCTACTTAACTCATTTAATGGTCATTTCTGGTGTCAGTTGATGAGTATAATGGCAGGCAGGTTTTCTTTTATTTTCACACTCACAGTACTGTTAAACTTGAAAATCTTCAGTGCATTAATAAAAGTAAATTTACTTAGTGTTAATTAAGGTGAACTCATTAATTTTTTTGACACAGCCTTGATAAAACTAAGGGGAACTTCCGATGTGAGTGAGGACATTGAAGAAATGAGGGTATGTTACTCATCAAACATTTATTTTGCAACTAATTTTAAGAGGCAGTGTTGTAATAGCTTGACTTAATTGTTTGGTCATTATAAGAATATTGGGGGTACCAAAAGAGTACTGCAACTCTCATTGACAGTCTCGCCAACTTACAATCATCACTAAATAATAAATAAGGTTAAGGTGATTCCGTAGTAAAAGAACCTAACATAGATTGTAGATGAAACTTGGTACACTGATGTAACAAGTCAAGAAGATGATAAAAAAGTAATAAAAAGTGGGGGTCACCCTGCTCGTTTTAACGTCATGATGCTGACAAATACGGCTATTTTGGACCCTTTGACAAAATCCATGCGCAGCCCAAAACTAGACAAAAAAGAAAGATTTTTTGATGATGCATGTGGTATCGCACAGAATTTGACTTTAATGTATTGTTTATCCACTTACATACCATAAAAATGCCTTTTAATGCCCTTGTTTTTACTTTACTCTCCAAAGCAGAATTAAATTGGACACGCGCTATTCGACACGTGATAGCTCAATCCGTACAATTTAGTAAAATTGCCAAAAAACTGAACATAGATTTGTGCCAATTTTTTTCTCACCAAAAGGAAGCACTGTCCTTATTAAAATCATGAAATAAAAAATGAGGGTCACCATACTCATTTTTGCGGTAGAGCTGCAGAAAGTGTGCACCAAATGCATTTTCCTTGATTTTTGAGAGAGGACTGGGGTGAGTTTCAAAATAGAATGTATGTGAAAGGGGGAAGAAAGTATTAAAAAAGTCCGTTTTTACAGAATTTACATCTAGATATCACATTTAGGACACAATGTGATAAAGAAAGCGTTTAAATAAAAATCAAGGTGAATAAGCACAAATTAAACATCCACTATCGAGGTTCTCCGTGAGGCAGTCAAACTCAGCAACACGCATACTGCTTACGTTATGCACATTCCCACCACATTGAGTCTCACCTCAGCAAGAAACAACCGCAAGCAAAAAGTGCAATAGCGTTTCTCTTCAGTCAACTTCATTTTAATAATGTTACTTCACATGCTCTTTTTTACGGAGGCCATCTTGTTATGCGCAGTAAGAGATGCGCAATGCAAAACCAGGGAATCACCTTAAGAGATGATGCCACTCATGCTCACTTTTTAACAGATTTCCTCTCCATCCTTTTTGATTACTATTTTATAAAATGAATGTGATTATTTGTGTACATGACTGTTCCTCTTGCTGGGTTTCTTTGAGTAAATGTATCCTTTGACTGATGTGGTACTTGTGACATTTGAGGGGTGGCCTATAAAGAAAGTGTGTAATCTACAGCACAGGTAGCCCAAGCTCAACTGAGCGTAGAATGCACATGGCATGTGTGAGTCGTTGTTTTCCAAAGATCAGTTCCAGGGGCGGATCTAGGGGGAGGGTGCAGGGGCTGTGCACCCCCCCTGAGATGACCTGCGCTTTTCCAATACAACTGGTATTCTGCAAAAAAAAAAAAAAGACTGAACTATGTGGTTTATTGGTGTTGAAGTAGAGCAAGAGACGAGCGCACCCCCTCCGAAAAAAAATCCTGGATCCGCCCCTGAGTTCAAAGGTTATGAAGGTTTGTATGGGATCATTACCAATTTGATTTTAAAAGATCAGTGCAAATACCTTAACATATTAAATGAATTAACAATAATTTTACTTCTAAAATTGAATTGGTTGTGATGTGTTGCAACACGTAAAGCACCACACAAAGTGAACCACTGTACTCCATTGAGCTTGGGTAGCCTGTGCATACAGTATTTGATTCACTAGTAGCCATTGTGAATAGTGTTCCAAAACCATGAGTACAGGTATGAAAACTGTTAGCACATGTTACTTTTATTTCACAGGGTGAGCAGGAGAATCATCTGAGAGAAGAAAAAGTCAGTGTGTTAAGATTGGTTCAAATCAAAGAACTAAGAAAACCTCTTGTGATAAGTGTGGTGTTACAGCTGGCCCAGCAGTTCAGCGGAATCAATGCTGTATGTTAACACATCCTGATACATTATTAAGTTTGTGCCATGTTGTTAAGTGTAATATTATTATTGGATTATTATGGAAGGTGCCTGCACAACATGCATCTTCTTCGGGTCTGCAAAAGTCCACCAAAGGGGGTGGGGAAGGGGGACTGGGAGAGAAAAGAGAAAAAAAAACATGTTTTCTTCTCCCCTCCCCTCTCCCCTTCTGTTACTTTAACCCTAACATCCCCTTAGGGACAATATTTCTACTCTCGTCAATCTTCTCATTGATAGACATGGTAGCCACGGTAGCAAAAACATAAATAAACTGCTTTTGCATGCTCCAAAATATACCTGTACTACAAGCTATGGTAATTTAATTACTAGTAAACACAAGATAAAAGGCAAAAAAGTGTGGCTGGTATCAACAAATGATTTTGTAAATCACAAAAAACATTTAACATACTGTTTGCAGGCGTTTGTATCCTCTAGATCTCTTTCAGACTCACATTTTTGGCGATTTGTTTCTAAAAAGAAGTGGCAACCCCACTAAAGAGCACTTCTAATATTTTTTGAGTAAACAGAAGGATCTATGCAAAGATCTCAGAAATTTCGACAAGAGAATTTCCTTTCACCAAATTTTTACCTCAACCTCAACTGTACCTTTGCTTTGGGGTACCTGGGCTTTGTTTTGGCTTTTCAAAGGTTTCCAAGCCATTCATGCGAGATCTTACCGCCTTATCTATATTACCTCTCTCAGGAAAAAGAAAGCAGTCAAGAATTCAACATAATTATATCCGTTTTGCCTGATCTGCCTCGTTAACATCTTAATTACGCATTATGCTCTGTACATGTAAACTCGGTACAGTAAGTTCATCATTACTACCTACTGAAAATGTCACTAATGAACAGTATGCAGATATAAAGACAGACTGACACACTCTCTCTCTCTCCCGTATAATTACTTAGTAGAGTTATGTGTAATCCATAACTAATATTTTTTCACATGGATTCGATTCAACAAAGAGTGTGACAAGTCTCCAATTCTTGTCACCATCATGCTGGTATGACTGATGTGAGATGATCTAAGAGGAATGATAAACCATCAAGCAATTTTCATTTCCTTGTAGGTATTTTATTATTCAACATCAATCTTTGCATCAGCTGGTGTGAAAGAGGGCCGTGTAGCATCTGTGTTTGTTGGTGTTACTAGTTTGGTCATGACTGCTGTTACTGTAAGTTGCTCATTGCATAGGCAGACCATCCCATATTCATGTGGCTGCTGTTGTCATCGGAAGTTGAGCATCGATCTATACTGTACCTGTATAGAAGAAAATTATTAGAGAGAAACATTACGGCGGCTCTATTTGCTCCAAAATACAAATTTCACTGTAAATGTATCATTTAAAGTGTCTTCAACTTGTTTTCTGAAGGCCACAAGTTTATTGTCATTACTGACTGACTGACTTAATTCATATATTTTGCCATCTCAAGCGTCAATTTGTGAGATCTTTTTCCACCGCCAAATGAAAGATAAAGCTGAAAAACTCTTTTCCTCCTATACTTTATATTCTGGAACAAATTGAAACCACGGAAATGTTCATTCCTATTTGTTACATACCATAGGTTGATGCTCAGTTTCAGTATCAACAATGCCTGACATCAATAGAGGGTGGTTTGCCTTTACTGCTATATAGTCAGGCTCTCCTAGTGAGCTGTCGGCCTACTTTCAGTCTAGTAAGTGACTAGCCTGCGTAGCTGGCGGGATTATTACTTCTGGGATACTTACTTGATGGCGATGCCGTCACTCAAAGCAAACGGCGGAGTCGCGAGGGAAAATCAGTTTTACTGGCTCCTAATCCTCTAATCCTGCCAGGTACTTATGCAAGTTAGAGACTCAAGAAAGATCTTTCAAGGATTTGTTCACAGTACTACTGAATTTAACCCCACGGCCCAGCACACTTGCAAATAACTAACTTGTTTGCCTCCTGTTAGTTGAGTTTCTTTAGCTTGTTGCGTTACTTTGTTTGATTTATCTGTTCAAGCCACTTCCTTGGCCAAACTAGCCTTTGTGCTATAAATACTCATCACTGCGAGGGTAACTAAAGGTTGCTAATAACCTACCCTTGAAACAACATATCTGTAGAGTATTGGATCCTGCTGAGCCCAAATGTTTTTTTTTTTTCAGTTTTCGCCATATCAGTCTTATATGTGTCTTGTTGTTTGATCTTAGAGTACTCTCACGATTTTTTTAAAATTGCAGGTAAAAGTAGTAGAAGTTATGGGACGGCGATCATTACTGCTGTTTGGTCAAGCTGGCATGTTTGTGTTTTATGCAGTGATGACAATATCCTTCCGTTTTGAGGTAAGACTTATCAAAACTTTGTGTCTTTTTGCTAGAAAAAGATGGCATTTGAGAGTTCAAACTGAACGTGATTGTAAACTGAGTAGGACTGTGATGAAAGATCATGTTTGAAGATAATATATTCAGTGGACGTCGTCTGTCTCAATGACTGTACAGTTTGGTACTGTCTACAACGACCATGGCAACTAAATTTGTTGTAGTATACATTGTTATGCAGTGCGATAAGTTGAGGTAAATTCTAGTGCAATTTAAACTGTAAATGACGTTTGTTGCTCTTGGTGATTGCAGGATTTATCCGGAATGAATTATGTGTCAGTGGTAGCAACGTTGTTGACTGTGACCTTTTTCCAACTTGGTCCAGGTAAAGTTGCCAGGACTGTTTTACTTGTAGATCGTCTTCTCGCCGTAATGTTAGTAATCCTGTAGTGTGGGAAACCTTGGAGATTAGGACGGGAATACGACTGACTGTTATTTAATTAATTATTTAATAAATCATTGACGTTTATTTTGTAAACTTGGTTAACTTCTTGTGGAGAATGAGTCGAAATGACTAATGAGGATGAAAGTGCCCTGAAGCTTGAAACAAGATTTCCTTTAAAATCAAATCACAAAGTACGCGTTTTTAGCCCATTCGCCCTCGTGAATTTTGCCGAAAAAAGCATAGTTGGGCGGTTTTCTAGTCACTGTCTGGCTATAAAGAGCTAAAACTTACCACAAAGCCGTTTACAGGTCGTACATCCGCGGCCTTCTGATCCAGATGCAAAATATTAGCTGGCGAAGTTCGGACATGCGCAGAAAGTAAAGTTTCGAGATGCTTGACGTTTTCTTTTCGCTTTCTTTCCTCCCCTCTTCTTTCGATTTTCTCGCTTCATTTTTTCCTTTCTCTGGTCACTTAGTAGGATTCATTTTGGTGAGAGAAGTTTTTGGAAATTCTTTTAGGATCTTGGGATAGGTTGAAAGGAAAGGTAGGTGGGGAGTGGAGCTAGATTTTCATGGAAATTTTCGGGTCAATGTTACAGGGTTTTTTCCCTTTTTCTCCGTTGTCCTTGACTGAATTGTGCTCATTCTGGTATGGTTTGAAAGATCTCTTCACTCTGCACAAGTTAGCGGACAAACTTTTCCTTAACCGTTAAAACTGGTGACATCAAAAGAGGTAGAAGGGAAGTGGATCCGCACGGGCGGTTACGAGCGGTTCAGGGGTGAATGTGTTAAGTAACTTGCACGTTGTAGTCGTTGTATCTGTGAATGAATCCTTTTGTTTTGTTTATTTGTCTGTAGGTCCAATCCCATGGTTCATTACAGCTGAACTGTTCTCCCAGGGTCCCAGGCCCGCCGCGGTTGCTATAGCAGGGGTGGTTAACTGGCTCGCAAACTTTATCGTTGGACTTGTGTTTCCCTCAATGCAGGTCAGTATTCAGGTTGAACTTTGTTCCTTGTTATAGAGCGGGTTTCACTTGACTGTCGAAAGTAATTGAGGAATTGGTTTGGTTTTGGTTTTACTACGCCCTTTCGTTGGCTAGTGTATTTACTTTGGTTTTGGTTTTACGACAGTCAAGTGAAAACCGCTCTAAAGTGTTATTAACAGTGTCTTTAATGTTTTGTTTAGGCAGCCTTGACGCCTTATACCTTCCTGGTTTTCATGGTGCTTGTGGCGTTTTTCTTTGTCTTTACTCTAATTTATGTACCGGAAACAAAAGGAAGAACCATTGAGCAAATAACAAGTCATTTCAAGGCCGACTCAGAAGAACCGAATGGGGTTCACGTCGTCTATGAAAGAGATCATAATAACTAAACAGATAGCTTTTGAAATAAAGTAGTGCGAAAAAACAATCGAACCTTCCTTAAGCAACAACCTTAATACCAAGAAGTTGGTGTTGGCTCAGTTACACGAGGTGTTGTACAGGAATGGTCGAGTGTATGAATAATTTTAATCCAAAGTTTATTTATGTGATAATTAAACCATCTGTACATGATTTCTGTGGACATGAAATAATTCCAAATTATTTATAAACTAATTATGTGCTGATAGCAGTTATTCTAAAGCACGTTTCTCTTCGCATCCTGAATGGTTGTTTCTATAAAGAAAATATAATTTATAATAATGACAATAGCTAGTTAACACAACAGTAAATCTTAGCAATAATAAATTGGAGGAAGTCCACTCTTGTTCCAAAACTGCTGTTAAAAGTGAAGTATTCATTTCACACACTGGTTTCTCAAGTGACTGGAGGTAGACTGTGGCAGGGTTGCCATGGTGACCTCCTTGGTGCTAAGAAGATTGCTGCCTTCATCTGTCACTACCGCAGCTACACTCCGATACTTCAACTGGGTGAGAGTTAAATTGAGTGATATTTTCAGACAATTTCGTCACCTGTTACCGCCAATGGTGGAAAATATCTATATTTTTTGGTGGTACTTAGTACGTTAGAATTCCAAACCGTTACACTATCTAAAATGCGTACATTACTTACACATTCTGAAGAAAATAGCTATAATTCCAATACTTGTTTTGTGAGAAGTGAAATTTCTGTTATTGTACTGAGACTCTTGAATTAATGAATAAATGAACGAACGAACGAGTGAATGAAGACATAAATGAAAGTTCTACTTGAGTCAGATAAAAAGGCAATTGTTTAGTAACAAGTAAGACCATATTTTTGTGGTATTTACCCAAGCTAGGCATGTTAAGGTGCTCGTTGGTCTCATAAATTATGAGTGGTGTTCGCCATGTAGTAATAAATTATCTGCATGTTGTGTTCATGTGATCGGTGCATATGTTAAAAACATGGTATCTTTAAACACTTCCATCCCTAGGAAATCAAGGGTGAGACGGTTTAACTAAGTAATTCTTAAGAATGTACCAGGATAGTATTTTTTTAAAAAAAGAAACTATATGACAGAGTTTAACTTAATGATAATCGTTGTTAAAGTGAATGATGTGTGATTGTAAACGAATAGGATGACCTAAATAAATTACTGCGACATAAATGTCAGCAATTGGTATAGTCCAGTCAAATTGTGGTTTAGCATCAAACAAATTGCAACAGGATTTTTTTCAACGCCATTTTAATCGTTGGATGGCTATTTAACAACATACTAAAAATCCGCCAAAATCGGTTCGGTGACACATGAGAAAAATTGGCAATAAAGATTTTCAACTTTCACCACAGGAAACGCAATTTCAGGAAGATCGCAAATTCAGACAAAACATCTGATAATTGTTTTTTTTTCTTCCTCAAGAATTTTCGATACAACATCGATCGCTAAAAACGCCGACTAAATGTGTGAGAAACACCTGGGTCAGTGTTTCGCCTTGACTGCTTTGCACAGTTTACCCAGCCACTCGTCTGTCTTCACATTCTGTTTTCCAAGCTTTATTTTTTTTTCTATGACGGTATTTAAAGGGAAATTATTAGTCAGTCTGTGTTAAAAATATTAATAATTGATTTTTTTTGCACAATATCAGAAATGTAGTAAGAATTTTAGCAGTTTTACAGGCCAGTAATTTTTTATATCCTGCTAAATTTGCATCCATGCTGCAGGATACGTGCGACTAAATGTGTGCAACGGACGATAGCTTTGTATCAGTACAAACTGTTTAACCTACTCACGTATTCTGTAATCGAGTTTTGTGAGGTAGTTATGTTCAAACCTTGGGACACAATATGTGTGATGGAAATCAGGCATTCTTATTTTTTCTCGCGACTTCGCAGCCTCCTTTAGGATTATGACTACAACTTTACAATGTGAGTGAATAAATATTCTGCTAAGGACTCGGTCTATTTGGTTTTTCCTAGATCGTAACGCTCTGCGCTTTTCATTACATGCGGCCTAATCTGTTGTAGGGGAAATCCAGAAAACCAACGCAGTGTGATAGCTCTTTTTTATCTTCTTCTTGTAGCGAGTCTCGGATTTATTTAACTGTATCTGTGTGTTCAGTTTGTATTTTCTGTCGCAGCTCTTCGTTTCTTGGTAAGATGAATCAGTAGATTAATCGCTTTGAGGTCTAAAAGCGTTTATTTTCCTTCCTTGCGTTTCGTTTTGAGAACAACCCAGAACCTTGACCAGTTTTTGTCGTCCACTGGCAAATGAAGACCTCTTTTTCTATAACGATCATGGGATCTTATACGTCTGAAAATAATTACAGTGGTCAAGGAAGGCGCGAAAGTACTACCCTACCACTTTTATTGCTGGGATTTATTTCATATGACTCCAGTTGACACGGAAAAAATTTCCGTGGAATTATTGGACTTTGCCCTATGGAAGAGTGGCATGTTTGCTTCTCCGAACTAGCCTGCGTCCCTGTCCCCTTCCCCTTTTGAAGCCTGCTACGCAGGCTACTCCGAACGATTACAACCTGATGTACGTGCAAGGATAATAACATGTAAGGCCCAAATGAAGTGATTTGACTTTTTTTCTGCTTTGCATCTTGGAGAGCACCTTTATTGCCACACCGATAATCTATCTAAGGATCTTCAGGGTACTAAGATGGCTGCTGTCAGTGGACAACGCCTGGCAAATCTAAGAAAGGGGACACTCTCAAAAATTCGCATTGATCAAAGCTTCGACCATTTCTATGCTAATGTTGCCCGCAAGAGTGAAGGCCTGCTTGGCGAACCAACGCTTCCAAGAAAACGACACATTTCGGTCAGACTGGAGGTTGGTGCTGGTGCACCAACCTATCCCCAAACTGCTAAAGATCACTTTGTACGGGCCTATTATGAGGCTATTGATCTTATCGTCAGGGCTCTCCGATCAGCACGTTAATCAGGAAAGCTTCAGCTCTTAAGCCAAGACAGGAGACCCTCTTGCTTAAAGCTGCTATAGCTAATGGTGACGACTATGAGGCAGAGTTCAGTTTCTTGAAGCATAATACAGGGAAGATGTTGCGATACAGGGGCGCTACCTAGGCAACTAAGTACTATGGAAGAAGGAGAAGATATCATGTTTTGACGAAATCCTGTTGGCGGTGTTAAAGTTTCCAGAACCGGAAAAGAAGCTAATTCAGGAAGTCCAAACTATCTGTAAGCTGCTTGCTGTAAATCCTATTACCAGCGCTGCTGGCGAGGGTTCATTCTCATCCGTACGCACGGCGTCTGAAGACGTGGCGTCGATCCAGGATGGGTGATGAGCGGTTTTAAAGCAACCTAGTAGTAACGTTAAATGGTTGCAAGCTGAGAACAGACAGTATCTCTATAGCTGACGTCGCTCAGGAGTTTGTTTCTAGCAATGAGGACCGCAAGAGAAATTTCGGCACTGCTGACAACTTCAAAGTAGCAATTTTAGGAAGGTTTATTCAAAATATTGGCTATACTGGATACTATAACACGTGACGACGTTTATGTTATATTTGTTGAGGCTGTAAATAAGATGGCGCGCAAACGCTAGACTGCGAGCAGTCTCTCTTTTTCTTCAGATTTCAAGGCGGTAAGGGGAGTGCACGCGCCTGTGAGCGTGTCTCGGGCGTTTTGCTCGACGGACCAAGAGAAAAGAGAGACTGCTCGTAGTCTACGCAAATGCAAGATAAATGACGACACACTGAACTTAATGTTTCTTTGTATTGGCAAGATGTTTTAGCCCTACCACTTTAAAATGGTCTCCGCGGTCCCTGGTTATATATGTTAAAACAGTGCTTCTTTATTTGCACTAGGATTTAATAAAACAGGAAACTTTAATTAAAAGTTGTAAAAGTAGTACTATAATGTTATTCAATGAAAAAGAAAGATGCCAATGTTAGCACACATGGCATCATAATTTAGGAGAATGAAAAACCCAACTGTTGAAATTTCAATAGCAATACAAAATTAAAGTATGGTAAATAAAACAGTATGATTAAATTGAGCTTCAAAAAAAGCTCCATCAGACAGGAATTCCTGAGATCTCACCGACACACGCGGAAACCTTAGTGCCAGAGATGCTGTAGAAGATGAGGAATCTCCCAATTCATGCGAATACGACACAAGCTCAGAGTCCAGTGATTCTGATGACTCTTCATCTTCAAATGACCCTTCAACATACGTCGAAGAGTCATTTGAAGTGATGCTTGTACCGGAGGAAGAAATCCAACAAGTAAACTAGGTATGAGGGAATCAATGGGAGGAGACTTTTTTCAAGGGGGGGAGGGGAAGCGTTAATATTATCATTATGTGGGGGGGGGGGGTTGAAATTAATTTTTGCTTAATTAGAGGAGGGTATGACTTAGTTTGGGGGCATATTTCACCCATTTCCCAACCCCACCTCCAGGTAATTATTGCACAGTCCCTTGCTGCATGTTAACCTTCTGACTGAGTTGTGTGAATTACGCTCTGCGTGGAGAATTTCCATTACTCCATAGACTCTTACAAGATATTTTCACATACGCATTGTTTTGGCTAATCAGAGTTAATCTTTCCCTTGAAAACCAGCTTCGATTCCCTATTATACTATTTCGTTTCGTTGAAACAAACGTTTGCTGGAACCAAAGTTCTTATGCGATGAATGTTCCGTTCACGTTTATAATTTTTTTTTTTTTTTTTTTGGGGGGGGGCGAAGGTAACAGCACTTTTCCTTAAATGAAAACGCATTCCCTCTTATCAAATTCATAGGCATTGGAGCTTAACCTGCTCAAAAACTCTGCATTGTTGTGCATCGTAGACAATTAGTAAAACTATCCTCCCCTCCTCTCTAATTCAAATTTAACAAAAAGAAAACGAAAAGCTTCAAAAAAGTTAAACATATATTTGAGGATGTCGGTACGTTAACGAAAGTTGAAGTATAGGTAACTGTAAAATATGGGTAACCGTAAAAGTCAAAGCATTATCTTGCCGGATTTTTGAAAACGTGCCGAACGAAAATTGCAGTCTTTTGACTGGGAAAAAGACCAAAAGCGAAGGCAAAATGAGCCAGAAAATCCTCCTAGAAAAGAACGAGGAAAAGGAAAATAGAAACGGAGAGGAGAAAGAAAGGAGGAGAAGGAAAAAAAAAAAGCAATGGTTGGACTCTTAGTTTTTATGTTGACTTCCTTTGAAAGAAAAAAAACTGTTTGAGGGGAGAGCTCTATTTTGGCTGTAACGTTAATCAAAAATCCAGCTCTGATACATATTTTTTTTCCCTTGCGCCTAACAGAAATCTGATAAAAAAGGATTTATTTTAAAAGCTAATGATTAAGTAATGGCTTTCATTTTTCAGATATAAAGTCTTAAGACTAAGTTTGTTGTAGTTTTACAGCCAACAGTTCACTCTATTACTCTGTAAGCCTCCTGTTATTTTGGGGTTCCTTGAATAAAGCATGGACTTCCTGTTCAAAAGCCAAACCTGTTTAATATTTATCGTTTTTGAAAAAAAGTTATTCTTTCTTCTTTCACTTTTCCATAAAAGTAACAAACACATTTTGTGCTTTTTTTGTTGAATGTATAATATCACCTAACGTGGGTGCCCTGTGTTAAAGCTCAAAATGTTTAACGCTTAATTTTGACATGTTCCACCGAACGGATTTTTAGTATGTTTCCAGGTAGGCCACCCTTGTCTGCAGCCTGGTCGTGATATTAATATGGTGCCTTTTTCGTACACTTTCAACTAGTCATTCAGTATCTAACATGGATTAGAGAACAGACTTCCCCCCCCCCCCCTTAGTTGACTTTATGAGATGTGTTTGTTTTTTCTACGTGATTTTAGCGTCCAGTGTTGCAGACTATTCACAGTTGAAGAAATTTCGACGAAGTTATACAGAAAGGGAGGAAGAGCTCATTATTAAAACAGAAAACTGCTTTAGAAGCTATGACCACTGTCGAGTGCTAAGAGGCAGTTACTGTGTAAAACAACTAAAGATATCAAAAAATTCAAACCAGAAGACGAACCACAAGCCAGGTTATTCAAAGCTTCGCATTTCACTTGTCTGGACATACATTCCGTCCAGTTGTTCAGTCGACTAACCAACGCCCTTAACAGCGTAAATAAATTCTTCCAGCCTTTCAGTAATAGATGGTAAGATAATAAGAAAGCAAGTGAAGATAACCGTTTCAGAAACACTGAATTTCTGTTGTATTCAATGTACTTCGCTTTGAAATCAAAGCTTTTTTCGCAGAGGCGATCGCGCCGCTCGTAGTACCAATTAGCACTTGACGTGTTAATTAACCCTTTGAAGAGCGCTTTAGTCGTTTTGTTCCCATGACAATGTATATTTTCCTTCCTGAACCCATTTAGCTTTCAGTTTAAGCTATTAGCGTGGTAAGCAGCGACGTTCGCAAAGAGATCTTTGCAACGATATCTCGTTTTTTTTTAGTGGAACCGATTCTGACTAATCGTGACAAAGTTACCCACACAAAACCTAGTAACATTTTGGGGGAAAATCCGCTGCCAGTTTCGCTATTCACCTACTACCCTTTGCGGCCAGATTAAATTTGTCCCTTTCCTAAAAAATAACGAGCCACAATTCCATGGGAAAGAAAGACGATAGAATGGGCAACAAAACTGGATATAAAAAGAGAAAGGCCAAGGGAAAACAGAGAGCGAGAAAAAAGGATCGAACAAAAAAAATCTCGGCAAGCGGGTCAGCCCGCCTTCTCATATAAAAACAAGACATGTTTTATGAGGAAACAAGACATGAGGCCAGTTCACCTGCAGGCTGGCTCCGGATCACATCATTCATACAAATAGACCGTTTGAACTCTGTTCCTTTTGGTCCTTAAACAGAGACGGGAGGGCTCAGCATTTCCTTTACATTGCAACGTGGTTTGCATTCCTTGCCAAATGTCACCTTAAAATATTATGAATACGCCAAAATAAGGTTTGTTGATATGATCGGCCCTAAAAGCATGATTTCCGGCCGGACCACTTTCGAGAGCCAAAAATGGTTATACTAAATAATTGGGCACTAGAACAATTGAACCAGAATACTTCAAGGTATTTTTTACTTGTACAAATGTTTAAATGAGATTACAGCTAAAATATATAAGAGAGAACGACGATATCGGCTAACTGTGCGGTCAAACAGCGCCACTTCCGAATCAGGATCTTGAGAGAGTGTTCGCCGGACTGTTAGTTTCTGTATTTTTGTTAAACGACTCTCAAAATAAGCTCTTCGCTTTCTCAGGGTTAGAACTCTAAAAGGTTGGCTATCGCTGTGATGTTTGAACAATTTAGCCGCAGATGAAAAATGTGTGGTCTCGAAAAGATAGCACTCAATAGCTTTCCAGCTCACTTTTGCTTTGGCTGCATGTGGTATCTTTAGCAACCTCTGTGCGGCAGTTTTTCCTCCATTTGCTAAACCAATGAGGTTACTTCGTGTCAGTTGGATTGCCTTCATGCTTGACCATTTGAAGATGATACGACAGTTTGATCAACAGATTTAACATGGCGGCAGCAGTAAGTTAACGTACTTCATTGAAAAATTCAGACTATTTCAGGTTTACTAACACTTTTTTCTGACTTTGAGATCTCCACTCTCACCCTTACTTTTTGCAAGTCTGTAGGTTTTGACTTCCAGACAGTCCAGGATCCTCGTTTTCTCTTATTTCGTAGACACATAACGAACAAAATCAAAGCAAGCAATATTAAAACTCCGAGTACAATTCCAATTATTAGGAAAAATCCCATTTCCTTCTCCGCCTCCGCCATTTCCTTCTCTCTTTCCTTTTCGTTTTCTACAATTCTTTTCTCTTGAATAGTTACTTCAATAGTGAATATAACCTTTTCTGTATTTTCTGTTGAAGATACCGCTGACACAGTGACTCGCCTGCTGCTCTGAGTCTCTGCAGAAAGTAACGCCTTGACCATTAGATGTCCTAAAATAGTCTCGTTTTGCTGTAAGTAGGCTGACTTTGGAGTAACGTTACATTTCAGGAAAACATGAGGACTTGAAACCTGAAAGTAAGAATATAACGCCAAAATTTGTGTTTGAACTCTCCTTTATTTAACTTAGAACTTCATGTAAGCTCAAAGGACTTCTTGTGTATGTGCGGTATGTGGTTTAATTGGTAAACAACTTCATATAGACCCCATGATGTCACACCCACTCCTCATATCTCACAAGCCTAGCACGTCATTAGGTTCAGCAAAAGAAAAATGCCAAAAATAAAGATGAGATAAAAACCGCTGAAAGGGTTGGTGTCTTAGGGCTAACCGCCAGTAGGTAGTACAAAGGACAGGATACTATAGAAAAAGACAAGGTTTCTTCACCGTTCATGCAAAACAGAACATCTTTATCATTCATGGATATTCCTGCAAACCACGGATCGAATACTTACACAAAATTTGTCTAGCTTGTTAGGCTAGAAATACCCCGCACTATTACCCCATTAAAACCCGTTGGCTACCTTACACAACCCGGAAATGATTTAATACTATTTCTCATCCTAAACGCTCTTGTAACGCATTTACATTATACTACATGTTTATCGTTTTTTAAATCTTACATCAAGTGAAATGGAAATTACAGCAATCTTAGAAGTTTCGTGAAAGGTCTTCTGCAGAGGTGTTTTGCTTTAGGTCGCCAAGTGTTTCTCAAACAGCCTGTTCTAAATTCAGTTTCTATCCATACCGGCATACCTATCTTAGTAGGATTGGATAACGTTTTTGTAAGTGGTTGATGATTCAAACTGTTATTCGTGGTTGTGTAATCGATATACCAGCCCTGCAATATAAGCTGCGATGCTTGCTATCAAATAAGAAATCATTTGCTGTGATGAAGTACTTTTAAAGGTGTATTAACTGATCTATCCTTGAGCCTCCATTAAGCAGCAGGCACTCAAAGTCCCGGAAAAGATTAAAGAAAGAATTGTAAATGAAACGTCTTTTAAACACGGCTACCTTTTGGCCAACCTGTAGACAGTTCTCCTAAAGTTGTCACCTCTGTTAGCTTCTGTTAAGCGGTCACCAAGCGCTTGATACTCTTAGGGCCTGTTTACACGGAGGAGGGGGACCACAGATAGGTGAAGTAACCCGCCTGTCCATATAATCTCCTATTTTAATTTGATCACGTTTACATGATAGGTGGGGTGACCCGCCGTGGGTTACCTCACCTACCTGGGGCCCCTCACCTCCATGTAAACAAGCCTTTAGTTCAGCTTTATCTCATTAATATCATGAGTAACCAAAATACAGTCCGAAATACAAGGTAGCGAGTGATGGTGAACCAGTGATGCCGCTCCCGTCTCTTGATGTTTCTGCTAAAGATCGCTATAATTTATGACTACCCTTTATTGATCGACTAGTTGCCGCTTGCTGGTACCCTGAGGATGGCCATTTAATGGAGGTTCAAGGCGGTAGTTTTAAAGTTCAGTATCTTACCTTGAGGGTGAAATTATTCTCCGCACCTTCATTTATAACAGTAAAGTTGATTGTCACTTTGGCTCCAGCGCTGATGTTCACCTTTCTGTTAGGTACCAGGCTCTTGAGAACAGCATCCTTGTTCACTGTGAATTGAGGCGTTCTCTCTTCTTTTGCTCTCACAATCACAGTAATTTCAAATAACTGCACGCGTGTAACATTCGTCGTTTTTATCAGCGGTTCAGCGTTAATCACAAGACTTGCCTTCTTAGATCCTGTCTCTTTCTGACCAGTTATAACAATTTCACCTCTTGCTTCCTGTTTATGATCTAAGTTTTCAAACTTGAGTGGAATAACATAGCCAGTAAAATGTTTGCTTTCAGACGCGAGTGTGGTAAAAGACCCTTTGGTACCAAAGTTTTTTATTTTAAACTCAAGTCTGGTTGTTTCTCCTGGCATGAGCTTTAGTTCTGTGTACTTGGTCTGGGCTTGAATCTTTAAAACCCGCGTTACTGCACTTAATTTGCACGAACCTGCGTTACCGACTACATCAACTGCTATGATATTGGCTGTTGGATGGCAACATGTAGACGTATAGATGGCTGTCACAGACGAGTTGGGGATCCCCTCCTCAAATGGCGTAACTGTTGGCAGAAAAATGAAAGATTTATTTTGCCATTCTTATGGTAGATATGTATTGGAAGCAAATGTTGTCCAATACTACCGTAATGATAACGTCATGGAAAATGACATTATCAACCTCGTGAGCCGAGTTCTTTTATTTAAAAGCCATCTCAGGGGCCTCCAACCTTCGCTTTTCATGAACCTGATCCAGACTTAGAGTAACGTATTTGCGTTAAGAGGGTTTTATCTTTCATGATATTTGCAAAAAACAAGGAAAGAGTTCGAGAATTTCGGGCTACAAAATACAAAAAGATGTGGCGGGAAAATATACTCGCGCATGCGCACCCTGGGCGCGAAAGTACAGAAATGGTATATACAAGTCAAAAAATGGAACAAAAAGAATGAAATAATACATTGAAAGACACATAACTTTCGTTGAAAAGATCTGCTTAATAAGTCCAACCGTACGGCATTAATAATACAGACTTATAAAGTAGATGAACGAACTTTTGGGACACCCTGTATGTGTCACAACTTGTATTTTTCAGACAACTACTGTGTTTCCTAAGACAAAATTAAAGCCATACCGTTTAAATTTCCAGTGTTGGAGTCCTTAGCCGTTATTTTGAGTAATCCTTGTCCCGTGTCAGAAACGTTTATGGATGCATTCCAAGTCCTACTTGAACAATTTGATAGGCTGTATATAGCATCACAATTTTTTTCTTCTTGGCTTACAACTTCGCATATTGGTGGAAAGATGTCATTTTCCTAAAAAAGAAAAAACAAAAACGAGACGGTGTCTGATTTGTAACCTGCGTGCAAACTCTCGAAGGGGGCAATGGTGAAGGAACTTTCCTCCCCTTGCTTTGCCCGTCGAGAGCTTCGGCTCGCGGGCTATTTGTCTTTCGTCATTGACGACTTCTTTGTTGTTTTACCCATGGAGCGGTAAACGGCCCAGCAACCTGAGACGTATAATGTTCCATATCGCTGTTTCATCCTCTTTGCTCAAGTGCTTGATATATCACCATTGTACGAAACTAACTTGTGATATTGATGGTTAAAATTGTGATTGGCAATAGCTTGAGTTGGTGTACACGCATGTTGTCTCAACATTACGCACTTATCGAGAACTCTAGCTCTGTTGTGTCTTAGCTTGGACTTCTGTTTTACTAGACAGCAAAGTCAATCTTTTGAATCCTTATGAAACCCCCGATATCATGCTCTATCTCAAGATATGACGTGGTTAGCCTCTTTCTCACCTGAACTGTGACACCAACATAAAACAAGATGTAGTTGGACGGCTGATGGCTGCCTTTTGGTGTTGCATAAATGGCAATAGTACTGGTCTCTCCTTGTGAAGCATTAGCTGGTGCTTCCACGAATAAAGAAAAATCAACTGTCGCATTCTTAGGAACAACACAATTACTAGGTACCAGAGACTTAACAAATCCTAAGTCATCCACAGCCTTTAAAGTAAAGTTCTGGGCGGATCCTATGTTTGTTATCTTTAGTGGAATTTTGCTTCTCACGCCAGGGTAAATTCTGCTCAAGTTATCAAGCAGTTGAAGGCCATCAAAGCCAAGTTCAACTGTCTCTATTTTGATTTCAGTTGGTTTTACTCTCTTCAGTAATTTTCCATGTGTTGTTCTTCCAGTCAGTTGGAAGCGGAATCTTTCAACAGATGGAATGAACAGAACATAAAATGAACCGCTGTACATTCCTTGACCTTTCTTCACAGTAAACATCTCCATAACTGTACCATTCACATTCACTAATGACAGCGAATTCACTTCATTCACAAGCTCTGGATGTGTAAAAGCCATGTTAATCAACAATGTTTGACCTGTAAAGTACACAGCAAAAAACAATTCAGTCCAGTCAAATCAAAGAGAGAAACAATGAGAATATATCCCGCGTTTGTTTACGTTTCTTTGAACAATTCAGCACACAGCGCAATGAGTAACGATTAAGAATTCATTTAGGGTACATAACTACACTTTTTTTCCCTTTGATTGTTGCAAATTAATTGTCCTGTAAAGTCAGTGTGGAGCTCATAGCGTTTATATCAGTAAATGACAGTCAGAATCAAAGCTAAGCCAAAGTATCACTAAAAAAATCCAATCAATTTTGTCATCAAGTCTCTGAAAGCCTGGTTAGCAATATCACTGCAACAAAAACTCAAATGATACTGAGACAAAAAAAGTCAGGTAACCAAATCAAAGGCAATTTTCAGGCAAAGACGGAGCGTTACCTTTCACAGGACTACCAAGTAGACGCTTGGTTTGAGCTGTTTCTGTATCATGTACCGTGGTCAGCTGATAACTGAAGTCCAGGACACTGCGGCCAGTCACTTGTAGACTATAGGGCCCAGTACACTGCACTCGAACCTCCAATGGGCCGCCCTTAAAACTTCCAACTTCAGTCACACGAACGCGTTTGAAAGGATTCGTCTTTGCTTTTATTGGCTGGCCATCTAGAACAAAAGTTCGATTTTATTCATGAACAAAGCTTGTCTCACAAGGATTGCCGATAGCTCTAATCGACTGTCAACCATTCAAACTTTGGATTTTTTGTACAAATAAAGCTGAAACTAATTGGTTACCAGGAAACAACAAAAAGACTAATCTGTCAGATCTGTGGAGTCCTGCCACATGAAAGTAACATCAGAACCTGGAGTATCATGAAAGTATGCGATGGTATTCGTTTCGCAGCAACGTAAGTTAAACGTCAAAATAGACCTCTTCCGTCAAGTATGTTTTTTCGTTAAACAAAAATGATAGTGCAAGGGTTGCTTTTTTTTCTTCTGCCCTCCTTTCCTTTTCGCTTTCTCTAGTTTGCGTTTTTTTACTCTTTCGGGTTTTATTGGATGGAACAAACTTGTTATTTTGGCCTCTTATCTAGTCAAATGGCTGCAATTTTCGGTGCTGTTTTATTTCTCAAATAGTGTTCAGACTTCAGGTTTATGATACCTCCATGATTTATCATTCATTCTTTAGGTATTATGGTTACTACCGGCGGGTAGTCATGGAGGTGAAGAGTTGGTTTGCGATTACGGTTTAGTTTACACCATGTTCCCCAACTAAAGAAAGTACTGATTTAGTTACCTTTCTCTAAAGCTGTATCTATATGGTACAAGTTTGTACAGGGATAAATATATAGTCTAGCAGCGTAACAGTATTTATTATAAGTTGCAAAATTTGAAAGCTGCAAGGACGCGTTCCTTCCATAACTCTTGTAGTTTCACATAATCATGGTTGGCTCAGCCGTAGAGGAACCAGTTCTCTGACAAAGCAATAATCTAAGTCGTCAGAAAAAAGTTCTCCCTACTGAGGAAAGAATCACCAACCGTGTTTAAAACTGGGGATACACACTTCAACATGATGCTCTATGAATAAACTGAGTTGATTTGATGAGGCGTAATAATTACATTTCACTGATGACTACACTGAGGGTACTAAGTCATCTTACCTGATGGGTTGATCAGTATTACGCTGGGACCTCCTTCAGCAGAAAGCACTATAAGAATATCTTTTAAAGTATCGTCCACCTCAATGAAATATGATACACCTCGGACTTCTTCTTTTGACTCGCTACTCGCATGCAGTAACACTACCTGAAACGATTCAAATGAGTGATTACAAAAGACAAATCTCGCATCAAACTATGACACGAGCCTTTAGTGACGTTTTCCAGTAATTGACTTTGCGGAACGCGCAGAAAACACGCTCCACAATCTGTTTGATTATAAATTACGGGATAAGCCCTGATATGATATGAAAAATATGCTGAAAGGAGGGTGTTATCGACCCTTTCGGCACTGCGGCTTAACAAGTGATCCATAAAGAAAAAATTTTACAAAACTGCACAAATCGACACAAGCATGCCACTTGAAGAATGACAACTGACTTTTGAAGAATGTCAAGAATACTCTGTAAGACGACGACATCTGATCATACTCTGAAAGTTCTGAGAAACTGGCAAATGTTTTGAGGACATTTTACACAGTGGTATGGATATTTTAGCTCGGAAATATTTTAACGAATAATGTAACAATTCGTACTTTTCGTATGTTATGGAGAACTAGAAAAACTCCTAGCAAATTCGCCTTCAGCTTCGAAGGATATGTCGAAAACTTTACAGACAGCTCATATGACCAGGCATCGTAGAGTGGTACAGTCGACTCCCAATAACCCGAACCTCGCGCTTATTTTCTTATTTCTGGTTATTTGCTTCGAACTATCGATAACTCGACTTTTTCTTCGATTTCCCTCGAAGGTTCGAGTTATCGGGAGTCGACTGTACATCACTGAGAAAACCAGGCATGAGAGAATACTACAATTCTTACCTCGATTAGATCGTTAGAATCTCTTTCTGAAATTTTCGATCCAATGATATCCACAAACACCCTAACCTTGCTCTTTTGAATCTTAAGTACTTGTCCACCAGTAGCTGTAGCTAAGCTGTTATACAGAGCTTGTGACCCTAGTTGAGGACTGTCACCGGTAGATCTTCTTTTACGATTAAACGAGCACTGTCCAGTCAATATAAAATTCAATTTCACTCTCTTTTGTTTTGCCAATATCAGAACAACTGGTGCCAAGTTAACATCTTTTGCATCAGCATCAGAGAAGTAATATATCACAGAATCGTGGAGACTTTGAAGAAGTGCCTTGTACAATCCGGTCATGCCTAGTTCAGGACAGTCTCCTCCTCTGTTGGTTTTGAGAGAATTGACAGCTTCTATCACTTCATCCGGGACACTAGTTACCGTTACTGGACCCACGTCTATGAGAGCAATCAACAACATTTCAATACGTCAGATGAGAATACTTAATTTTAATATAACGAGAAACAACTTCCCAGCCGGCCCTGCTTCAAAGTCAAGGCCTCGTTTAGTATACAGTTTCAAGTGAGCGGCCTTTTTTTTTTCTTTGTATAAGTTACTGAGACTATTTATTTTTTAGTTTCTTACAATGTGAAAAAAAGGGAGAAACATTTTACGTACCTGGCTCGTTAAACGGTACGAGAATATAGACAAAGCCAGTATTGGACGAAGAATTGTTACTGCTGCGCACAAACTCAGTCGATAATTTCCTTACTGACTTGATCTCCTCTGGTGACAAAAAGCGTAAACATTGTGAGTTTTTTTTCCTTTCAGGCTTACTTTCTAATTCGTTTGTAAGAAAGCTAACTACATGTTTTGAAAAGCGAACTACGCATCTCTAAGATGGATACATCATTCTCATTCGAAGCACTTCTTCCACATTTCTTTCTTTCTTTCTTTCTTTCTTTCTCTCCTTTTTGGTTAGTCATTTAGTTACAGATTTATTTGTTACTGAAACCATTTTGTCTGCAACCATTTTACAACTGATCAAGCAGTGTAAATATAGAAAATTTCCAGAAATACCTCCCATGCTGCCAGTATCATCTATGACAAGCACCAATGTTCGTACCGCCAGAAGATCTAAAAAGCGTGCAAATATTTCGTCACCAACCACATTTCGTACATCTTCGAAGAACACCTTTGTTGCTTCAATGGCAACTTCTGCGGCAATCGCGTGAAGTCTGGTAATGGAAAGTGAAACGAAAGTGTTAGCCGGCGAGCAACCTTTCTGGGGTGGGTCCCTAGGAAAGCTTGCTCGCAGGCTAGGTAAGTGTGGTATTGGTGTTCGCAACGTTATCACGCAATTTAATCATAAAATAAGATAGGTTTACTCAATCAAATTCATCTTTTTTTCACTTTTATTTGTTATTATTATTATTATTATTATTATTATTATTATTATTATTATTATTATTATTATTATTATTATTATTATTATCATTATCATCATCATTTTTTTTTTTGCAATTAAAGCAACTTTTAGTACTTCCCTCTTTATAAATTTTAAAAATTAACTGATCAGTTTGGCTGGTCTTTAGAACAACTTAATGATACATAAAGAGTTTACAAAGTGATGACTGATAGGAGTTGTCAAATGACACAATTGTTTATTCGTTTTAGAGCATAAATTTGCACTTCAATTTTTTGCTGCCTTCGTGGATAATTCGATGTTAACGTGAATTTAATATCTAACTTTATTCATTTGAAAATAAGCCTACGGCTCACTTTTTTAAACATTGTTGTTTTGTCTCTGTAATTTGAATTGCTAATGTATTCTTTGGGCTTTTCAATCATGACTGAGAAAGCGCCGCAGGCATTGGATAATTAATAGCCCACGTTCGATGCATTAAAATTCTAACATGAGGTTTTAGGGGCAAAATTGCAAATTTTGACCGACTCCATTGTCTCTCAATTCCCAGAAGAGAATTGAGCACAAAGAAAACCAATCCCAGTATAATAAGAAAAAAAAAAAGAAAGCCTCGGAGTTTCACTTTCATCGACTCAGTTCAAAACTTTTCTTGTAAAATAATAGATACCCTAGTTACAGCTGCAATACATCTGTAGAAGCCTACTAGAAAAATAATTGTCGCAAGAAACAAACATTAAGTCTAAAATATAAACCATTATATTGTTTGTTTTCAGATTTTTCTTGAAGTTCTGTCACAAAATATTTTTTGAGTCAAGAAAATTTCACCTGCAATTTCAGTGTTCCCCTCCATTTTTTTTTTTTTTTTTTTCTCCGGGGAAAAAGGTGAGATGTAAAATTGCAGACGCAGCGTTCGTTCTTAATTATTAATGTGCTCTTAGCTATCTGGATTAGCTAGGTTGGTGATCTTCGTTTTTTTGATTCTTTATCACTTTTGACCGCGTGAAGTAGTCAGAGCGGCTATCAACTGGTCTTGGAATAAGAGGAGTGTAAATATGTTAATTCACGATTGAGTAGTATTAAGAACACTTAGTTTTTAGTAAGTAATAAAAGCGAGTTTATTATTTAAATTTCACGCAGCTATATCCTTGAACAATAAGAGAATCAAATAGGTCAATTTAATACTGTATTTATAAGTCAAAATTTTCTTTCGTAAAAAATATACCGCCGTTTCACTACATTTGAAAACATATCAAATTACCTTTCGTTACTTACTTATAGTGAGGTGACCACAGCCTTGACGCCGTATCTTTATTTATTCCGCCCCTTGTGGCGGTTCTACTGTCTATAAAACCACCATGGTCACATTTGCTAGCGTTTGCTGGCTTTAAAATGTCTTGTCCTTCCTGATATCCACTTGTAAGTTTCTCTGTTATCAAGTTCTCGTTACAGTCATCGTTTGATTCCATAGCCGCCATTGAACAGGGAATACAAGTAGCTTCATTTCCGTTAGAAGTGACTGATTCTAGAGGAATATTGTTATCTCTGCTAAGACGATATCCGAGTTCGATCCAGTTCGAGTGACTGTAGAAATCTTGCAAAGTGTGCAAATATCGACCAGCAAGCTGGCGAGCGTGTTCAAACTTAACGCCTTTTAACAATGTTGCGATCACTGCTGATTTTAATTGTTGGAGATGCTTTGATCCTTCCTTAAACTGTTCTCCACTGAAATGAGCGGCAGCGATGTTCCTCAAAGGCGCTGAATTCACTTCCGCATTTGAACTTTGTATCTCTGCAATGACATTTTGTAAACGCATTCTTGACTTCATTAGCCTAAAAAACATTTCTACCTGTGTTGGTTTATCGGCCGAGATTAAAAACTCTGAGAAATCTCCCAATGTTGATTCACTTCCTTGTTCGACATATTGGGGATTCTCCTTTAAATATTCTACCGTACTTTGTAAGAGGCCGATTGTTGTGATTATGCCATGGTCGCGAGTTTTAAGTGCAGTTACATTGTCAAGTGTTAACAGAGAAGACGACAAAAATGCTTCAGAAGAGCAAAAAAACGACAGGAAAACCACAAACGCACGATGAAGCGCCATGTAACGCGTTAGGTTTTGTGAAGAGCCGTTGGAGATAACAGGGTTTAAGAAAAGGGGCAGCTGTTGGGGTACACAGAGTTAATAGGATACATGACAAATCCAACACGATTGTATTGTGTTTTGTTTTTAATTCTTTGTCTCCAAAACGCCAGAAGATAATTGAATATTTATAGCGATTGCTTCTGAAACTGAAATAAACTATAAATAAGTAATTTGGCTAAGAGTTGTGAAGCACAAGCGACATGTAACACGGTTTTATTGAAGATATGAGGATCAGTGGGGTTCAAGTGATAATTGAATAAGATATTATCCTGTGGTAAAAACAAAGCCTTAAAAAGACGCTAACCTCTAAAATTTGTTTCAGAATTTATTTTCTTGCATCCTCTCATATGATCCGTAAAAACCTTGCTACATTACAGTACACTATAATTCTTTACCACTCCTTCCCAATTAATGTAGCTTGAGTCTCAATGTTTGTATTATTTGAATTTCTTCGTTGCAATGTAAATCTCATGTCTTCTACAACCACCTGTTAAAAACCCATTGTTAGCGAAAAAATCCTATTCAATGACCACCCAAACACAGGTCAGTGTTCCCACTTAAGTTCTGTTTTCATTAGGGGTATCATGAATAATTTACACATTTTTTTTTTCTTGCCCTTGGCAAAAAAAGCTTTTACAACAAATTTATTCACTTGAGAATGCCTACTTAGTCTCAGAGTAAAAGAAAAAATTCCACCATCATGTTAGAAATGGTGTTGTTCAGTGATATTTTTATATATTTAATGAACTGAACCATTGTAGTTCAGAATGGTTCCATACATAAAGTACAAATACATTTATCATGGCAAAGTGCTTTTACATTGTCCACTTTTAAATAATATTTCCCAGCGACTGTTATCACAAGTATTGTTATTATTATTATTATTATTATTATTATTATTATTATTATTATCATTTTTATTATTTACGCAACAAGCCCTTCAACGGTTTTGTGGCAGCATATATATAGTACCGCCGTTTTCGCCCCAGGAAAACAACAAACCAAAGAATTTAGTTAGCTGTCAGTACAGCTGTCACTAGTAAAGTAGCTTATTCAAAGAGGAAAATAATAAGTTTCTAGTGAACCAGATGACAGGCGGACTTACCTGCATCGCCAGTACCCTGAGGATCCAAACTGCGCATGATTTGTATCACGCCATGCAAGGTAGTCAAGCTCAGGAATGTCACTAAGATGCTCAGCAATTTTTTAGTACTTAGTCACTCAAGCCAGCTTCTGTTATTTAAGGTTTTGCTCCAGACATTATTTTTTTGCTGCACCTAAAGACACTCATTGAAGGACCCTTATTATTTTTACTCAACTCATATCCACTACAGACATGTGACATTATATGAATCATTGTTTTTTGGATGTACTTGTTTCCACCTGACACTTAATACAGGTTTAACTGTAGCCAGTTCTAGGTGTTCAGTTAGTGGCCCTCCCCCCAACACACTCCCCTTTCTCATTCTGTTCGTAAAATGCCTCCAGGGAACAGGTTCGAAACAGGTTTATATCACTGGATAGTAAATTATCGAATCTGGTATATTAAGAGCGGCTGTCTGTAAATATCGAGAATTCGTTGTCAAAACTGAAATTTCGAAATTCTTCATGTTCTGTCAGAAAAAACCCTTTGGTGAAACATTTTCGAAAATCACAATCAAAGTTTCCAAAGAATTCTCTTTTTCGAGAAAACTGGCGAAAAGTGAAATGCTGTATTCATATCTTAGCCGCCGCTTAGAAATCGCCAAATATTATATCATTTTCAAAGCCCTCGGGAAGAAAAGCGGTTCAGGGAAACAAGTTCATCTTTGTCAGGTAACTAAGGCATCCCAGTTGCAATACTATTTGGTAAAACATATTGCAAGATAATGCACCCTACATAGGCATACACAACCATACATAGCCTTGCATAACCTTACATAGTAATACATGGCGATACATAGACCTACAGAGCCCTATATAGCTCTACATAGTCCTACATAGCCATTCTTAGCCATACACAGCCATACATAGTCCTGCATGGTCCTACATTGCCCTACATAACCCTACATAGTAATACATAGCCATAAATAGTCCTACATAGCCCTACATGGCTCTACATAGCCCTACATAGTAATACATAGCCATACATAGGCCTACATAGTTCAACATAGCCCTACAAACCCACACGTAGCCATACATAGCCCAACATAGCCATGCATTACCCTACATAGCCCTACATAGTAATACACAGCCCTACATAACCTTACATAGCCATACACTGCCATACACTGTCATACACAGTCCTACTAAGCCCTACATAGCCTTACATAGCCCTACACAGGGCATACATAGCCATGCACAGCCCTACGTACACGGCATACATAACCCTACATAGCGTTACACTGCCATACACAGTCCTTCTGATCTTGTCCTTGCCTTCTTGTGGAAAACAAAACACAACAAAACGTGGTGTAAGGAAGAAGGAGCTAGATTTCCAACTTCAAGAATAACAAAACTAAAGCCGTTGAAAACATGTTAACCTCGTCGATACACGGAAACCTCTTTAAGGTCGAAGGAGAGATAACAGCCCGTGACCATGGTAGAAGGGTATAAAAGACTGATAAAGAAAGGAGAGCTGGTTGACGATTTTCAGGATTTTACATGGTTGTTGTTCCTCTTCTCAAAATGCTTTCAATCGGGAGTTTCACAATGTTTCTTGGTGTTCGCAGAAATCCACAAAGGAACATCTGTCCTAACAAAGACTGGTCGGCAAGAGATTTAGGCAAAGGGATTCTCAATGTTTTGTCCTGTAACCGCTAATGACGGCGTCCAGAACTCTTATTTTGTTCAGCCCCACAACGGCTGACTTTGAAGGGCTAAGTATAGCTGTGTATGGCTATGTAGGACTATGCATGGATACGCATGGCTGAGCAGGGCTGTGTAAGGCTGTGTATGGCTGTGTAGGGCTATGCGGTGCATATATACATTTATAGGGTACACTATAAAAATCATACTTGAAGTTCCTGCGCTTTGCTGGCGTTGCCCAGCTGACCAAAAAGCCAAAGTTAATGCCACTTGAGATAGCAGCCATATCTAGTGCGAGACCACAGGTAACCCAGGCTCTGTGATAGTACCACAGTACCGTTCCAGTAAAATTACAGTGTTTGTATGGGGTAAAAATATCATCCTAAAATTTCTAGGAAATACTAAATAAAGATCAATGAAACTTACTCTGTAGTTAATTATTGTTGTCCTTATTGCTCCAACGAAGTTTCGTGATAATTTGCAGTAATTTGTTCAAATTCACTCTATCTACAATAATAATATACAAGGTAGGAAACACGAGGTGCCATTTTCGCCGACATGCTCTCATTCAACACAACTTTTTCCACGAAATTCGATCTCCAACGGAAAATAAACATGCCAGGATCGTAGAAATAGGATAGCAGCAGATATAGAAACCAATGAAGCTTTCCCAGATAGAGAAACGAATCCCACAGACTTGGACAAACTCGAAGAATATAATCCAAACACACCGAGAATACGCTCGCCGAAGCAGCGGCAAGTAATTCATGGCAGTCTCAATATAGACTCCCTAATATATTAGTGCAATATTGTATACCCCTATATATCCTGTGTACCCATGAATACCCTAGTAATACTGTATACCCTTTTTTCCCCCTATATATCCTGTGTACCCATGTTTACCCTAGTAATGCTGTATACCCTGTATACCCCTATATATCCTGTCTACCCATGTTTACCCTAGTAATACTGTATACCCTGTATACCCCTATATATCCTGTGTACCCATGTATACCCTAGTAATACTGTATACCCTGTATACCTCCATATATCCTGTTTACCCATGTTTACCCTAGTAATACTGTTTACCCTGAATACCCCTATATATCCTGTGTACCCATGTTTACCCTCGTAATACTGTATACCCTGTATACCCCTATATATCCTGTTTACCCATGTTTACCCTAGTAATACTGTTTTCCCTGAATACCCCTATATATCCTGTGTACCCATGTTTACCCTAGTAATATTGTATACCCTGTATACCCCTATATATCCTGTGTACCCATGTTTACCCTAGTAATACTGTATACCCTGTATACCCCTATATATCCTGTGTACCCATATTTACCCTAGTAATACTGTATACCCTGTACACCCCTATATATCCTGTGTACCCATGTTTACCCTAGTAATACTGCATACCTTGTATACCCTTGTATATCCTGTGTACCCATGTTTACCCTAGTAATACTGTATACCTTGTATACCCTTGTATATCCTGTGTACCCAGGTTTACCCTAGTAATACTGTATACCCTGTACACCCCTATATATCCTGTCTATACCCATGTTTACACTAGTAATACTGTATACCCTGTATACCCCTATATATCCTGTGTACCATATGTTTACCCTAGTAATACGGTATACCCTGTATACCCCTATATATCCTGGGTACCCATGTTTACCCTAGTAATACGGTATACCCTGTATACCCCTATATATCCTGTGTACCCATGTTTATCCTAGTAATACTGTATACCCTGTACACCCCTATATATCCTGTGTACCCATGTTTACCCTAGTAATACTGTATACCTTGTATACCCCTATATATCCTGTGTACCCATGTTTACCCTAGCAATACTGTATACCCTTTATCCCCCCTATATCCTGTGTACCCATGTTTACCCTAGTAATACTGTATACCCTGTATACCCCTATATATCCTGTGTACCCATGTTTACCCTAGTACTACTGTATACCCTGTATACCCCTATATATCCTGTGTACCCATGTTTACCCTAGTAATGCTGTATACCCTGTATACCCCTTTATATCCTGTGTATTCATGTTTACCCTAGTAATATTGTATACCCTGTATACCTCTATATATCCTGTGTACCCATGTTTACCCTAGCAATACTGTATACCCTTTATCCCCCCTATATCCTGTGTACCCATGTTTACCCTAGTAATACTGTATAC